GTCACACGATACCTCAGCCTGCGGACGAAAGCGCAGCTTCTGGCATCATTTCTGTAGCAGTGTCAATTTTCAAGAAGCCGGTAGTTATACAGCTTGTTAAGACTACCGGCCCCCTCTGCTCTACTATTGAAGAGTAGCTGGATAGCTGATTGGTCCCTCTCGAGTCTGATCAATTGAACTCTGGAGTCAGAAGTCAGCCACTACTAGTTTAGGAGAATCAAAGAGAATACGGTACCTATGGCGAAAACAAGAGAACATATATGACTGATGTGAAAACTTAGCTTGAAGTGTTGTTTGGAATCTTCTGAACTTCCTGAGACTTCGAAGATGGTATTGACATGAAGATTAAAGGTAAGCCCTAGGGCACCTTGAGGCCGACCTTTGGGTGCCCGCCGGTACGCCGGGCACCTTGACGCCCTTGGTTGGGTGCCCGTTGGGCACCCTTAGGACGCCCTTCGGGGGTCTTGGGCGGCCATCGGGTGCCCGTTTACCACTGGGTCGGGTTCACATTGGACTTTCCCAAAACTTTCAAGTTCTATCGTGAATCGCGATAGCTCACTCTGGCTAGACTTGCGTCACTCGGCGTCACCCCGGCAGAGTCGGCGGGCTAACGGTCAATTCTTCGAACTTCAGAACTTATCGAAGTCGAAAACCTTCTCAAATCCGGGAAGGCTATCGAAACGCGGTCGACGACCGCGTTTGGATAGCCCAATCACGATAAATACAGGTTTGATATCGTCTTGCCTCCGCCTTTGCTGACGGTATTGTGTACTCAGTGTACTCAATCTGGTTCACGTGGTCTGTCACATGGCTCCGGTCGAGAGTTTTGATTTACGATAAAGATTTCGACGGACCAAATTGCAATGTGAACCCATTCTGGCTAGTGACCTGGCTACCTGGCTACCACCTGGCTACTTGCAGAACTTGATGGCTTGGGCCGGGCCCTTTCGCGCATTTCTGAAGAAGCCGGACGGTGCCGCCGGTTTCTCCAAAAACGCACGTACGGTATCCGAAGTTCCGACCCGGCCGGGCTGCCAGTCAACTGCCACTTTTCGAAACGGGAAACTCAAATATTCATATGGCGGGTCGAAGTAATAAATCCGGGTATATACGTTTCCGGTCCCCGACCGACCCAAAAGGGGGGTGGACCAGCGTTCGACACGGAGTTTTGAGTTCGTCGGCTCCCAGGCCGACTGTTCTCCGGTCAGTCGGCTGGGGGACAATTCCGTCGGCTGACGTTTGCCTGGGGCGCCGGTGTGACGGCTCGTGTCGAACACTGGGGTGGACCGGAAACCGGCAATTAACTTCGACGTTCGCCTTAAATTTGAAGTTTGGAGGCTATTGTTAGATCGTTAACCGCTGCCAGCATGCACACGGCGGCAGCAGCCTGCACGCCCCAACATACGGCGGTACTACGCCGGTAGTACCTAGTACCCGGACCTTCCTAGGTACTCTAACCTGTATGGTACGTACCATTCTTACTGGACGTACCCTTTCTTGCGAACCCGGGCAGGGCCGACATGCGTACATTCGGACCGAGTCGGGCCGACTCGGGCCTCGGGAGTCGGGAGTCGGAGTCGGTCGGACTCTCCGGCCCGGCCCAGTTTTCAGCACCACACGTTGACACGAACTGCACAAGCCGCGGCCCGGAGGCAGGACGTTAAACTACATTGCATCATGCAGTCTACTGTCCGACTCCTAATGATCAACATGGTCCACTCCCGCCGCCGGCGTCCCAGTATTTCCGCGGACGTCCGAAACTTCGAAACGGAAGCCCGGCCCGGCCCAATTATTACAAATCCGGTACGTACCTGGAAGTTCGGATCGTCGACGTTCGGTCAACGTCCTTCGAAGCCCTGAGCAGTGAGAGTACGGTATGCCCCGTAGAACAAAGTTTGTTTTCACACATGGATCATGATTCATGATGTGAAAGTATGATACCTATTACCGTACCAACTTTAAAGATCAAGCAGTTTCGATGCAAATATATTTTCAAATCGATCCATCTTATCAGCAGGCCGCCAAGAAGTTTCCGGATCAATTTGCAAATTTCAATATTTGGCCTTTCTAAGGCAATCCTGACTCCTGAGGGAAAAATGGGTGTAAAATTGCTCAAAATGTTTTGTGTCATACTTGCAAGTCCCTCCAAACGAGTTCGTTTTTGGCAATGCCAGCAAACGCCGTCAGGCGTGGCATTGCCTTGTAGGTATTACCCCTGTACGTCCTCTCCCGTTTCCGCCTCCAGAATCCATTGCCGGTCAACATTACAATTTCAACGACAGTCTGAATGAAGTTCTCAAAGTTGTAATTCAGTAAGTTTGAACGAATAAAGAGCCGGAAAGCTGCAACAAGTTTCAAAAGTTCTACGATGGCCTGTACGGTTGCACCAGGCACCCTACCGGGCTTGATTGTACCTACCTAGCCCCAGCTGTGCCCGGCAGAAGAAAGAATATTGGGCCACAGCGACTTCGTTTTGTACCGGGCGTCGTCGTACGGCTCGCATCTAGATTGGGGCGAATCTCAAACAAGCGAGGGAGCTGCGCATTGCCATTTTTCGCGATTGATAATTTATAAATCGCCCCCCAGAACTTGTCGACTTGCATCGAGTTAAAACAATTAATTGATCTTCAAAGTTGGTACGGTATAGCCTATACGTAGGAGGTACGGTTACTGTTAACCTACAACCAACCTACCTAGATACTTTCGGTACCTACGGTACATGCGCCCGTTTCCATGACGCAACCGTCCCCAGTCCTATGCGTTACAACGATTACCTACCGTTCTTATTTGGAATCATACCGTTCCGGTACGTACTCTCTCAAAACACAAACACGCTAGCGCGCGCTGTTTGTCGGCCGGTCGAAGTGCGCCCCCCCCAATAGGGCATCGACACGATTATCCTATGCGTACAATCAGATTGTTCGTTTGATATATCCCTCAAATTAGCGTAGGTAGCTTGCATGCATATGCTGAAAATATTCGAAATGAAATCCGGGCCCCCTGGGCCTAGCTGTCCCTCGGGGGCCTGCATGTTGGGCCCCCTCGGCCTCTTGTTCGCGGAGAAGGCCGAATGGTACCCGGGTATCCCCCCTCTGAAGGCGGGTCGGAGAGCTTTCAAAATCTGTTCATTTCAGCAGAAAATGCAGCGCGGTTTGCTTATAAGCATGCTGTATACTGTATACGCAAGAAAGGGGGGGTGGACAGGGAAACTGTGACCCAGGCTGAGCTAGCGCGCTGCATTTACCTAAATTGGCGAATGTACGTACCGTACTCGGTACCGTAGCCGGGGGTAGGCTGGTAGCCCCATCATGGGCGATGGCCCATTGGCCCTAGGAATCAGGATTCAGTACTATATTAGGTCCAGGAATCAGGATACCGGCCGGTGGCGAACACGGTGCGCAGACGTGCTTGGAGTCATGCACAGCTAATAGCTTAAATAGCTGCGCTGCGCCCTCGTTGCCGCCACGGTTGCGTGGAGGAGAGGAGAATCCTGTGATTCTGAACAAACGTTTACGGTTTAGTCCTAGCTAGCGCAGACGGGGGTCCAGTTCCTGTAATCCGATCATGCAGTCACGACTCACCGCAGCATACCTAGCTGAATGCACCGCTGTGTCTCTCTGTGTTTCTTAAGCCCAGGGCGCTTTCACTGGTTTCAAGGTGCCCAGACTTCTGGCAGCGAAACTTTGCTGTTGCAAATCCTTCTTTCGTGTTGCAACTGGCGCTAGCCTTGCCAGTTGCCCCTTCCCGCACAGTCTGGTTTTCTTGGCGGGTGCGTGAGTTCCCTCGTGGCCTTTCCCTCTTCCCGTAGCTGCCCTTTGCAATGCGTCCCGCCTGCCTGGGGACCCCCCCCCTGTGAGCTCCTGCAGGGGACCCCCTGTGCTGCCCATGGGGAGCGGCCTGGATGCCAGCCTGTCGCTGCAGCTGGGGCCGGCCCCACTGCCTGCTGCGCTTCCTGGGCCTCAGGAGGCTGCGGTCACCGGAGACCAGAGCGGCCCCATCACGTGTGTGCACTGCCAGCAGGCGGTGAGCCCCGCTGAGTTGCGGCTGGCCATCCAGTGTGGGCGGCCCGCGTGCAGCCGCTATGCGCACGCGCTGTGCGCGGTGGAGCAGGGGTACGCGGGGGTGCTGGAGGCGCCGGCGCTGGACGGGCAGTACCTGTGCCGCCTGTGCGGGACCAAGAGCGACCTGCTGCCGTACTGGAAGGAGCGGCTGGCCGCGGCGGCCACCGGGGAGGGCCTCGCGCTGGGGCAGCACCTGGGCCTGGCCGCGCGCCTGCTGCACAAGACGCGGCGCGCAGAGGTGGAGCCGGTGCAGGCGCAGGTCGAGTACGCCGTCGCACAGCTGGTGGCCGGTCAGGACGCTGACATCATCGCCAAGCTGCTGCGCCAGCTGGCAGCGGAAGCTGACAGAGTCGCCCCAGGTGAGTGGGCAGTGCAGGGGAGCAGCCTGGCAAGGGCCGCGATGGTCAGGGGCAGCGGCAAGCTTGCAAAGGTGGTCAAGGTGTTAGCCTGAAAAGGCACCGCATCTGGGAAATTGTAGGTAATCATTCGGACAGTTTGTGGATATGAATGGTCGATATACCTCGACGTTGCCCTCTTTCTTTGGTTAGCTGCGAACTTAGTGCGGGGTTTGATGCGCGAAGTTGCCGGCCAGGGTTGGCCGCTGGGCCCTGTCCGCCAGCAGTTCCACCCGGGAGCATGTCCTGGCTTACCGTGCAGCCACTAACCTGTGCTGCCCACACGGTGACCATGACAGCAGCAGGGCGCTCCTTTACCTGGCTCAGATAGGAGCCAGGTACAGTCCTCTGAGAACACTCCTGAGAACACTCTCCGTCAGCAGTGTGCCCCTTGTGCTCTGCCTTTGCTGCCCCGGGGGCCTCGGTCTTCTGGTTCTTCTGCTGTCCGCTCACTGAATGCTTCCTTCCGGTTGCTAGGCCTCCCCACCGACGCCGCTGGGTCTGCGGCTGTCTCGGCAGCCTCCCCCCCTTGGCCGCGCACTGATTTTGGCTCCGCAACCGTGCCCCCTTCTGGGAGTGGAGGCAAGGTGGAACGCAATTTTCTGGTGTGTCTGCGCACCGCCAGCGCTGGGCTGGATCGCGCACGGCCTGCCGAGGCTCCGCTGCTGGGGGGCCAGGCGGCCCTCACGCTGGGGCGGCCTGAGGCAGCACCCACCTGGGGCCACGCGCGAACCGCCAGCGACGGCCCCGCCGCCGGGGAGCATCCGCAGGGCAGCGACGCGCAGCTGGTGGCGGCGGAGCGGCTTGCGCACCTGACGCGCACGCTGCAGGTGGCCACCTGTTCCCCCTCTGGTCATGGTGCGGTGGAGGACTCAGTGGAGGGGGTCTCCGCCCGCGCCCTTCTGCGCTGTGCGTGGAGCCTCCCGGATGAGCCCTGCCGGTCATGGGCAGCCCTCTTGCTGCTGCGTGCTCCTCCTCGCTGGCCCGGGCTCTGTCGCCCTCGTTCTGGTGGCTGATGCGTGACATGCCCGCTGTGTGTGCAGGCGGCAGTGGAGGATGCGCAGGCAGAGGCGCTGCGGCTGAAGGCGCAGGCAGAGGCCGACCTGCGGCGCGCGCATGCTGCCCGCGAGGACGCCTCCGCGGCGGAGGGGGCGGCCCGTCGCGCCCTCGACGAGGCGGCCGCCCAGGAGGGCGTGGCCCGCGCCAGCATCGCCGCAGCGCAGCGGGCCGCCGACAAGGTGCAGCAGCTGAGCGCGCGGGGGGAGGCGCAGCTGGAGGCGCTCAAAGAGGAGCTGGCCACCGCCCGAGGCCTGTGTGCAGCCCCCGAGCCAACGGCGCTGCCCTTCACACAGCCCAGTAAGGGGGCCGGCACTGCGGGGGGGGCGGGGCCCCTGTATGGGGAGAATCTGGAGAGCAGCCTGCGCAGCCAGTTGAAGATGGCCAAGCTCTTGGACTCGCTGCGCGCTGCGGACCGGCACAGGGCGGAGGAGCGCCGCCGCGCGGACCAGCTGCGCTTCAAGAAGGCGCCCAGCCTGCCCGCCGGGGCCGACGAGGGGCTGATCAAAGGGGACGACGCAGCGGAGCGCAAGGGGGGCCTGCTGGCTGCGCTGCGCGCAGACCCTGCCGGGGGTGCCAACGGGGAGCGGGCCGCAGCCGACACTTTTCTGATGCTCAGCTCCGGCGGTGGTAGTACGGCCCTGAAGCGGGGCCGGCCCAGTGAAGGGCCTGACTCGGAGGCGGGTGGGCTGCTGGGTTTCGCTGCCAAAGTGAGCCGCAGCAGCCCTGGGATGGCACGCACGGGCGGCGAGGAGGGGGCGGACGGGAAGGAGGCGGAGCGGGGCGCCGCGGTCCTGGCGCAGGCGCGGGACTTCTTGACGGAGATGCACCGTGAGGGCCTGCCCCCGGGAGCCGGCCGCAGTGCGGACGGGGGCGGCGAGGCGGCGCTGGCGGCGGAGCGCAGCATCAAGGACGCGGAGCTTGTGATGCGCGCAGAGCTGGCGGTGCTGCAGAACCTGGTGCCCACCCTGTGAGTCACCCCGGGGCAGCTTGCACCCTCTCCAAGCCTAATAACGTCCTTGTATGCTTGAGAGAGTGCTGAGTGTTTCTATTTGGAGCGTGCAGGGTGCCAAGCGTCTGCTGGGTTCAACTCACTGCAGGGCAGCGAGTGGCCCTCATTGCAAGTTCGCACCTACCACTTTTCCCTCCCTGATTTGGTTGCCAGGGTGCCAAGGGTGTACGGTGCAAGCAGCGGGAAGGAGTTGTGCCAGTGAGGCGTATGCCGCTGTGTCCGTGTGATTGGGGTGTTACGCCCTGATCTTTCTGCCAAACGTTTTTGGTTATACTCATCTGGGGGCGAGTCTCGATCGGGATTGGGATCCTTGCGGGAAGACGGCTGTCTGAAGCTGCACCGGCAAACCCTTCGGGCCTTTCTACCCTCGTCTGCTGACCAAGAGTGTGGATGCCGTGCGCACAAGAACTTGCCATTGTGCCGTTACCTAAGCGGGTGACAGGGACTGCGGTGGCGGCGCTGCCATTTTTCGCCCTCATGCTGCCCCCTCGCCTTGCTTTTGTTCGCCCCCTCCATGCAGCCCCCGGGGCCCCTGCCGCGGCCTTGGGCGGAGGCCCCACCTCCGGCAGTGGGGCTGTGCTGGGAGATGCTCGGTGGGCCCCCAGCCTGGGCGAGGCCTGCAGCGCTGGCCCGCCTCTGATGTTGTTGCTCTCTCGGTGCAGGGCACGTCAGTTTGGGGAGCGCAAGTTCCGGGTGCTGGTCATTGCGGCGCTGGCGCGGCAGTGGGACGGCACGTGGCGGCTGTGCCTCACACGGCGCAAGGGCAAGGGCTTCCGCCTGCAGCTGCCCATGTGCGGCCTGGACGCGGGCCTGGACCTGCTGCGCGAGGAGCGGCCCGACACGCTGCCGCTGGCGCGCAAGCTGGCGCGCGACTGCCTCGGCGAGACGCCCGACACCGTCCTGCTGAGCAGCCCTGCCGGGTACGACACGCCCGTGATCTACAAGGAGGAGCAGAAGGACGGCAGCCTGACCATGGCGCTCATCCACCCGCTGCTGGCCTCCCCCGCGGCCGCGCCCACCGCGCACGCGGGGACGAGCTACCACCACGGGGACACGTTCGTGAGCTGGTGCCGCGCCGACGCGCTGGTGCCCGTCGTGCGCGACGTGCCGCAGAAGTTCAGCGCGACCTTCCCGCGCGTGCTCAAGTGCCTGGAGCTGCTGATGAGCAACCCGCTAGACGGCTGGCCTCTGCCCGCGCTGCTCAAGCTGGGCGTGCAGGCGCCGGACGTGCTCGGCTAGAGCGCGGCAGGTGTGTTGTTGGCGGGGTTGCCACGCAGAGGCGGGAAGCGTTGCTGTGAGTCCGTCTCCTAGAAAAGCTTAGACGACACTGTGCGGGCAACATCGCCAGTGTCAGATGCCATCCTCGCGCAGTGCCTGCGGATGCAATCTGCCAGTGTGGCAAGGGCAGCTCAGCAAACGCCCCTTAGTGAGAGGGTATGCTTTCGTGTCATGTTATGTACGGTGTTGAGTACTGCTTATGGATAGATAGGTATAGGAAAGCGTCGTACTGTCCACCGGGATGAGTGATAAAAGGTATCCCCAGTCGATGGATGTAACTAGGCAGGTTGTCGACCCCCAGCCACTACAAGTGGGTTTCCTTCCAGATGCAGCCTCGGGTTTTACATACACATTCCATGGCCCGATACTTTCGACTGCTGCAAGCAATGACAAATGATATAATGAGGGCAATATATATAATGAGGGCAATATATATAATGAGGGCAATATAATGATAGCAGTTTGTAGCCATGTCTGCAAATGGATACTCAAGGGTCGCATTGATTTGAATAGGCTCGACGATTTCATGCGCATGCGTTCATCATTAGAATTATCTTGCAAACGCCAATGATCTTTGCACATGTCATTGAACATTGACGGTAACCACGGCATGGGCGGCTCAAATGAGGATATGTCACAACGTAGCGCGTCGCCTAACGAATCAGCATGAGACACGTGGCATGTCGTGTCGTACTTAGTAAAGGAAGTTAGCTTAAACCGACGTAGTTAGCGCACCTAATCGTAACCTCGTAGACTCGACGCGCATTGGCTCTAGACCATGGTCACATCGTGCTGGACATCCATTGGTCCAAAATGTTATCCACAATCCAATTATTGCACGGAAGGTTCCAACAATTGAAACCGGGTACGTTTTCGAACGTTCTCATCGGACGTAACCCAGCTCGGAGCTGGTTGTGTCACCGTCAGTCACCAGGTTATGTAACCAACCGTCGCGTACCCTGTAGCATGCGGCGCAGCCAACTGCAGGATGCTTATGGACATCCAAAGTTGCTTGGACGAGTCCACGGGTACTTAAGCAAATGGCTCATCCATTTCCAACTTGACTTTCATTCAAGTTAACCAAATCGCCACCGGACACTTGTGTCCACCCAGCATCCGAGCGCCTTGAGCGTTCACCCCAGCACCCGAGTACCTTGAGTACTCACCCCCAGCGCTAGCAGTACCGGCGAAAACAGGAGACAACATCAACAAGCACTGTACCAGTACGACAACGCCACCGGCGTAGGAGAACGACAACCAACGACAGCAATACCAACACGACAGTAACTTAATCGGCCCTATAGCCTTCAGCGTTACCTTCTTGTTTTACATCACCATGTCCCACGCCTCCGGCGATGCCATCATCCAATCAGTAGTGTCATTTGCCTGTACTTGTCTTGTGCCCATGCTTGAAACCCTTTTGGACATCCAAAAGTCCTGAAGTACGAGCCACCGCCAAACTGGGTAGTGCACCTCTCGGACGGACAAAGTGGATGCTGTGGAGATTGCCTTGAATGTTAGCACAAGCCACCTCCAATGCAGCTTGTTTAGAATGTGCCATATACCAGCCATACTTTTCCGAGCGACAGCCTAGAATCCATCGTGTCCTTTCAATCAATCCTTAACCAAGGGAAGGGGCCCTACCCCGGCCACTGAAAATGAATGACTATGAATTCCATACATGCAACTCATTTATAACCTAGCATGTTACGAATTGCCCGTACCATGTACTTTTTAATGCTTAGCCAATCCACATGTCTCCTCACGGCACGTAATCGACGTCAATCGGACGCCGACGCTGTGTTCCGTGACAGATACAACGATCGATCTGAGTCATCACGGCGCCCAAGTTGTAGCTGCCATGGGGCCCCGGATATAGTATAACTCCTACTTTATCATTGCGCTTAGACTCTCAGTCTGCATGTGCCCGGCATACAGAGTATGGCTTCAGAAACGAAACTTGTTCTTTGATATGCATGCCGCAATCGCTGCACGTCACTATAACAATAGTAACTCATGTCCAACAAGTGCAAACAATCAAACAAGTTACACAGCAGCATGCTAGCACTATCTATAGTTTGCAAATTATAGATTTCGCATGGATTTCATGTGAGATGAAGAACTGTGCATGCAATCATATGATCGAAGACTAAACGTATTAATCAGAACTTGTGATTGCAGAGTCGTATGCATGGTGCCAAAGCTCAAGTATAAAAAAGTCGCCATGCCAATGCAAACTGCGCAGCCCATGCATGTCACTTGCGGACGATGTAACTCTAGAACTACCGTGCATAAGTCCATAAGGTGGCTTTCAAAATCCATTCAAGATTGAAAAGCATAAGCTACCACGTCCAAAAACCTGTATCAGCATACAAGCACAAGCACACGCACAAAGAACTCTCGAGAATCGGAAGCAAAGAATCATCATGCCTCAGTCCCTTAGGTACTTACCCAAGCATAAGTACGATTCAAGCAGGGATAAAACGATATGCATACGCTGCCCTTCCCATCCCCACATGGAAGTCCTCCTTGCAAAGGACTACCATATGCAAATGTTTGCTATCAATACAAGTATCGAATTGCAGACCCTGAAACGACGCCCACATCACAGCTTTATCATGTCACTGGCATTGCCAACTTACATCTTCAAGAAACTGTTGACAGGATAGATTACTCAAGGACATGTATCATCTCTTAAGGAGGGCTGAAACACGAACAAGAACACAATGCAGGACTCCACCCAGTTGGAAATCCCAACATTCAATAATCTGTACAAGCAAGATGTCCTGGCCTCACCTCCACCTTTATTTAATCTGCTGTCCAACTTTGCTCTACGATTTCACGTACTCGACGATTGTATTCCCGGCGATTCTCGCTGTATAATCGAGCAGCCTCAGAATTTGCAGGGGAGTTGGGGTTTGGATCGCACAGCAAGGACTGCAGGAAAGGAGTAAGTCAACATAAGAAGAGCAAGAAAGAACAGCAGAAGAGAACCAACAATCCATGCTCTTTGGACAACTCCTCCCAAAACACAAATGAACTTTTTAAAGCTGTGAAAATTGGATGACTGAAAGCACAGCAAAGCACCCTATATTCCTGGGGTCAAGCAAGCTCTCTGCACTGAAACACATCAGTGTCTGCCAATAAAAGAGGTGGACCCTCGTCCAGATCGTCTGCTTGCCTGGATTGAAGTCAGGATTGCGGACACATCGTAGATTGGGCTCCATTGATTTTGAAGAATGTCTAAGCAGATCCCGCCGTCTGCATATACTGCGAGGCAGAGGAAGATTATCAGGATCCCAACTGCAGCAACAGCACAAAAGGCAGGCAGCAAGCCCAAGGATATCAAAAGCTCCAGAAGCTGCCCCTGTGCACCACATGCCTCTCACAGATCTGATTCCAGCTCCACCAGTCAGAACCGCCACACCCACTTCAGAGCATCCCAGTCAGTCATTGCAGCTCCAGAGCTTTGCAAACAACAATTTCCGATGCAAACAGCTGAACGCCAGCGGCTGCGCACACCAGCCACCACTTTAGGCAAGTACGGGGGTCGAAAACCCTAAACCGGTCGACTAGCCGGACACTTACCCTGGAAGATAGATTCGTTGCTGAGAAGAGAAGCAATAGATATCTGGACAATTTCAGCGTTTGAAAGTACAGGCTTTGGCTTCCATGCCTTGGCTGGCCCGTGTGACTTACTGTTTGGATGGAACATCTTTGATACAAAGCGTACAGTGGGCGCTTTGTTGGGGTAGTCTTCCGTGAATTGCAATGTCAACTTGAATGTGCCTGCGTGCGATTGGTAAAGGTGTCAGTTCCAGCACAAGCGAAAGCGCACCCAGCAAATACCAACGGGCCAGAAACGTGCCACCCAGACTTTCAACAAACTTATCAAATCCTAATTTGCAAGGCCCACATATGCACGCTGAAAATTAATACTCTTTCTCAGCTGGGCAGGCTTACCTCCATCCCAGGGTGTATCATCTGGCCTGCACGGAAGAACAGAAAACGGCTCAGGGGACCTCCAAAGACGGCACATCGATAATCCTGATACATGACATCATACCCTTAGCTTACCTAACTCACTCACACAAAATTACACAAAATCACTCACCCAAAGATGACCGCATTCCATAGCATGATGTTGTTGTCCTGGGGAGCTCCGCTTATACCAGCAGGCGGGTCATTTTGGAGCCTCTTGAAATCCCGCATCAACCGTTTGCGTGATGGGGTGGACATGACGAATGGAGAAAGACAGAGGACAAAGGAAATAACCAAACCCAACACCTCGTGGTGCAAGCTGCTCTCCGAAGTCCCCCTCCAACACTTGCAAAGAAAGACACGAAGAAGATTGTGGGGCTGGTTAGCACTGGCAGTACACCTACCCTGCTCATAATCTGTACACTGTGCTGCACTGCAATGGCATGGCGCAATGGCACATGCTCGGCCCGGGGCCGAAGTTTCGACTCGGTGACTTGACCGCGACTGTCAAAACTGACACCGGGCGCACGAGGTACCATACATGCACGGCGAAAATCTATGTACCGGTACCTACGATCTGGACACGTGGTAGTAAATACCGGGTGGATTTGCAATCTTGCAGGTGACCTGCAGGCTGCAGCCTCACATGCGGCGCAACTTGACAACAGAAGAATACCTATGCTCCACCACGAAGGAGCTACCTACCAGGTACCTAGTCACCCGCTTATGCCAATGGGTGCTTCTTGCTGAGCTAGCCGCCTGTTCGTGCTTTAGTGTTCGTATCAAGTGAGTAGAATCAATTTTGCCTGGTGACGTTGGCTCTTCACAGCCTTCACTTGTGCCCTCTGTTTCTCTAGTTGGTGCAGTCCAGCTTCACAAGCAGGCAACGTTAAGTCCTTTGGTCCCCTTCTAAGTGGCTGTAATCTAGCATGGTGGGAGGCAAGCGGGAAGAGGTCCCTGTTGCGACCATCACGAGCAGCAACATTTTTGCTGCGCTTGAGAAGAAGAAGAAGAGCAAGAAGCCCAAGGACGGCGCCACCAAGAAGGATGGCAAGAAGGCCAAGGGAGACGCCGCCCCCAGCGTGGACGTGTGGCAGGCCGCCCCCATCCAGGTGGCATCCTGGGCCGACTGCGAGGACGACGACGACTTTGGCGGGTTAGGGCCGGTGCCACAATGGGGTAACGATACAGCCACAGTAGCACAGGAGGACAAACAGGTGCGCACGGCAGTCACGGTGGCTCATAAAAAACCCGTGCCTGGGAAAGCAGTGGCTACAGAAGGTCAAATGTGGTTGCAGCGAGTGTGGTGGTCATGTTATAACTTTATAGACCCATTAACAACCTGGGCTCCGTGTTGGCGGCTTTGCCTGTGGGGAGGTTGGCAATGGTTGTTTCCAGAATCTTCCCGGCTCCTTGTGGGCGCAGATTGTCGGGATGGTCTGGGCAGCTGGCTGATGCCCAATGCCCTGCTGCCTCTGGAGGTGTTCCTAGCAACCCATTGTGGTGACAAGCAATTCTTTCCAAGCGGGCTGGGGAACCGATTGACGCGGAGTTGTCAGTTATCATGTGATACCAAACATTCGTAGTTGGTTCACTTTCCTTTCAAAAAAGCTCGCCGAATCAGTGTGCCCTTATTTAAGCTGCTGCCACTGGGGCACCGCCAGGTTGCAAGCAACATTTCTGGCTTTAGAGTGTGCCTCTTGCAAACCAACTTGTTCTGAAAGGGTTTATGCTTGTTGTGCTTCCGAACAGCCCTGTGCTCAGTGACTAGGTGTGACTCGGCCCAAGGCAGCTCTGTTGCTTAATGGTTTCAAACGCTCACCGGATGCCACAAGCAGCTTTTGATCCTTTGACCGTTGGAAGCTCGTGAAGGTCTTAGACGTGTTTCAACCCACAAGTCAGTGTGCATGTCAGGGCCTTCAGACTGCGAACAGCGTGCATTGCAGGGAAGCAAGGTGCACTTTGGCACCAGTGCTCTGCTCTGGTTTTGCAGCAGCAGGACTCACCGGTTGGCCTGTCTGGCCTGTGTCACTGTCTGTCTTAGAAGCCTGTCTCCCTGCCCCGCGGCGACCTATTAGCCCCGCTGGTATTGTGGTGGATGCCTGCTCAGTGTGGAGGTGGGCCTTGTGGCAGGCCGCGGAGGAGGAGAGCGACGAAGAGATTGAGGCGCTGCAGCACGGGGAAGATGACCACGACGATGAGCGCGACGGCGACGAGGGAACGGCCGCTGACGCAGACGATGACGCAGACGAGCAAGGGGAGGGAGCGGGGGAGGCGGGGGCGCCGCGGGAGGCTGCCACCGCCGTGGTGGCGGTGCCGCGGGAGCCGGAGCGGCAGCTGTCCAAGAAGGAGCTGAAGAAGAAGGAGATGGAGGACCTGGAGAAGGTGCTGGCGGAGCTGGGCATCCAGGCCAAGGCCAACGGTGAGCACAGCCACCGCGCCACTAATACAAGCAGGCACGCGGGGGGCGGGCCAGTATCCACCTGGCTGAGCATGTCGCTGCTACTGCGTGTCGTCTGGTCATCGCCTTGCGTATCCACCAGCCAGCATTTGCCTCGCCCCTGGCGGGTGCCCTGCCTGCTGCTGAGGGGGTGGGTGCCCCTGCGCAGGTGTTGCACCCGAGTTGAGGCCGGTGGCGGAGGACAAGGAGGACGCAGCGCGCGAGGAGGAAGAGGACGACGGGGCCAGGGGGGAGGCGGGCCTGCCGCGGACCAAGAGCAAAAAGAGCAAAAAGAAGAAGGATCGGAGCGAGGTTGCGGAGGAAGGGGCTGAGGCTACAGGTAAAGCGTGCAAGCAGTGCAAGTGCTTGTATCGTGTATAGTAGATAAGTCGTTGCTTGTTCCTGGGACTGCATGCTGCAAGTATTTTTGAGGTTCTGGTCACAAAGTCTCACTTAACTCAGCGAGGTGCATCAAGATTCACACGTGCAGTACATGACTTGATTTAGGGTGTTGTTAGCGAAGCTTGGTCCAATCGCTTTCCATTCAAATTGATTTGTGAGGTTGAGCCAAGGAGTCCTGCTGGGCATAATCTTGATTATGCTCTGACTTACTTAACATGGGAAGTTCGAGTCTCAAGTTCGGGTATTGTATTCTGCCCTTGCCGCTTGTTTCTTGCTATTGAACATTCAAAAGCTTTGGGATTTGGGTAAGCTAGATCCGTACTCGACTTTCAAGCAGAAGCCAATGCGAACTGTCACATAGCAAAGCGAAGTAGTCTAATCACAAGCCCCTTCACATTGATCTGTCTCAAATTTGAGAGGTACCAGATGCTCTGTTACCCTGTCCGCTATAAAATTGGAGTGTCATACAGGATCATGTGGGATGTGAAGGCTATGCCTTCTTACCTTGGTGATTGCGAGTGTCGATTGGAGGTGCTGCCTCGCCGCCTTGGCAGATTAGGAAGGCGTTTCTCAGACAGACATTCTGCGAATGTTGTCATGGTTTCAGCGAGACAGTTGGCAGGAATTGCCTGCTGAGGACGAGTAGCCCCCGCCTGAACCCCATGTGCTCCCTGCTTGCAGCGGCGAACGGCGAATCCAAGGGGGACGAGCCATCCGACGACGTCGAGGCTGCGGACGAGGGGCCGTTGTTGGACCCCAAAGAGGCGCTGAAAAGGCTCAAGTCGCAAAAATCGACAAAGAAGAGCGACAGCGTTGCTGCTCGTGCGAAGGCAGCAATAGAGGAAGCTGCCAAGAGAAAAGCGAAATTGGCGAAGGCGAAAAGTAAGGATAAGTCTCACTACAATCAGCAACCTGTAAGGTAGGTCTGGTAATAGAGCTCTTGTTTTAGCAAGTCGTTTCGAGTCCAACGTTGTTGTAGCAGAAGCATGCTTCTGATTTTACTTGAAGGGATGTGTAACGCGCACTCTCCGGAAGTGTATCTTCCAACTGTGTGCTTCAACGCCTTAGTCTAGGTCTAGAATATGCTGTAGCTCAGACCCGGGAGGTAGCAAGTAGAGGGACCTGTTGAGAGTTCTAAGCGGTATGAATCCCGCTCCTCTTTTTAAAGACGAATGGAATGCTTTTTGGTCCCCAACTTGTCTTGAAGAGTCGTTGGAACATTGGATACCACCTCCAATTGGTTTCATGCTTTTCTTCATTTAGTCAAGACAAGCATAGGTGATTGTGACGATGAAACGTGACGTATGGTATTGCCCGCGCAAGGGAGTTGAGCTAAGAAGCGACCCTTTCATGAGCAACTTAGCGTTTTAGTGCCTTTATGCCCTCGGCTAGAATGTTTAGTCTCAAATACAACAAAGGGTTGTGCAATTTTCGTTGTACATAGTATCCAAGCTTGCATGGATGGTCTTTCATATGAGTGCTCCTTAGGGCGCGGCGGCATGCAACTATACACCTTCTTTTACCAATCGCGAGTCAAAACGTCAATACCTTTATATGGTCGTCTAATTGTTTGACCAGTGCGTGCGCCACAAATGCATCAATCCGGCGATATTCGCATAACAGGATCCAACTATAATCAACAAACTTGACTTGACTTCACGTTGCCGCCATGTCCGGTCACCGTGCAATCAAACAGTTCACCACGTTGTAATTAAACATATGCTATGGCGCGGAGAACACCTACCACACATGGTCTGATTGTGGCATGTGCCGAATCGCTCATGAGGGTTTGCATTTAGTGCACATGCGCTTGCCACGTACTACTAGAAAAGACAGATTGATATGAGTCATCCTTACATTCTCAAGCAACTCCATAGGATTCAGTGCTATCTGAGAAGCCTGTGACCAATCTGATCAACAGCGCGTATTGATGCCGGGTCGCTCTTGACAGGAACCTTGATGCACCCTAATCAACGAATCCGGAATTGCCAAATATATCGTCCATAGGGGACTCACGAAGATAGTAACTCATGAGCATTCGGATTTAGAAGCACATACAAAAACAGCGACAAAGCATAATGAGGATGCTCGATGCTTGTTGATGTATCCTCGAGGCTCTTCTAGGGCTCCGAGCTCTAAAAAGGTTGCAAAAGCCTATAAGGAATCTAGACCTGACTTTGTAAACTACGTTGGAAACGAGAGATACTACTTACTTCTTCTTTCCAACAAACACTTGTTTCTAAGCTTGATGCAAGCAGACCTGTCCTAACTAGTCTTGTAGACGAGTCAACGAAGCTGACGGGAAGCTGACAGGACGCTGACCCTAGCTGGTACTACTCCTATCCTACCAACAATAGAGGGTAAGGATGCTCTACTTAACCTACTGGTACACAGGCTGGTGATCGAGCTACTGTACGACGATTTCTCTACGTTGCCTGGCAAATACTCCTGCTACAAGCCACCCCGAGCGAGTGCGGTGAGTGGACGCCTACTCCTGTGCGCGAGCGTCTGGTCTTTTCTCGCAAGGCGTGACTTACTTACTCTTTCTGCTATCCGTACAGGGTTTGTCTGTGTCCCCCGAGCCTCGTCTACTCCCCCCAGGAGCAGGGCCCTGACCCCGGCCGTTGCTGTCCCCCCTAAGGACCGCATCAGGCTGCCTTCTGAGCGGTGAAGAGCCCCCACTTCTGCTCCCCCTGCGCGCACCGCGCCAGCTTGGCCTCCCAGCCCGCCACGATGTAGTCGTAGTCCTCCTGCAGCCACGCGCCACCCCATCACACGCGCACCAACGCCACGCAATGGAGCCCAGGGCCGAGACAACAGGCGACCTTGCGACCCACGCATCGGAGCGAAAGAACGACTGCCGGATGGCAACTAGGGCCGGTGGCGCCAGTGTATCCCCTGTTGCTGCGCGCACAGAGTGCTCACCTGGGAGAAGTCGGCCACGAAGTCGTCCTTGGCCTGGGCAAAGCGCGCCAGCTCCGTCTCGAGCACAGCCATGAACTGCACTCAGCAGGGCAGTCAGCACGGAGCAGCGCTGAGGAGTACCCGTGCAGATAGAAACGAGAGCGCCACCAAGGACACTGCCAAGCTGCGCCCGCGGTCAACAGGCCGGCAATTGGGGGGAAGAGACCGTTAGGGGACAGTTCCGCAACTGAAATAATCAATATGAGATTGGACTATAGCAGGGTTCACTCAGCCTGCGATTCGACTCTCTCCGCATCGTACCTGCCCTGGACCTACCCCAGCAGTTCCGTAAAAGTGTTCTGAGTCAGCCTTAGCAGATTGTCAAGGCTAGTTTGGGGCACGGCCTGCTGCAGTGGCAGTTGCTGACCTGCTGGGTGCGGTCCTCGGCAGCAACACGGGTGAAGCCAGCCGTCTCAAGCATCTGCACCAAAACGCACCAGTTAGTACCTATCCCGAGGTGCACCAAGCTACTGAAGCCCGTTGTGCGCTGCATACGTCTGGCGCCAACCTCGGCATGTTGCGGCAGCCGCCTGCACCCTGCTCCTCGCTCAAGGTCCCACCCCGCCAGCTGGTGCGGGGGGCTTTTCCCCGCGGCGACTGACCTGGCCGTAGGCGGTCACAGTGTGCAGGTCGTAGCCGCGCTGCTGCACGTAGGCGCAAAAGTCGGGGGATGCGGCGTGGGGCCCCTTGCAGTAGTCGCTGATGAGCAGGCGGCCGCCCGGCTTGAGCCAGTGGTGGAAGCGGCGGAAGAGCGCGGCCTTATCGTGGATGTGGAGCAGCGTGTCGCGGCTGTAGATGACGTCGAAGGTCGCCTCGGGGTACGCCTTCTGCGTGCAGTCCGCCACCTCGAAGCTGACGGAGCACTTGCGCCCAATCGCGCTCTGGAGCGCCAGCGTCACCTGCCACGCCCACACGGCACCCAATCAGCGCAAAGACGGCACAGCCGATGATCAGCGCAACTGCCGCAGCGCACACATTGAAAACGAGGGACGAACGGCAGAGCCGCGAGGGGCCGACTCAGCGCCAAGGGCAGCCTGAAGGGGCACATTCGGGCCGAGGAGGGGCCAAGGGCGCGGCTGACCATGTTGACGGAGAGGTCGATCCCGTAGACGTCCACGTCGAACTCGTCCGCCATGTAGAAGTCGCCCCCGCCGATGCCGCAGCCGACGTCCAGCACCTTCTGGCCCGGTTGCAGGCCGAGAGTAGCAACAAACTCGCGGGTCGTGTCTGCACCAGGCAAACAGGCGCACCACCGTCAGGGGCAGGGGCAGGCGCAGGCAGCGACCACACAGGAGCAGCCCATGCCAGGCTCCTTTCCCCTGCTCGCAGCATGTTAGAGCAAATACAGGTGAGCCCCCCTCAGCTCCACGCCTACTTGATACTGCACCACGGCCCTTGCGCCGCATAGCTGCATGCCGAATCAGGCCTGGTGCTCGTGGGCGGCGCACTCACCGAGGCCCCCCGTGCTGACAAAGCCGGGGCCGAAGACCCTCTCATAGCGCAGGATGCCGCGGTTGGTGTATTGCTGGCTGTCGAGGAAGCGCTGCGCACTGACCCCCCCAGGGCCGTCCGCCTGCACCTTCTGCCACAGCCAGCATACCTGCGACACACCACCCGGCACCGTGTCAGTGTTGCACAAAGATAAATTATGCAAGCCCAAACCAGGTCCGAGCGGTGCCAGGTCGGGTCTTGCAAGTTTGAAAGAGGCCAGCCCTCATTACGCCCTAGAAGGGGCAACATAGGCATCCAGGTAAGGGCACAAGTGACAGCACGAAGCTGCTACAAAGAGATAAGAGAGGAGTCTCTCTGTACACGAAGGCGACTCCTCAGTGTGCAACGCGCAACACAGTCCAAGTTTCCGCAGTGGCATCCGATTGGGCCTGTACTTTGGGTACATTTTCGCTGGTGGACAGAGCAGACCAGCAGCCCAGCCTGGACCTTGACAGCAGTCAGGGAGGAAAGAGGGGCGCGGCGCCCAGCCTCTTCAAAGAAGAGCAGCCACCCAAGGTCAACGTGGAGGGGCGCTGACCTGGTTCTGGTTCTTCTTGTAGGTGACGTACGTGTCCACGCACTTGCAGTCCACCAGCTGCAGCTCCGAGAAGCTGCCGTCCGCCTCCGCCACGCGCAGCTCCGCAAAGATCTGCCAACAGAGCAAGCAAACGGTCAAGACAGGCCACTTGCACGCGCTGGAGGAACCCCCTGCGCAGTGCAGGCGGCCGGTAAGACCCGTTAGAGGGCGGGGGAGCGCCCGCTCGCAGACTGCTGCACAGAACAGCCAACCCGCAAGAGGGCGGAATGACACAGGGCTCAGGAATCAGCACAGGAGGGGCCTCGGGGTGGCGCACCTGGTTGTAGAAGCTGGGGTCCCGGTAGTGGGTGGGGTTGGACTTGCGCTTCTGGTCGCCGCTCTGGTGGAAGCACGACTCGCGGAAGAACAGGTGGCCCCCGGGGCGCAGCCAGCGCAGGCACCGCTCCGACAGGCTGCGTACCTGCGACAGACCAGCGCTCGGTAAACTGTCCAGGGAGGGGCAGCGCTCAATCGCAATTCTTGGCATGCGTGCACTGCGCAAGGGCAGCCCTTGCAAAGATCTGCCCCTCAGTGCAAATGTTATGCTGGGCAATCAAGGCCAGAGGCATCGAGGCAGCGATCGGCGGCCCCCTTGTCCGTTGCTCCCCTCACCTCGTCATCGTCGAGGTACATGAGGAGCCAGTTGGAGAAGACAAGGTCTGTCTGGCACTCAGGAAGCTCGAGCTGGGTGACGTCCGCAGTTCGGAAGGAAGCATTGGGGAAGTGACCATGCACCTCCTGGTTCTGCAGCGCACCACCAAGATTGATATTACACCCACAGCATGCCCAACCTTGGAATGCAGTTAAAGCAGCTCAGGCAGGCCACCCATGCACTCGATGTGCAGACGAAGCTAAGTGGTGGGGGTGGCCGCGCATGTGGCAGGAATCACTAGCCTTCTGGTTGCCACAAAGGTGGTCATGGAAGGCACACTAATGTGGACTCTGTGGAACACACCTTCTGAATGGCGCTCTCCATGAAGTCCACTGCAAGAATGCTCTTGGCCAGCGCGGCAAAGGAGCCGGTGAAGCGGCCAATCCCCGCGCCAAGCTCCACAATATCCTTGCCGCTCAGCACAGGAAGCATCCCCAAAATCTGCAGCAAACAGCCCAGAGCAACAAAGCCCTTTAGCACGGCTTACACAGAAAGAGACGCTCCAGAAACAAGCAGGCATGAGGTCAAGAGCAATGGCGATGGGACTGTGCCCGTGCACATGGTGGCAAGGATGCATGGTGGCAGCCAATAAAGCGAACGTTTGCAGGGTGTCGGTGGTACAGGTGGCGCACCCACCTCGGGCCTCTCCATCTTGTCGAGGACACGCGCCTGGCTGTCCAGCATCATGGCCTCCACGGTGCCCTGGCTGTGCTCCTTCCAGTACGCCTCCTGCACCGCACGCTCCGCTGCACAGAAAACCACCAAGCAGCAACTCAGAAAAGACAGGGCAAGAAGCGAGAACGCCGTTCCAAACTGGCAACTTGCAACAAGCATGCAACAGTGCCCTTAAGGCATCAAGTGCACTACCCGTTGCATGCAATAAATTGCCAAACGAAGATGGTTGAACACCGGCGCAGAAGCACAAAATCCCAATTACTGAAACGATGCTCCTCACTTGTAAACGCCATGGCGGCTTCCAACGCTTCTCCCACGGCCAGCGGCGACAGGACAACGAGCTCAAGAAGTCGAGGTGAAGTGAGCTTCGCCAAATCTGCAATTGTGCTCTGTTCTGATTCACTGTCTGTGTTCAGAATCACACTTCAGTCTCAGAAGAGGCACTGGCCCAATGAAGAATGGCATGGCAGAGGCTGAGTAGGCTGGTATTTCGGTTACCGCAAACCCCCTGCCATTGCCACTGTTGGAGGTGCGGCCGCCGTCACTACCGAAGGGACCGCGCTTGGATTGCTATAGTAGGTACGGCCTAGATTGGTCTCGGGAAGTAATCACTCATGAGTGAATATACTGGCGACATTTGTGTTCACTTAAGCGTGTGTTCACTTAAGTATCCGCCCGGGGCAAAAACAAACTAAAAACCTAAACTAACAAGATTACGCGCTCCGCACCCTTACCCACCCTAACCCCCATACCAACCCTACCCGTCCCCGGGACCTGTTCTTAAGTGAACACAGTTGTCGCCAGTTTGAGTGACAACGGGACATACGCAAGTTGCAAGTTGCAACACGCTTTACCGTTCGATGGTGCCGAGCGGTTGGCGGCGACAATAACGGCAGAGGGGTTAACTATACATGTTTTAAATAACCCATGCCACAGATGCACAAACAGGTGGCGGCAAGATCTCTCTCCTGTCTCCTGGAAACGCCAGGCTTGCATTGGATTGTGCAATGGCGGCATCATAGGCTGACATAGCACCAGCAGACTTGCGCCCAAGCCTACCGTCCCTTGTTTTCAACCTATTTCAGCTCAGCATGGACATAGAGGCATTCCCGACACGTGGCCATTGGATGGCCTAGCTGCAGGAAGCTTTGCGTGAAGGTCCCCGCATGTCCATTTTAGTGGCTCAACACCTTGTTGCAGGGGAAGAGCAGCTCTTAGCATTCTGCGTGGGGCTTTCGTCCCTGTGCCGCGGTCCGCCTCCTCTGCTCCACTGAGCGTCTGCCATGGTGAAGGAGACGGAGTTCTACGAGCGGCTGGGAGTGCCCCCCGATGCCAGTGCAGGGGACATCAAGAAGGCGTACTACTTGCAGGTCAGCCACGCAGACACGCAGGGCAATGCACTGGTGATTTGCGGGCTGGACGCGGCAGCATCTGGACCAGTGCTCTCACCTTGGTTGCATCAGCCTGCATTGCTAGTGCTGGGCCTGGCCACGGGCGGTGCCCCGACCTCAGCACCCGGCATTGCCAGGCAGCTCTTTGCTCTTTACCTGCACAGTGAATCGACAATGCTGTAATTGAGAGAGAGACAGTTGTGTGTTACTGCAAATTGTGGTTGTCTAATAAGGGGGTAAGGAGTGCCCGTTGGGGCTACGCTTCTGTTTTCTGGACCTTTAGGTCTAATTGCCCCATTTTGTCCTGGCAGGCGCGCAAGGTGCACCCGGACAAGAACCCCAGCCCCGATGCCGCCCGGCAGTTCCAGGTGCGTGCCCTGCCATGCCTGCTCTCGCGGCATTGCTGCCCATGCTCACTTGTATCTGATTGCCGCATCGCTGCCTCAGCGCTGAGCGCTTCTGGGCACTATCTGCTCATTGCGGTGCTGCCCTCTTACTGGCGGGCCTCCCTGGTTTTCGGCATGGCCATCGGGCCACAACAGGAAATTGGCTACCCGGTGCCTTCGATACGCCTTTGCCCCTCTGCTTCTTGATAGCTACATGTGTGCGGCTGGTATGGTGCAGGCTCTCGGGGAGGCGTACCAGGTGTTGTCGGACCCGCAGCAGCGTACCGCATATGACAAGTATGGCAAGACCAGCGTACAAGAGTAAGCCGCCCCCCCCAAGCAGGGTTCGCCAACCGCGGCCGGCACATGCTGTAAAAATTGCTGGTCCCGCTCTGCTCCTTGCGAGCTTCCTCTGAGCGCTTGTTCTGGCCGGGCACACTCTGCTGTTGGGGCAGTCTGCGGCGGCGCGCTGCCGTCAGTATTCCCTGACAGAGCGAGTCGTTGACTGGTGGGTGCGGTGCGGTGCAGGGAGGGGCTCATGGATCCGGGCGTCCTGTTTGGGATGCTGTTTGGGAGCGACCTGTTTGCGGAGTACACGGGCCAGCTCGCCATGGCCAGCGTGGCCGCCCTCTACGCAGAGGGCGCCAGCACCCACCAGCAGGTGGACCAGGCCGCGCTGCGCAAGAAACTGCAGGTAAGCACGGCAGGCACCTCACGCGACAAGGGGCTGCCGCTACTTGAGGGGAGGGGCAATGTTGGGCCAAGCTGTCAAGAGCGATTGGTGTGCGGGAGCAACAAAAGCATGCTGACAAGCTTCCCCCATTCGCTCCAGTTGGCAGTATCGGCGCGCTTCCTGGCGGTTTGGAGCCCGAGAAGATGAATCACAGGGCCCCTGTGCAGCCTAAATTTACTGCAGCTCGGTCGGGGGCGAGGGTCTTACTCTCGTGTGGGACGAAGTCTCTCGAGCTGTGCGGAATGCTGAGAGCCCCCCCTGGCATGTTTGTGCGGTGCAGGCGGTGCAGGTGGAGCGCGAGCACGCGCTGGCCAGCCTCCTGGTGGGCAAGCTGGCGCTGTACGTGCAGGGCGACCGCGACGGCTTCACCGCGTGGGCCACCGCAGAGGCAGCCAGGCTCGCGGATGCCAGTGAGGCCCAACAGCCAGCTCATCCGTCTGCCAGCCGCCCGTTGCGTTCAAGAGAATTCAAAGTCTCGGCTGCTGGTGTTCGTGAAGCAGTCAATGTGTTGCGATCCACATAATCCTGAGTAGATGCACATACCCCCTAGTGAAGGCAGTCCTGGGCCAATCTTCCTCACAGATTCTACGCTCTTCTGGATCCAACTTGCAGCATTTGGGGAGGCATTCTTGCATACGATTGGCTACATCTACGAGCGGCGGGCGGCAGCCTTCCTTGGGAAGCGGTGGGGCCTGCCGTTTGCCGCAGAGTGGGTGCGCGCCAAGGGCCATGGCTTCAGGACACAAGTCTCCGCCGCAGCAGGTGAGTGCACCCACGCGCCAAAGGGCCCCGGTCTTGGCAGGTCAGGGCCAGCCTGCAGCACTCAACGCCGAGAAGACCAGTTCATGCCTTGCCCTCGAACCTGCTGGGCAGCAAGTACCTCCACCAGCACCCGGAAGTTTTGATGTGAGACCGATGTCTTTGCGCAATACGGTGGCTTTTGCACTGGCGTCTTCTGCCCTTCTGGTTGTGGTGTCGTGCCTGACGCAGCGGCGAGCCCGTGCAGGCGCGGTGAGCCTGGTGTCGATGCAGGAGGACTTGAAGCGGCAGCTGCGCAGCGGGGACGTGAGCGAGGAGGCGGTGGCGGCGTTCCTGGCGCAGAAGACGCCGGTGCTGACGGAGGCGCTGTGGCGGCAGAACGTGGTGGACATCGAGGCGACCGTGAGCGCGGTGGTGGCCGCCGTGCTGTACGAGCCAGGCATCGCCAAGGACGTGGCAGCGCAGCGTGCCAAGGCGCTCAAGAAGCTGGGCGTCATCTTCCAGGTACGCAAGCCCGCCCCGCAGCCAGCACTCCCCGGCAAGCAAAAGGCTGGTGGGCCCCCCCCTCCTGCGCACACTCGCAAATGAGGTCTGCTTCACGTCCTGCCTGTCCCTGGCTCTGAGGAGCTGCTGGCAGTGGGCCGTCTCTTCGGCAGTGGAACCTTTTCAACTCCAGCCTTCAAGCAGACCTCGGCTTCTGAAGTAGTCTGCGTTGCGCGTACGTCTCTCCGCTTCTGACGTGCCCTTTCCTGTGGCAGGGGGCCAAGTCCAAATATCAGCGGGCCAGCAGTCTTCGGCAGGAATCTACCGGGGAAGGGGCGGAGCGGCCAGGGCCGTCTGCCGCATTTGCCGGGTTCAATGCAAAGCCGGGGAGCTTCCCTGGGGGCCAAGCGGGCACCCCACCCCCCAGCCCTCAAGGGCCGTTCCACATGCCGCCGTTTGGCAGCCCCACGCCACCGCCGTCCCCTCAGGGAGGGGCGCCCCGCTTTGCGCAGGGGCAAGCCTTCCCGTCCGCTTATGGGTCCAGCTTTGGGAGCAGGGCCTACCCGGACGGAGGCAGCCCGGGGGCATTCCCCAAGCCCGCGGCGCCCCCTGGATACTCACAATCACCCTTGGGGCCGCGGCCATCAGGGGCATCGTAAGGAGGGGGCGAACGGAGGGGAGGCACACAGTGGGGCCCGTGCAGTGAAATTGCTTCCTTGAAACACGTGTTCGCTTTGAACTGCCTAGACTGTACAGGATGACATCTAGCTCAAGTTTACAATTGGGACATATCAGATTGTGGATAGCAACAGGTACGGACTTATCATTTGTAGCTAATTGACTGCTTTAATTTGCGGCTAACCAATATATAGAATCTAAGATCGACTGCGTGGGCTTAATGCGCTCGACCTGCCTAGTGCACTAACGGTCGGAGGTTTCAAAACAGCATGTGGTAGTACTACGATTCCATCAACATAATTCGCCGTTCGACGCAGAATAACTAGTGTGCAAATGCCTTGCAGCCTGTATACATCATCATATCTCCACATGTATAAGTGAACTTAACCACTGAGGTGAACATTTGTATGCGTACCTGGTTGTATATATATAATTACGAGTGTGTAATTTGGTCGTCGAATCGTGGCAAATGCGTGCGTCGGCTGCATGATAGCCAGTAGTGCCGGCCACGCATAACGATAACATGCACATGCATGCATGCAACAGCTAGCAATTGTTGTCACGCTAGGTACTTATATGTCAGGCCGGTCGATCGGATCCGAACACATGTTATATAACGCTTCCTTTGTCCCTATAAGTTCACCACGACCGCCAGTCCATGCGCTCGGATATAGGGAGGGCTAGCCAAAGCATGACTGGGTTGGGACACATCAAGCGCCGCGCTTTGTTAGCACTGCCGTCGATTGAGCGCGTATACCTGCACATATGGCAGCAGCTTGTCTCTTTCCGACATAGCGAACATGCCAATGTGCTTGTGCAAGAAGACGTTCTATGAGGTGCACTGGGACCGCCGAGTCGCAGGCGCATAACTCATGGAGTGCCGCAACAGTACGGTGGTCATGCTAGACAGCAATCAGCTTCTCACAATCAAATCTCATGCAGAAGTGCCAACTCTCATCTCAAAACGTCCCTGAATATGCATGTGCATGCAATGTTGCTCTATGTTTAATGAATGTATCAACCCGAATATAGAGTCCAACACCAACGTACACAGTCAACTTGATTCCGTTGAGGAGAGCGCATCCGGACCCCTTTTCTACGCTTCCGCAGGGGTTGGCTTCTTTGCAGGAGGTCGCTTGGGTCCCGGTGGCGATTTCGGTCCTTTGCTGGCGGGGGCATCCTCGTCGATAAGGATCAAGCGCGAATCCCTTTCGAACTTGAGATTTGTGCCGCAGCTGCACGCACCCACGTCGAGACCAGGTTAGGCAAGGGACACGGGTGCTTGCAATCAAGACCGTTTGCTATCCGCTTTTGCTGTCAACCGTTAAAAGATGACACCGAGTCCATCAAGACTGGCTAGTCTAGTGTGAGATTAGGCAATCCGAGAATGATTTCAAAGCGACCTACTCCGACTGTTGGAAACCAGCGCGCTAGCAAGCATGCATGGAGCATGTGACCACATTCAATTCGCTCATCTCTTCAGGGCTGGCAACCTGGAGAAGCAGCTTTCGCTTTGGAAGCAACCATTAGGGATGCCGCTCGGTGTGCGTTTCCTTCGCCTTTGTCAAGAAAGCAATTTGCCAGCCGTAGCCCTTCTTGGTATGATGGAGAGTGCAGGAGTGCACGCAAGGGCTTTTTGACGCTGCTAAAGACAGATGGCCCCTCTCACTTGAGCTCTCAGCTCAAGAAAGGATATAGGAAGATGGTCAGGCGCAAAAAGAGGGCGTTCAATAAGAATAGGGTAGCTAAGCTGGCGGATCAGATACAGATTAGTCCTGCAGTCTTTTGGAGGCGGTTCCAAAAAAGAGGAAAAGGTTTAGAAAAAGAGCACGAAGCTGGTTTGCTGAAGCACTGCAAAAGTCTTTACAAACAGCCAGGGAAGATTCCGGGTGCGGCAGAGGTCGGTCAGCCAGGGGTGGGTCAGCTAGGGGTGGAGCGGCGAGCGGTGACGGGAACGGAGAGTTGGACACAGCGGTAACAGGCGGGAAGTGCAAACGGCGTTGAGGTCTTTGAAGAACGGGAAGAGTCCGGACCTGGGGGGCTTTACGGCCGAGTTGTTGAAGGCCGGGGAGGTGCCTCTTCTCAAAGTGCTGACCGGGTCTTTGAGGAGGGGGTATTTCCAAAGAGCTGGAATGAGGGGGCGCTGGTGGCAAAATTCAAGAAGGGAGACCCGGCAGACTACGGAAATCATAGAACGGTGACAGTGGGGCCTGTCTTAGGCAAGTTGTATGCCACGGTTCTCAATCGGAGGTTAACGGGGTGGGCCGAAAACGGGTCGGTTCGAGCGCGAGGGCAAGCGGGGTTCCGAAAGGGGTTTAGGGGGGCAGATCATATGCTCGCGCTCAAGACGAACTCCTCCTCCGCATGGGTTTACCCCCCGTGCTGCACCTTCTAATGAGCAGTCGCTTGACGGCCATTCGCCAGCATAGCGTACGTACCTTTCGCACTTGACAGGGTTGGTGTCGGAGGGGCTGGGCACCGTCAGGATGGTGCCAAAGAAGGTCGTGTTCTCCGCGCCGCAATTCGGACACGGGCCCTGCACCACACCCCCACGCACGGCTCAGCATATGCATGGCACCAACAGGAAGCGGTGGGCAGGGCGCGAGCGGCAGTGCGGCTCGTGCCACGATACAGACGGGATGCTCCCTGAGGAGGAAGCGAGATGCGCAGGACGGCAAAGGCGGCGACGAGGCGCACCTTGAGGATGAGGGGGTCCTTGATGACGACGCGGGTGAGCTTGGAGGTGAGGAACAGGGTGAACGGGAACACGACCCCGTACGCAAACAGCGCGCTCCACGGCTCCGGCAGCTGCACACGCACGCACAAAACGGGGCAGGCGCGTCAGCCACGGCACCGCAATCCAGAGACGTAGGGGGTGAGATCTTGGGCAGTCCTCTTTATGGGATGCTTGCTGTTTGCAGTCTTACAAGCCGCGTTGGCCTCCTTGAAAGAAGTGTGAGCTCATTGCGGAAGAGCGCAAGGCGGCCAATACTGTTGTGGCCTTAGAGCAGCCAGAAGATGGAAGATACCAACAAGATCTCGTATCAAGCAACTTCAACTTCTGTCGGACCTACTATCATAGAAATAGCGGAGGGCTTGAAATCTTGCTCGTCTGAAAGGTCGTTGCCAACATTCGTAACGAATTCTCGGCTAGGCAGTCAGAAAGGAAGGCATGCCCGCTGGGAGAGAAACGTGTAAAGCGATGCTGCCTCAAGGAGCTGGCAGGAAGTTTTGCCGCTGCGGAGTTCGTATGAGACAATTTATTGAAAGCACAAACACAAAATGAAGAGTGCAGCCTATACAAGCACTTTTCGACGTGAGCGAAGTCGGAAGAGACGTGAGCGAAGTTGGAACTGAAGCACATTCGAAAGAATGCAGGCCCCACTCTTGAGCAGGATGTCCAACCTGTTTACAGTCAGTTTTCGGCCCAGCCTCGTTAAAGCACCGCGGCATGGCGTGCTGGACACATGTAAAGCTGGGGGCCAAGCTTAGCAGCGGCAAGCACGTGAGGATAGAGTGCATCGCGGGCAGACGAAGCAGTAGCCCTCACCTCGAGGAGGTACGTGATCTCGAACCCAGTGAGGTCATCGAAAAGGAAGACGCTGCAAGGGAGGACGGCTGGCCTATCAGCCTGTGTGGGCCAGCCAAACCAGAGCATGGGGAAAGGCCCAAAAGGACTGGGCAAGTGCCGACACAGTGCACGAGGAGAAGGAGTGGAGTCATTTTAGGAATCCTGGGGCCCACATCTCGAGCTTGTGGTACAAGCTGAAGGGCAGCGAATGCATGATCCAGCAGCGCAGCCTGCTCAATAGGATGCGCCCACTGTCATAAGGGTCCCGCAGCATACAAGAGGAGGCTCACAAGGCCAGGGAGATGACGGCGGCCGGCAGGTTGAGCAGCGTCATCTTGAGGTAGTCCAGCTGCGAGTCGCTGTACACTTTGCGGCTGCGGAGACTGCAGCGAGGGCCTTCCACTGTGACGCGGCTGTTGCTTTTCTGCAGGGACAGCAAGCGGGTGAGGGGGGGCAGCGGGGATGCGCAACATAGCGCAAGCGCGTTGCTCGACCGCGGACTGCTCCGCAGGGCGGACAGATCACTTGGGCTGGTCTAGGCACTTCCACCGATAGAACAAGGTTCCGTATACAAAAACAAGGAACAAGAGGTGCGCGCTTATCACAATCTGTCCTGGCATGGACCTGGCTCAATATGCACTCTTCCCTGTGAGCGACACACGGGCGGTGTGCTCACCTTGAGTTGGCTCTTAAGTGCGTCAAACTCGTCATCGGAGAGGATAGGTTTCCCTGCAAAGTATGCTTGGCATGCCTCCATGAACTTCTGCTCATCGGGACCTGCACCCCGCAGCCAGCGCCCAAGTCAGGCAGAGCAAGAGCAGCGCCACACTACCGACGGATGGCAATGCCAATTCGGAAGCGCACCAATCAGTCCATGCCCGGGGGCCAGCTTGGATTGGCCTGAGAATCAGGCGGGGAACCGGTGCAGCGGGCTACCGTTTCCTGGTTAGGGTTTTCACTTGGGCCACTGCACTGGGTACTTCCTTCCTTTGGATTCAATCTTCCTAATTTCACAGTTCTGGTGGCTTAGAGGACACTGGCCGCAGAACAGAAGTTTCTACAAGGGAACAGATCGCAAGGGCGTGCACATTCGCAACTATGCCGAAGACACCGCCCACCAGTGTGGGCCAGGCTGCCCGCTGCGCGCTGGCTGGTGAGCCTCACTCATGATGACCACCCTGCTGCCCTGCCACTGCAGCTCCTCCTTGAGGTTGTCAAACTCCTCGTTGCTCATCATCGGCTGCTCGTCATAGTAGAAGGACTGCAGCGCCGCCAAGAAGTCCGCCTCCATCTCGCCCAGCGACTTCTTTTCCTCCTTGTTGATGCTGCAATAGTCACCAATCTGCCGGTCCACCACCTCGTCCTCTGCTGCTTTTGCGCTGACGGTGTCTGCATAAGACGGGCTTCTTGAGTGAACACACCTGCCCTTGGGGGCACATTTTGCGATCCAGGATACCATAAGTCTGTCTTGCTGACAGGCTGAATAGCAGCTGCATTGCAAAACTGGGTAAAATCTTCAACTATAAGTAGCGGTCCTCCTGCTTGAAACAGAACCACGGGGCAGCATTTCTGTCAAGTATTGAGGCTGCTGGCTCTTAGAGACGGGTGTATGAGAGTTCCTGCAGACCTTTTGTTGCTTCCCCCAAGGTGCTTTGCCCACTAGGGTTCTGCATTGTGCAGCTCCTTTCCATTCTTGGCCGGCGTCTGCCGCCCAGCTCTGCATGTTCCTGGAGATCGTATCAGCAGCGCATTCCTGGACCACTCACCTGCTCGTTGCGCCTCCATTCGAATGCACCGCCTCTTCCCCCTTGAAAACCCTTTTACTGAAGGCATGGTGCTGCCTAGCTGCATTTTTACCCACATGTCAGATCTGGGCAGCAGCCGCCCCTTCCGGTGGGCGGCAGAGGCACTGGCCTGCGACTCGAATCTCGGCCCGCACAACTGTGGCCCTTGTGCACATGTGGTGGCAAATGTGTCATGGCTGCGCCAGATCGACACACTGGAGGGTGCGGAGACCCAAGTGGCCGAAGACATTGTCAGCAGCTCCGCTCCGAACTGTGTGGACCAAGTGGTATGATGTAAGTTTCTGAAAAGAAAGCCGCACCTTATCACCACCACTGATGCTGGTACTGCTATCAGGATCGCATGTGTCTCAAGCTCGTACCTCTATGACCTCAAGCTGCTCGACCACGATCCACACCCCCTGTGCGCCACCACGGTTCAGGTTATGCAACCAATTTGCCATCCTCATCTCGAAGTCAGACTCAAGTCTCGAGTGCAGCTAGCACTGTAGCAGCTAGCTCGACGACTCCCCGAGTCTCCTTTATTCAGCAACTAGAGCGACATAAGAATACCCAACGTCCGGTAACCGACTATCTCTCTCAGAGTCACACGGCCTGGCTGGCAGTCAGTGCGGTGCGCGGGCCTCAGCCTTCAATGGTCGCGGTAACGGGAAGGCGCCAATCATTGAATAGATTGTGTACTTGAGAAGCCACGTGGCTTTCTGGATGATTCCGGCCACTTTTGCTCTTAAATTTAATACTCGAGAATCAGCATTGCCATGGGCCATGGCCCATGATCTTCGACTCCCCTCCATCGCTTTTCAGAGAGCCTTTTTTGCTGGACCGGACCTTCGAGTTTCTACGGGAAGATGATGCCAATTGCCATTGCTTTAGGTGGCACAAGATGGAAAAAGGAGCAATGTCAACTCTGAAAGGGGATGCTAGGGGATCTTAGCAACGTTTGAAAACTTGACTCCCCGCCTATGATGATCTTATGCAGTCCACCGCTGGGAAGTTTTGCTCCGTCCACACAACCATCAGCGGATATGGGCAGAAAGCAAGTAGACACCTTTACTTAATATGGCACACCACCTTGACATGCACAGGTGTCATGCAGAAGTGCACACATTGTGCGAGCTGCAGTGCTGAAGCATCATTTCCCCAGCATTGAACGAGAAGCTTGTCACCGACACTGTGCAGCAGTTCACCGCATGGTTGACGGGCTGCTGTGTGCTCGTTGTGCCAAGTGTGGCTGCTACGCCAGCACGGTAGCTTGATCAGGCATAAGTTACATCAGTGTTGGTAAGGCGCCCAAAATGGGGAAGGTTTTCTCGACCCTCGGGTCTGGAGAGGAAGGAGCAAGGAGGGGGGGATTTTCAAAGCTGCCTCAGGTGAGCGTTGCAAAGATGCTGAAGTTTTCACTACACTGCCAATAAATAGCAGATGCTGGTGCCACTGCTCAGGTTAAAACTCACTTGAGATGTGAAAGATGGCTTGCTTTTAAAACTTCTCTTAACAATCCTTTGGAGTAGTAAGCACCACTCCTCAGAAATCCCCTACTCGATCCTTGGATGTTGGTTTTGGTGTCGATACTCGGGTGGTAAGCACTTACTCTATCCTTTGAGAGAGATGTGCCTATTCCTGCCCCGTGCGCTTGTCCCCTTGTCCTCCGTGCCCCCTCCCCATCTTCCCCTCTGCCCTGAGCCTCCTGCTCGACCCCCCCTTGTACAGAAGGAGGGAGTGGGCGCCCGCTGGTGCCCCGAGGAGGCGGCTGGCCCCGTGTCGCTGCTGCTCTTCTCGTGGGTCACGGGCCTGCTCCGGGTGGGCCACCGCCAGACGCTGGAGGCGGGGGACCTGTGGGACGTGCACTCGCAGGACCGCGCCGCCAAGGTGGCCGCCATTCTGGACCGCCAGTGGGCTGCGCAGCGCCGCAAGCCCAGGTCAGGCCACCCGCGCAAGGCCTCTCAGACTGCCCCGTCCTGATTTTCAGCAGGAGGGCGTTCGCCCACTTATCTCCGCCAGGACTCTTGCATCAAAACGTGTCATCACCTTTTCAATCATCATGTCCGCTTCCCAGGTTTCGTCAACACAGCCCCACTCGCTTTGGCCTTGCGTAGCCAAAACGTGGGTTCCGTGTATTTCGTGTGCTGATGCCGGCACCAGACCCTGGCTCCGCCATCCTAATCGTCTCCCAGCTGATCTGCGGGCGTTCCTCTTGCAGGCCGTCGCTGCTGCGCGCATTGCTGCGCAGCTTTGGGGTGCGCTTTGGGCTGGCGGGCCTGCTGAAGCTGGTGCACGACCTGCTCCAGTTTGCGAGCCCCGTGCTGCTGCGCCATCTCATCCAGTACCTCAAGGACCCGCAGCAGCCGCTCTCCACCGGCCTGGCCCTCGCGGGCGCGCTCCTCCTCTCCAACATCCTCCAAAGCCTCTGCATCCAAACGTACTTCCAGCTCGTCATGCGCAGCGGCCTGCACGTGAGCGCCCACTGCCTTCTGGATTCAGAATCAAATCAGATCCGTCATTTGGAGCGTCATCGTCTGCGTTGAGAATGCTCTCACAGATCCGCATATGGTCCAGTCCAACAGTGTGAACAGGTGTGACGGGGCCTTTTGCATTTCTAGTGGTGTTGATGGTGGTGCCTGCCGGTGTGCAGATCCGCACGTCTCTGATCAGCCTGCTGTACACCAAGGCCCTGCGCATGAGTACCGCCGCCAAGCAGGACACCAGCGTGGGCGAGATTGTGAGCACGCCCGCTGGCGCCGGCCTCGTCCAGGACGTGGTTCTTTGTGCTCGAACATACTGTTTATGCATTGGTCGATTTGTGGCGTATGCATTGGGCCGTGGAAGAAAGGTTGGCAAGGATTGGTGCAATATCACCAGTGGACAGCTTGAGAAGTTGTGCATTGAACTATTGCGAAGAAGACCGGTCTTTGTCAGACGGGGGCTGGTGCACCACTAAGTGTGATCTTTGCTCCTTCATTACAGGTTAACCTCCAAAGTAACGACGCCCAGAAGCTGAGCGACTCTTGTACATACTTGCACATAATCTGGAGCGGGCCACTGCAGATCTTTGGTGAGTGGCTGCACCCGCCGTCTCCAATATGTAACGGATCCTTGGATGACTCATTTAGAGCAAGCCTGGGCAGCTAGCTTTTACGTGTTGCGGGACACAGAAAGACTATTCAAGACATACCTCTCACCATACCCTGTGCTGTCATCTTCTGGTGCTAGCAGAGCCAACTTCTTCAGCACCATGTTAGCCGAGGCAAAGTTGGAGAGTCACGTTCTTCAGACCTTTCGTTCTGGCTGGATTGTTTGTTGCCTGTTGCACGCCACTCCAAGCCTCGTAGCCCTGGCCTCCTCCTTCTGTTAGACCACCACCCTGGGTTTGGGTCCCCACATTCCGTTAGTTCCAGATTTCGGAACCCCGGATTTGAACTATGGCGTTTCTACATGAGAACACCTCTGCTCTATGGAACTAAAGGTCTTCGAGTTGTTTCTCGTGGCGGTTGTCATGCGAAGGTGCCAAAAGAATAATCGTCGGGATTGCTGCCATAAAAGGCACCGGGAAAATGGTGAAGAAACGGTCGAGAATTCTTGCGCCATTACATCAAATCTGGCGAAGTTCGCGATTGTGGTCCCTCGACGATTCTGGACTTTGGTGGCCGTTTTGAGAATGCCACGTCAGCCTTTCCGAGTTTGCCCGATTCTTTGCTCCGGGTGGTAGTTCAAATGTCCATCTGCGGTGTTATCCGCGAATGCTCGTGGAGCCCGACTCTCTGAGCGGTATTCGACTCCGTGGCAGGCGCGCTGGGGCTGCTGTTTGCGGTGCTGGGCGTGTTCCCCGCGCTGGCGGGGCTGGGCGTGATGCTGCTGCTGCTGCCGTTCAACCTGGTCATGGTGCGCTACCTGACGGCCATCCGCAAGCGGCTGATCGGCTGGACGGACCGCCGCGTGCAGCTCGTCACGGAGGTCATCCACGGCATCAAGGCCATCAAGCTCTACGCCTGGGAGGCGCCTTTTCTGGACCGCATCCAGGCCCTGCGCGCCAATGAGACGGCCCAAGTGCGCACCTCCGTCTACTTCGGTGAGCCCCACCCGCGGCACAGCCCTGCCTGCTTCCTTCAGTCCGCGACCTGCCACGTCCAGTTGATAGTGCCCCCACAGAAGTGCAACGCTGGGCAGATGCCAAGCGGGCAAGCTGGCCCCAGACGCTGCGCTTATCACGACCCCACGTGCGTGCTCCTATGGCCGCACTTTTGCGCGCAAGTGTTCTCTCTCGTTTGTGTACAGCCGGCCTTCCACGCTGGACGCGGTGGAGTCGTGCACTCCTTTTCTCAGCGGTCCCCCTTGACCCGGTGGTGGCCCTTGCGCTCTTCGACCCTAACGCCACTTTGTCCCGCTCGTCCAGGTACCTTCAACGACTTCTTCTATGCTCTAAACCCCACGCTGGTGTCGGTAGCGTCCTTCTATGCGCTGACGCTGATGGGCGTCCAGCTGGACGCCACCATTGCCTTCCCCGCGCTCGCGCTCTTCAACATCCTCAGGTCAGCCGAACCTCCTCCTGGCACGACTGCCCCTTGTTGCGAGCTTGTCTCTTGTCATCATCGACGGGAGGAGCCAGGAAGTGCAGCCGGTCAAACCTGCGGTGCCTCCTCCCTAGGCGGTGGTTGTTGCCTGCGCAAGCATCTGGTTGTAGTCTCGCGAGAAAGGGGTGGGATCTGGTGGCCCCTATGCACTACCTCGCTTCGAGCCTTCAAGTCGCTCTCCTAACAGGACTCTTCTTCTTTGCAGGTTCCCCCTCACCATGATCCCCCGCCAGATCAACCAGTTCATCCAGGTATGTCCGCCCTCTGCCCCTCCCTGACCTCGGCTCCCCTGCCTGCTGCGCCCCCATGCCTACCTCCATGTCTAAAGCCTCTCTGCGCCTGCGTCTGGCCCGGCCTAACCTTTCTCCCCTGTTTGCGCTGCTCCAGGCGGGGGTGGCCATCGGGCGCGTGCAGGATTTCCTGCTCGTGTCGGAGACCACGCCCGTGGCTACCGCCCCCCAGGCCCCTCCTGGCAGCATCTGGCTGCGCGGCGCCAGCTTCTCGTGGGCTCCCCCAGACGCTGGTGATGCCGCTCCCACGCTGGCGGACGTCAGCCTGACGGTGCGCCCCGGCTCGCTGGTCATGGTGGTCGGCGAGGTGGGCAGCGGCAAGAGCTCGTTGCTGGCGGCCCTGCTCGGGGAGAGCCGGCGCACCGCAGGGGACCTCGCCGTCAATGGGCGCATCGCCTACACTGCGCAGGTGATTGCCCGCTCGTTGCAATAGGCAACGGGTGAAGAAACAATTTCGATTCACTTCGCATTTTTTACCATGCGCCAAAGTCCGACCTGGTTGCTGCTGCAACCTGTCTGTGGAAGGATTGCTGCATGGTCAAGGGTAGTCGTCTGATGGCAAGGTGATTGTCTTCCTTTTGGCACCAAGTCCGCCCATTGACTCATGGCGGGTACTCATTGTGGTGCAGGACCCCTGGATCCAAAATGCGACCGTGCGCGACAACATCATCGTAAGCCAGCCATGGGACGCCACGCGCTACCAGCAGACAATCGCTGCCTGCGCTTTGGCGGCCGACCTGCGCACGCTGCCAGGGGGGGACCAGGCGGAGATCGGGGAGAAGGGGATCAACCTGTCGGGGGGCCAGAAGCACCGCGTGGCGCTGGCACGCGCCGTGTATGCGGGGGCGGACATCTTCTTGCTGGACGACCCGTTGAGCGCGGTGGACACCCACGTGGGGCGGCACCTCTTTGACGCGTGCATCTGCGGCCACCTGGGCGGGAAGACGCGCGTGCTCGTGACGCACCAGCTGCAGTTCGTGCCGGCCGCGGATGTCATTGTGGTGCTCAAAGGGGGGCGCATCGCGGAGTACGGCACGTACGACGAGCTGCGGGCCAAGGGGGTCGACTTCGCGCAGTTCGAGGAGCAGCAGGAGGACAAGGAGAAAGGGGAGACGGCTGAAGGGGCCGCGGACGAGCGGCCCCGCACGAGCGGGGCGGACGGGGGCAGCTTGCTCATGGAGGCCAGCAGCCCGACGGGTGTGAGCAGGCCGACCGTGAGCTTTGCGGAGGCGGTCGGCGGGGGGGACGTGGTTGTAGACATGGAGGCCGACTTAGGGCAGAGCAGCCGGCAGGGAGCATGGAGCATGCAGGACGGGGACGCCAGAGCGGGAGAGGATCTAGGCAGGGAGGGCAGGGGCGGGCATGCGGCATTCTCTGGCGGGGGGGTGGACGTCGACGGGGTGGCCACGCTCAAGGAGGCCGGGGCGAGTGTGCGGCAGCAGGCGCAGGAGGTGGAGCTCATGCAGCGCAGCGCGGCAGCAGCAGCCGAGGGGCACGGCAGCGCGCACGAGGAGGAGGGGGACCAGGAGGGCACGCCGCTGCTGCAGGCGCAGCAGCCATCCACGAGCGACGAGCCCACTAAAGGGGCCAAGGCGGGCGCCACGGACGCGGGCACAGGGAAGGTGGGGGGCGAGTCTGCGCTGGTGGCGGTGGAGAAGCGCGCGGTGGGGCGGGTGAAACGGTCGGTGTACCGGCAGTACGTGGCGGCGTGGGGGCCGGGGTACTGGGTGCCCGCGCTGGTGCTGGGGGTCTTCACAATCGCGCAGACAGTCAAGCTGCTGACCAACGCGTGGCTGGCCGTGTGGACGGAGGGCATCCGCAACGGGCGGGGTTCGAGCCAGTTCTACCTAAGCGTGTACACGGGCATGTCGCTGCTCACGGCGCTCCTCGTGTGGGCGCGCGGCATCGCGCTTGCGTCCGGGTGCGTGGCGGCGGGGCGCACGCTGCACGCGCGGCTGCTGGAGCGTGTTTTACGGCTGCCGATGGCCTTCTTTGACGCGACCCCGACAGGGCGGCTGATGAACCGGTTCACGCGCGACACGGAGCAGGTGGACCTGCAGCTGCCGGACACGTTCGGCAGCTACCTCACGTGCGCATTCCAGGTGGTGTTCGAGCTGGTGATCATCCTGTACGTCACGCCGCTCTTCGTGCTCCCGCTGGTGCCGCTCCTCGCCGTCTACGCGCGCATCCAGGACTTTTACATCGCGTCCAGCCGCGAGCTGAAGCGCCTGGACAGCGTGGCGCGCAGCCCAATCTTTGCGCACTTCGGCGAGTCCATCCAGGGCCTCGCCACGCTGCGCGCCTTCCGGCTACAGACCGCCTTCACGGCCGAGAACGAGGCGCGCGTGGACGCGAGCACGCGCGCCTACTACGCGACGCTGGTGACTAACCGGTGGCTGGGCCTGCGCCTGGAGATGCTGGGCGCGCTGGTCGTGTTCGCCACCGCGCTCTTCGCCGTGTGGGCGCACCACCCGGACGCCGGCTTCGCGGGGCTGGCCCTCACCAGCGCGCTCTCCATCACCGGCTACATGAACTGGATGGTCAGCGCCGCCGCTCCTGCTCCTCACCGCGCCTCGCATCTTCAGTTCTCGCTTTGAAACTTACCTGCAAGTCTCCCTTCGAGTACTCTGTTGATGGTTGGCACCATATGCGTCAAGCAGCAAGCGAGCTCTCCCTGGATTGCCTCACAAGCTGCCCCCCTTCTTCTGGGCTTGTGCTCACTCCGCGTCCCCCGGCTGCAGGTGCGCATGCAGGCGACGATCGAGACGGACATGAACAGCGTGGAGCGCGTGCTGGAGTACACGCAGCTGCAGCCCGAGGCCCCCGCCGTCCTGCCGGACAGCCGCCCCCCGCCGGCCTGGCCCACCCACGGCGCCATCCAGGCGGAGGGCCTCGTCGTGCGCTACCGCCCCGACCTCGACCCCGTGCTCAAGGTACGCACCCCACTCGGAACTCTTCTTTGAGGAATCTCCGTCTTCAACCGAATGACCCAGCCTGTGGATAGATTGCTTCTGCTTGTTATGATGTCGGAACATTTAGGGATCTTCTGACTGCAACTTTCGCATGGCGTGCCCTTCCGCCAGCTCGCGTGCCTGTCGAGCTCTATCCGCTTCTTGTGGCCCCCGCTGCACGTGGCCCCGGCTGAGCGTACGCGTGTGCGGGTGCAGGGGCTGTCGTTCTCGTTGCGCGGCGGCGAGAAGGTGGGCATCTGCGGGCGCACGGGGTGCGGCAAGACGACGCTCATGATGGCGCTGTACCGCATCATGGAGCTGGCCGGCGGCCGCCTGCTCATCGACGGCCTGGACGTGGCCACCATCGGCCTGGCCGACCTGCGCTCGCGCCTCGCGCTCGTGCCGCAGGACCCCGTCGTCTTCTCCGGCAGCATCCGCAGCAACCTGGACCCCTTCGCCGAGGCTGCGTCGGACGCCGACCTGTGGGCCGCGCTGCGGCAGGCGGGGATGGCCGCCACCGTGGGCGCGCTACCGGGCCAGCTGGACGCGGACGTCGCGGAGGGCGGGGCCAACCTGAGCACGGGCCAGCGCCAGCTGCTCTGCATGGCGCGCGCGCTGCTCAGGAACGCCAAGATCCTGGTGAGCCGCCCCGCAGACACAACCAGCCGCGTGATTGTCGTTGGAAGGTCGGCTGCGTTTGCAAAGCGCTCTTGCATGCGGCAGTGCGCTTTATGGAAGGCCGTACTGTCTAGTAACGGTGGTGATTGGAAGTTTGACGACCTGCCAGCAAAGTGTGTTCCCACTCCCTTGCGTGGTTGAGGAGCCGCTGGTGGCGCAATCCGTTCCGTGCGTTTTTGCGTGGTGGTGAACGGCGGGGCCGGCTGTGGCGCAGGTGCTGGACGAGGCGACGTCGAACGTGGACAGCGGCACGGACGGCGTTGTCCAGGACACCATCCGGCGCGCCTTCCACGACTGCACCGTGCTCACCATCGCGCACCGCCTGCACACCATCATCGACTCCGACCGCGTCATGGTGAGGCGCCAGCGCCAGACGTGCTGACCGACGGACGGGCCACTCGACTGCGACAACAGAAGTGCACAGTTTGCAGCTCCATGTCAAAATCACATTGTCGAGATATCCCTCTTAGTCCTGCCTGCCATCCGTTGAGCAGGTTTTGCGGTGTTTGGTGTCCACACCTGATTGGTGTTGCTGGTTGGTGCTGCAGCTGCTGGAGGCGGGCACAGTGGCGGAGCTGGACACGCCGGCGGTGCTGCTGGCGGACGACCGCAGCCTCTTCACCGGCTTCGTCAACCAGACGCTGCCCAAGCAGGCGGCAGCGCTGCGCAGAGCGGCCTCTTCGCGGAGCCTGCTGGCAGCTGCAAAATTGGACCTCAGAGGGGGTATAAATGGGTCGGCCAAGTGATGCCCTTTAAGCATCGAAATTCAAGTGGCGGTTGTTCGCGATTGTGATGTCAGTCAGCAGCCAAAGCTGGCACCATACGCAGTTCTCCGCCGTTAACTTACTGACGCAAGCTGAGACCGTTGTCATGTCAAGCACGCTGTACGAAGCGACTCTTTGAGTGAGGCAAACGAGCACTGAGGTTTTTCCTGAGGTTGCGGTCTAAGTTCTCTGGCAGTTCTCACCTCAATTTCCAAGGTGGTTGTAGCTGCATGTCTTCAAGCCTTCCTTGACCGCGGAATTGAAAATGGACGTTCAAAAATGCGATTCATGGCTTGAAGAATAATCGTGGACATATAGCCGCGATGCACAACATCCGCATTCTGTGTATATGCACCCGGACTCGATTGAAGTATAAGATGAGATTGGACTGTGCTCATGGGTTGCATATGGCATGAGATTCAGTAGTGCCGCATGGCCGCCCCGCCGCATATGTGACTAGGTTCTAGGCTAACGCGAGTCTGGAGAAACGTACGGAATTTATGCAGTTAAGTACAGCCTGCTCTAGGGCCCCCACGCGTATGTTCCAATTAGGCTGCAATCCCCATTTCGCAAATTCTACTCTCCCATTGCAGATACATACAAGCCTGTTGCAGGCCACGCCAGGCTCAGTCGAAGCACTCTACAACTGCAGGCCATGCATGTTGCGAAGCTGCATGACTCATGCGGCTGTTGGGCTGATTTGTTGCGTAATCGTGCAGCAGATCAGATGATCCGCTGACGATTTCTGTTCCTCCAAGTGTTCCTATGTGCACTACTGGCGAGCGCTTCTAAGTCAATTCGCGTTGATTAGGACCCAAGGATGCCGAAGGCAATATGTTATGGATCTACCGCGTCCTATGTTCGGCCTCGTTGTGTTACTGGCTCTGATTGCGAGCCAGGGTATTGACTGTTAGCACCCACCCTTTTCTATTCCTGTTCACCAGTGTAATGACCGTCCCCAAGCAGTGGCTGTAAGCCGACTCTAAGTACGCCCCACTACAGTCTAACTACGCAGCGGCACAGACTCTAAAGACGACAACTCCGACTTTTTAGACACCTCTATACCGACTCAGAGGCCGACTGAGCGCCCCGCCTTTCTAGGCAAGGAGACTGGGGACACTGACGTTTGCTTGGCCGGGCTCCATCACCTGGTGTTGTCCCCCTCCTTCTCGCGCCCCTCCTCCATCCTCTCGTCCTCTACGGGCGAATACCGGACCTCCGGCTTGGACGGGGATGCCCGCGCAGGCTTCATGAAGCTCGGGGTGGGCATGAAGTCGGGCGTCATCTTGAGGCCGATGCCGGACGAGATGAGCAGCAGCCCCACGCAGTGCTGCCCCAGCAGCGGCTTGGTGAAGATCAGGTACGACAGCAGCAGCGTAAACACCTTGCGCAACGTCGTCACCTGCGCAGGTAGCACACCGGCCCAGCCCACATCAGCACACCAGCCGGAGGCTGTAGATTCCCGCCGAAAGAAGGTGGTATCCTGCGGAAACTGCCTGCCGACTGCTTTCCAGCGATTCGTGTCTACTATTCTTTAGAGCCACTTCTGACCAATACACATGGTGGCACCACAACCAACCCCGATTGTGGGAAGCGGCACCTGGAAGGCAGTGCCAAACGTTTCGAACTAGTGGTCAACAGAAGACTAGAATCGTGCAATCATGCTGTTCAGCCGTTTCACCAACATATCGCGCACAGCTGACTTCAACGACTATGCTAATGATCATCCACTGGTTTTGGCAAGTGTGGTCCTCACCATGGCGGTGGTGGCCGCGCCAAAGAGGGCAATTAGCGACAGCACGGACAGCTGGCCGATGTAGGTGGCAAAAGCCTCCAAGATGATGACCCCGTAGATGTACGGGTGCGCCATCCCCGCGCTCCACGCCTCAAACAGCTCCCCCGTGGCCACCATGGGGCCCAGCAGGAAGGGCATGCCCACAATGGTCGTGCAGAACAGCAGCTCCGTCTGCACCGCACGCCCACGCCACACGCTTACTTTGGGGGCCAGACAAGCAAGGCAGCCATCCAGGTAGCTCTCTAGAAACCGATTCTCGGAGGAAACCTTTCAAAAGGGGCACGGCCCTGAGAGTACACAAGGATTGGCACAGTCTGATAAAATTCGAAACTCAAACGGCAATCAGAGGAGCCCACTGTACATACAGTCACCAGGGCATCGACTGATGTGGTAAACTGAAAACCAAAGGGGTGTGTCCCTTTGATTTGAGCTTCCACATGTCTTCACAAAGCCTCCTCTCTCTTACCACCCAGCCCAACAAGAAGGAAAGTTCTCCCTGCCCACGCACTCTCCTTCCCACTGCTTCAAGCGGGCCGCCCTCAGAATGAGCCCCAGCTTTGCTTCAAGAAGCTGGCCCGTGCAAGCATGCGTGCGCTGACCTGCGATGTGGCGGGGTTGACCGCAAAGATGGCCTCCTGCATGTTCCCCAGGATGGCGTCCAGCAGCAGCGCGGTGCACACCATGATCACGCCCACCATCTGGAAGTTGGGCGACGACGCCGCGTCCGCCAGCGTGAACAGGATCAGCCCCAGCACCAGCAGCAGCGCCGACACGTATTCCTGCAGGTTGTACAGCCGCCGCAGCCCCGGGACCATCGCGCCGAGCAGCATCACCGGGAGCACCTGCACCAGCGCAGCTCTGCACCGTCAGGATGCGGACAGCTGGCGCAACGACACACAGCAAATATGTTGAGAAGAAGGGGCAGAGCGCGCTTCATAGTGGCGGTGGCAGGCAAGGGGCATAACATGCGAGGCTCTTCCTGTGGCTGAGGTCCTCCCCGAAGGTAGTCCCCATAAGAATTACCGAGCAGGGACAGGCGAACCAAGCGAAGGGGCAGCTGCGTCCAGGTGGCTTGCAAACAAGACAATGCTGTGGGTAAAAAGATGGTGGGGGTGCCTGCGGTAATGCGGGCGGCGCACTGACCTTGGTGGACTTGAACATGATCTGCGCCGGGTAGTTGAGGTAGGCGAGAGAGCCCTTGGTGAGGCCGGTGGAGAACATGAGCACCGCACTGATCTTGACGTATAGGCCCCACGGGTTCACACAGTGCTTCGGGCGAAAGCCCTGCGCCATGATGAGGCCAATGTACACAAAGCCTTGCACAAATGTGAAGTACCACCCGTAGCTGCACACACCGACACCGAACGTCAGCCAAGGAATCCCGAGAAGCGGGGGACAGACCTGCCCAGCCAGCAGGGGACCTCACCGCAGCGGGCAGCCCAGAGTGGAGTGGATAGCAGGCCGGCAAGACACATCCAATTGACTTCTCAGGGCACTGGCAGCTGTGCAATTCGTCTGACCAGCTGCATCGAGCTAACTTGATTGTGCATGGTCCAGTCAGCATGCTCTGCACCATGCGGCCTCCAAGCCCCCTTTTTGACCTCTGCAAGTCTTAAGTTCTGATGGCACCTATCTCCGCAGAGGTACCACTGTGCATGCAGTTAATCCACTTGCGATCCTAATTCGGCCAATTCGCAGAACCCCAATTGCACAATTGGCCACAGCATTCCTGGGACACTAGTAAAGGTGGGAGGTGTCTTTGATGGCCACCCCGCTGGCAGCGCCTAGCCTGTCGCATGCATGCTCTGGGGGGCTGCGGCGCATGAAGTGCCTCACCTGAAGCCGGCCCTGTTATAGACATACTCCTCCGCCAGGCCATTAGTGATGTAGCCAAAGAAGAAGCCCCCCGTGCACACGACCAGCTGGATCCAGCGCGGCTGGCGCGTCAGGTTAATCCCCAGTAGCCGCACGTCGGTAGGCTCTGCTGGCTTCATCTCCGGGCCTGCTCGCTGGACAGATCTAGGCGGGGGCGGGCTGTGCGGCAGCTTGGCAGGGGTGCGCGCCCCCCCCAGAAAGGCAGCCACCTGCTGGCCCACCTTGGTCAAGCCCAGGGTGTCAAACAGCTGCTCCGCAGGTTGGCTCAGCAGGGCAAACATTGTCCACGGGGAGCCCTGATCTCCCCTGACTGATCAAAGGGTGGACAAGGGTGGCAAGAGGCTTCAAGTTACCTGCACAAACCACCAAACCAATGAGAGCGTCCCCACTTGCACTGACAGTAAACCAACTAGCACTCTGTTCACTATGTTCAAATCAGATCTACAATTGGGATAACTCATATAAGGCATGTTTTTAAGGCCGCTGTGCAAAACCAGAACACAGGCAATATATTAAGCACTACGGATCTCATCCATAAGATGTGACAGGAGACAAACGGCAAGTACCTGAGATCTCTGACAAACACTTCCAAGAGGATGGCACAGATGTCAAGCGGGGTCTAAAGACCCTTCTCCCAATGTCGTCCACAAATGCTCCAGATCTAATTCCCTGATCGATAAGGAGCGCTCTTCGCTTTAACTCTAACAAACCCGAGAGATTCAAGATGCTAAGATCTGTCAGCTACAGACACCGCTCCACAATTTACTGGGCCAACGCACAACAACGACTAGTACAGAGGACAATACCCAGGCACGAAGCAACTTCGCACCCCCTACTTGTCTCTTTTTCCAACGGATTGGTTTTGGAGAAGAACCTCGGAAAAGCAACTTGTATTATGTAAGGCAAAACTTGAAAAGTAGGCAACAAGCACTGGCGAGAAGACAAGCTGCTGTTCCAGCCTTTGAATGTACCGTAGCTGGGTACGGTAGGTGGCAATTCGGTCTTTTCAAGACTAGACGATGCGAACAGGGCGACCACCAACGACTGCACTATCCACAACGAAACTGGCCGGGATTTGTCAAATCAAGGTAGGACCTGGGTAGATTCAGAATTGCGACCGACTCTGTTCTGGAATTTGGGGCCCGGTCCGGGGATAGGCCCAGGGGCCATGCAGGGGGGGCCAGCTAGGGCGGTGCGCTGTATTTCCGCGGCGCGCAAAACAAGATGGCGCAAGCTGATTTGTGGCGGAGTCTTCGGAACATTGCAGGTCCGTCCGATGGACTACATGGACGTTACCGATTGAAGCGCCTGGCGAGACTAGCGCCCCGCTGGGCCGGTCCCCAATTTTCGGGGGAGTCCATCAGGCCTTGAGGCTTGCCGCCTTGGACAGTACTACCGTAGTAGGTACACCATACCCAGATCGTAGACTGTACCGTAGTACCGTTGTACCGTAGTATCGTAACTTGTCGGAAGGTTCTCAACTTCTCACCATGTTTGAATCGCTTGGACTTCTGTGAAACGTCCAGAAGCCATTTCGCCGTCGATTAAAATCTTGGATGCAATGTAGACCGTTCGACCTGCTGTAGGCTTGGCGTTTGGTGCCACATGTCACGCGCACGCTGCGTGCCGCCATGTCGTGGCATATGCCCCGCTAGTTTAAGTCTATTGCATGCGAGTTCGTCCGCCCCGGAGTCCACCGGTGACCAGAGTCCGCGCCCAGTGCAATGCTCGAGCAATATACCTATTCAAGGGGGACCCCCTCAGAATGCAGGCCTGCAGGTGCAGCATGCAGACGGCGTCCGCAGCGGGCAGCTCGGCGGCCTGGTTCAGCTATTTTTGCAGACTTCTGCTACTCAAGTCTTAGGAACGGTAGATACGGTAGCAGAATTCCTGCAACACCTGGGCGTGCTTGGTGGACACGGAGAAGTCTCTCATACATGAGCCGCATATTGCATCGGACTGGCCTCAAGGAGGCCGGACTTCTAAACAACACGGAACACACCGTGTGGTCCGATTTGACGCCTGACAAGTATGGAGCAATTGCTGGAGTTGCACCGCATTCCGTCTGGCCACCACTTGCTCCCCAACATCGAAATACAGTCTGTAATCACGCAACGTCCCAACGAGCAGCATTTGGGTAGTGGTCGATCGCCGAGTGCGGGCACGCGCCCTTATGAGGGCCCTAGCGGCAGCGCCAGCAAAGATCTGGTGACGCGGTACCTGAGCGTGTCCGGCATGACGTGCGCCGCGTGCTCGTCCAGCGTGGAAAAAGTGCTGCGGCAGGTGGAGGGGGTGGAGGCGGCGTCGGTGTCGCTGATGCAGAACCTGGCGGAGGTGGTCTTTGATGCAAACATCGTCATGGTACGGGGCACGCAGCCGTCAACTGCATCTTGAGCTGTTGCAAAAGAGGTCGAGTTGGAAAGGCACGTAGTGTGTGGTGCATCTTGATCACCGTTTTTGCACCCCACTGTTTGAATCAGCTAAGATGCTTTAGGCAAATCAGGTCTAAATCACTCCTTCCAATCACAGCAAAAGCACCTCGCGTCCCTCATATTACTCATTGAAAGAAGCTTCTTTCCCAAGGCGCTAGTACTAGAAAGACATCAAGTGACTGTGTCAGTACCTTGTATTGTGAAATAAGTGTGGCTACCCTTTCTCCCATTGGGACAACTCTCGTGCTCACTCGTATCACGTCAGTATCCTCGCACCCAACACGTTCCAGTCGCAACAAAACGGTGAGCTCCACATTGCAGGAGGAGGATCTGGTGGAGACCCTGGACGACATGGGCTACGAGGCGCACGTCCAAGAGCTGGACGCAGGGCGCAGCTTCCGCGTGGTGCTGGCCCGCTTGCGGGTGCAGGGCATGACCTGCTCCACGTGCGTGGGAGCGGTGGAGCACGCGCTGGCGGGGGTGCGCGGAGTGCGCAAAGCGGTGGTGGCGCTGGCCACAGCGGAGGCAGAGGTCGAGTATGACTCCAGGTGGGCTGCTCGCCCTGCCTGTGCGGCTGGCCACACAATGCTTGGGCCACAGCATTGCCACGGTTCTGAAGCCAACTCCCCAAGCGCTGCCTTATCTTCGATAAAACCTGTTGACTACTTATGCGCCTGTCCTCGGGCCCCCTTTCTGAGAGCCACAACACTGTCCATGAAGTGCACCATCACACCGTGTACCCGTCTCAGGGGTCTTATGCCCTGGTCCTCACTGCCTCCTTCTGCCGCAGGGTGGTGAGTGAGCGGGCGCTGATCCAGGCGGTGGAAGACGCCGGGTACGAGGCGGCTGTACTGGACACGGGTCAGAAGGACAAGGTCACCCTCTCCGTTGCTGGCATGGACTCGGACGCCGACCGTGCCGCCGTGGTGCGCACCCTGCTGGCCAGCCCCGGCATCCGCGAGGCGTGCGTGCACCCCGAGGCCGGCGACCGGGTGGCGGTCGTGTTTGACCCCGACCGCACGGGGCTGCGCACCATCTTTGAGGCAGTGAAGGGCGCTGGCGAGCAGGGGCCAGGCCAGTTCCGCGTGGCACTGCACAACCCCGCGCAGGGGCAGGGCGTGGACCGCGCCGCGGAGATCATGAAGCACCGGCGGCTGTTCCTGGCGAGCCTCGCGCTCACGGTGCCGGTGTTCTTGCTGGCCATGGTGCTGCCGCGCATCCCGGCGGTGGACGCCGCCCTGCGCACGCGCGTGTGGGCCTTCACGGTGGGGGACTGGCTGCGCTGGGCTTTCACGACCCCCGTCGAGTACGGCATCGGGTGGCGCTTCCACCGCGGCGCGTGGCGCAGCCTGCGGCACGGGCGCGCCAACATGGACGTGCTGATCGTGCTGGGCACCAACGCGGCCTACTGGTACAGCGTGGGGAGCCTGGTGTACGCGGCGGTGCGGCCGTCGTTCCACGCGTCCGACTTCTTTGAGACGGCCGCCATGCTCATCACCTTCATCCTGCTCGGCAAGTACCTCGAGGTGCTCGCCAAGGGTGAGCGCGCACCACACAACCAGCCGAGCCAGCGGCAGCGGTTCCTGAAAAGACCAGGATCCTGAGCGTTGGCCATTCTCTTAACCAGTTGGTGGTGCTCGGTGCTTGATTGCATGGAGATTGTCATAGGGTGTCTTAAGAAGCGACTCTGGCAAAAGATCGTAGTGTTTTGCACGACTCTGGAGCCTCTGATCGCTGATTTTAGCTAGTATTGACTTGCTGTTCGGTGCTATAATCACCGGGAAGATGGAAACTGCGTTGGCTTAAATGAGGTTGCAATTGTCCAACAGTACATCTAGCTAGATACTTTGTGGAGTTGGAAACTTTGAGATTCACCAATTTGGATCTAAGTGAAGTTGGAAAGTTCCAACTTCAGATTATCTGGCTGTATGTGATGTTGGAAAGCCCCAAAATCAGTTGCGGCTGGATATTTTTTGAAGTTGAAAATCTCAACCTCACCGTGAACACAAGCTTTTGGTGAGCAATTGAGGGTGTACGTGATGTTGGATAGTTTCAACATCAGATTCGGCTGGACATTTGATGAAGATGGAGTTTGCTTTGGCTTTAAATGAGGTTGGGACTTCCAACATTACGTCTAGCTAGATACTTTGTAGAATTGGGAAATTCTAAATTCACCGGGTTGCCTCAAAAACTCAGTTGGAAAGTTCCAACATAAGTGGATTCTTCGGCTGTACTTGATGTTGGAAAATTCCAACATCAAATGTGGATGGATGCTTTTTGAAGTTGGATATTTCCTTGACATGACTGTGAACCATTAATTTTATGTTAAAACATCCAACATCAGATTGAGAGTGTATGTGATGTTGGAAAGTTCCAACATGAGAAATCTGGTTGTATGTGATGTTGGAAAGTTCCAACATTACAATCAACAATATAGTGCGAAGTAGGAAACTCACAACCTCAACGCTTTGGCTCTAAATGATGATGGAAATATCCAACATCAGATCGAGGGTGTATGTGATGTTGGAAAGTTCCGACATCATTAGCGGAAACCCATCTGCAGCTGTGCCTTTTTTTAACATGCGGACTTAACATGCGGACTACCTATGCTGACATACGGGCAGTCTTCATGGGCAGGGTTTAGATTACCAGCGGCCCGGCAAGAGCCCGAAGTTTAAAAAGGCAGTTTTTTGTTTCGGACGTCCAGAAGGCTTTCACGCTCCTGTGCCACCGTCAAACAGTTGTCTGCGGACTTTTGCGGACTGTTGCGGACTTCGCTTCTTCCTGCGATGATGTCTGCCGCCGTCTGCTTGTGTGTCCAGGCCGGACGGGGTCCGCCATCAGCGCGCTGCTGCGGCTGGCCCCGTCGACGGCCACGCTGCTGACGCTGGACGCGAACGGCCGCGGGGTGAGCGAGCAGGAGATCGAGGCCTTCCTCATCCAACGGGGGGACACGCTCAAGGTGCCGCCAGGGGCCAAGGTGAGCACGCACGGGTGCGCACGAGAGGTTGAGATCCAAATCCCACACGATGAACCAGGCTGGACGGGTGGTTCGACTTTTGTTTTCTCCTTTAGCAAGTAGTCAGAAACATAACGTGCGGACATCGGGTTCATGACTGAGTGATTATCTTGAGGGAACCTTCTTGCCGTTCAATTTGAGGCAATTCTTCGCAGGGCACTTTCACGACGTGTCATAAGGGAGGTAAGATCAATCATTTCGGCTTCCAAAGTGGTCCTGTCGCTATGCCTGATTATACTGATATGCTGCCCCGCTAGAAACGCAAAAGCTCACACGATGGACACCTCTTGATGAGGCGCTGTTGAGCCCGCTTCTCATCGAACATATAAAGTACCCCAAGTGCCAAGCCCAACCTTCGAGCTAAAGTTTCTATTCTGCAGATTCCTGCTGACGGCGTGGTCAAGTGGGGGAGTAGTCACGTGAACGAAAGCATGGTTACGGGCGAGGCGCGGCCGGTGTCCAAGCACGTGGGCGACAACGTCATCACGGGTACCCTCAACACGCATGGCGCGCTGCACGTGCGCGCGGTGCATGTGGGGGGGGACACGGCGCTGGCGCAGGTGAGGCACTAGGCCACGGCAGCAAGGGAGGGCGGGGAAGCGGCCGGGCTGACACACACGGACGCCTAGGTCACCTGTGCATCGAGCTTGCTGGCACGTGCATAATAGCAGGATGAACACAAGAAATTGTCGCGTCAAAACACTTTTCCTCGTCCAGGAAAAAGCTGACATACGTGATTGCCTAAGCAGCCAAGCCTGTGTTGATGTGAAGCGGTCGGCACAAGTGAAAGACACTGCCGTCTCCCCCCCCTCCCCAGATTGTGCGCCTGGTCACCGCTGCGCAGCTGAGCAAGGCGCCCATCCAGAAGTTTGCGGACCGCGTGTCCGCCATCTTCGTGCCCCTCGTCGTGCTGGCGGCCGTGCTGACGTGGCTGGGCTGGTACGTGGCGGGCGTGACGGGCGGCTACCCCGCGGCGTGGCTGCCGGCCTCCACGGACCACTTTCTGCTCGCGTTCCTCTTCGGCATCTCGGTGCTGGTCATCGCGTGCCCGTGCGCGCTGGGGCTGGCCACGCCCACCGCCGTCATGGTCGCCACGGGGATCGGCGCAACCAATGGCATACTGATCAAGGGCGGGGAGGCGCTCGAGAAGGCGCACAACGTAAGCCCCAGCTGGCCCGACACTTGCGTACGAAAACGGGGCACCTGGCTACTTTTGAGGACACATGCACTCAAGAAAGTTCATATAGTAATGCCTTGCATGTTGTCTGGCGCCATGCTGCGACATCGAGATGTTTTCCTGCTTCTGCGAGCCAAGGCTCAAAGATGGAGGTGTCAGGAGGTTCCGTGATCGACTTGCTTGTGGCTTTGGGCACAGCTCCGCGGACTTCCTCAGTTTGCCCTCCTTAATACGGCGCTTGTCAATCTCTGCCGTCCTCCCCCGGCCCTCGAAACATCTATAACGCCGTCCTTTCCCTTTTTGCAGGTGCGCTGCGTGGTGTTCGACAAGACGGGCACTTTGACCGTGGGCCGTCCCACCGTGACCGCCTCCCGCGAGTTCGGCCTGCACCGCCTGTCGGACGTGCTGCCGCTGGCGGCCGCGGTGGAAGCGCACAGCGAGCACCCCCTCGCAACAGCCATTCTCTCGCACGCGCGCTACACGGCGAGCGGCCCGGCGCTGCCGCCCGCTTTGTCGTCGTCGGGCGTGACGGACACGAGCTGGATGCAGCGCGCGGACGAGTTCGAGGCGATCGTGGGGCAGGGCGTGCGCGGGCGCGTCAAGGGGCGCGAGGTGCTGGTGGGCAACCGCCGGCTCATGGACGCGCGTGGCGTGCGGATCGGCCTGGGCGCGGAGGAGTTTTTGGCGGCGGGCGAGCTCGCGGCGCGCACGGGGCTGCTGGTGGCGGTGGACGGGCAGCTCGCGGCGGGGCTGGCCGTGTCGGACCCGGTGAAGCCGGAGGCGGCCGCAGTGGTGGCGGCGCTGCGCAGCATGGGCATCCGCAGCGTCATGATGACGGGCGACAACTGGAGCACCGCTCGGGGCATCGCACACGAGGTGCGCGACTAGCGCTTGACGTTGGAATCAGGACTGATTTTGGTAGATCTAAGAAGGCGTCTTTGTTCAATTCGTACGGCCACCTACCTTTTCACTGTTTCATTGAGTCGCCAAGAGGAGGAGACACGATCTGATTTGAAAGCTGTTACAAGGGCGGCTAGGTCCTCGAATTCGCGTCCCCGTTCCTCAAAACCACTCCGAGGAGCCAATGTTCGCACCTGTGTTTGCTCACTCTGCGCTTCCTCCCGCGTGCCAGGTGGGCATCGGCGAGGTGTACGCGGAGGTGCTCCCCGCGGGCAAGGCCGCCCTGGTGCGCGAGCTGCAGGCGCGCGGCACGTGCGTGGCCATGGTCGGGGACGGCGTGAACGACAGCCCCGCGCTGGCGGCCGCGGACGTGGGCCTGGCCATCGGGGCGGGCACGGACATCGCCATCGAGGCCGCGGACTGCGTGCTCATCCGCAGCAACCTGGAGGACGTCGTCACCGCCATCCACCTGGCGCGCGCCACCTTCCGGCGCATCCTGCTCAACTACGGCTGGGCCGTCGGGTACAACCTGCTGGGCATCCCCATCGCGGCAGGCGCGCTGTACCCGGCCGCGCGCGTGCGGCTGCCGCCGTGGGTGGCCGGCGCCGCCATGGCCTTCTCGTCCGTCTCGGTCGTCTGCTCCAGCCTGCTGCTGCGCCGCTACCGCCGGCCCACATGGACGCACCTCACGCAGCTGGCCATCCGCTGAGCCAGCCCCACCGAAGAGAAGCGTACTTCGGAAAGGGCTTTTGCCAGTCCTCGCGGGGGAACGGTTTCTGCTTGCTCGCCTAGTTGCTCGCCGCTTTTCCACTGCCCAAATTTAAGGCATGTACAGGAGATGTGCAGCGCTGTAGGAGCCTCCTTTACAAATGTAAGGTATCAGGTTTTTGTCGTCAAATCCTACAGGCAATTCTTACCGTAGTTCAAACGTACTGAAGCACTGAAGCTGGGACCTGGACTCGCAGTCGATCTAGGACCACTCTATGTACAATGAGTCCGAAGTGACGGTGGGGCGCGTCCGAAGCGTCAAACGTAAACCCTGCTTAGCCTAGATCAGCCCAATAAGCCATGGGCGCCGAAAATCGGCTTCCAGCTAGCGAGCTTTCTGCCGGCCTGTCGGCATCAAAAACGATGTACAAAACATTCCGCCAGTTGTTGACTGTATCAGTTCTGGCGAAGTGATTACAGCTATTTTTAAGTAATCCAACATATGCGGACGAAGAGGTACGTTGTCGCTGGATCCTCATTATATGGTGACCGCCATGCATTGGAGATTGTTTGCAGTCCGATCTACGATCACGCGGTGGATCATGCCAGCTGCCACCACTCTATGAGTGTTAGCACCTGACTTGAAAATGGCGGCGCGACTGTACGTGTCGGATCGACCTGATGGGAACCCTTCCAGCTGCAACTTACTATATTCGATATCGCACAAGGAATCAGGTTCGAGTCCGGTACGTCCCCTTAAAACCATGCATGCCCCGGAAGATTGTAAATTCTGGGCGGCCGCCAGTCAATTGAAGTTGCCAAGTTCACATATATACTCCACGTGAGCGGCCGTACGTGATTCGGTCTGGCATTGCAATGTGCACATCAATCCATTGCACATGCATGTGCCCTCGATTTAGAGCATGCTCGGGTTATAAATTTAAGCGGATCTAGGGCCAGGCTGCATTATGGCCGGGGCCCATGGGGCACGCCTTGAAGCAAGTTACGAACCTATTGCCCGTTGACTCACTGAGAATCAGGACAACTTGACTTCTTAACTGCTTGGTATTCTTATCATGCATCTTTGCCTTTCGAAGATCGATCCTCATTAGTGACCATGCGCACCGCCCGTCAAAGACGCTCTTGCATTGGACCTGCTAGTGTATTTAAACGGAGTCTCACATATACGTTAACTTCAATCTAATAGTCTATTATACAGCCGCGTGCACCAGTCGACCAAGGCCTTTGTTCGACGTCAGAAATTGTCTACCCGTCTTCAATCTCTGCAGCTACTCGTCCTCCCAACGCTCATTCACCACCGCGGATAATTGCAACTTAAAAGCTGTCTTTCTTAGAACCAGGTCGGACGAAACTCTTTGCATCCAACACACGTCTTCGATGAAGGACCCGGATTGTGAATTTTCCAAAACACGAGTCAGCAACAACATAGATTTTGGCATCAACTTGAAGGTTAATATCCACAGCTGAGAGCCGCTTGTTCCTTCAGTACACGCTCTCCGATGCCAGGCCCTGGTCGGGCGGCCCCGCGCTGGGCGGCGTGGCCCTCTTGTGGATGGCGTGCAGCGGTACCAGCAGGCAGCTGGCGCCCTGCTCGCCGGCCACCATGCTGGCAGCCCACCCGGGGAGGGATGCTGCACACACCGAAGCAAACTCAGAGGGCCACCGAGTGTCGGATCACTCGTAAGGGACAGAACACAGGAACACAGCGCTTTGAATCGGTCCCAATGTTCAGTTGGAAAAATGTCTACGCTTGCAGAGATCATCTCTGTACCAGAGGATAGTGTTGCTTGTGTCGAGCGATCCCAACGGATCATCAGTCCGCGAGCATGAGGGTTTCTTCGACTAAGACAGCGGTTGCGTGTGCCTTGTGCCTCACCCGCTGAGATGCGATGCGGGCAGGCGGCGCCCTCGGAGAGGTGGAAGAGCGGCGTGGCCGTACCGTCCTGCCAGGCCGCCAGCGTACCGCGCACCACCAGGAGCAGAGTGTCCACCGGAGCGCCCTGCACAAGTGACGTCGCCCGTCTCAGGGAAAGGACGCAGCGCGCATAAGCTCGGTCCTACGTCCTTCGGAACAGCTTGTTGAATAGTCGCACTCTGGATGAATTTCCACAACCAGCAAAGCTGCACGCTGTGTTTTGCTAAATACATGCGAGCACAGATGGAGGCTGGGAAGCTACCTAGTAGGTTCAGGAACGGCTTACTTGGTGGACCACGGTCTCGGACGGTCCATACCGCTGCAGCTTCGCCGCTCCCGCCACGTCCTGAAGGCTTGAACGGTCCAGCATCGCCAACGAGGGAAGGGCAACCAGCAGCTGAAGACGCAAAGCGAAGCCGATGTGAGAAGCTCGGCTGGTTTTCTTTCAGGGAGTGTCCTTTCGAAGCTGATTGATGATGATTTAAGCTTGGAATTGTTCCGCACTGTCGAGACTCTTGATTTGGAAAGATATGGTCAGCTGGTCCTGAGATGCGATGGTCTGGTATTTGGCAGCTGAAACCTTTCCAAAACGACTGTTCTGAGACTGGTCAGAGCATGCGGCATATGACAAAGAGGGGTCGTCGTGCGGCCGTTTTAAGAGCTAGAGCCGAGGCTCACCTGCACAGCGCTAGCAAGCTCGTCCTTTGCCGTGCTCTCTGCCCCGCTCTTCTTGGCCTCCTTCTCCCCCCACCGCCCTGCCTGCGCTGCCCTTTGCCTGTTGGAGGGTACCAGTGGGGACGGCCCGGGCGACTTCGGGGTGGAAGCCTTTGGCGTGGACGCCCCCGGTGTGACGCTGGGAGTGATGCTGCCCGGGGGCGTGTTCTCGCTGTCCGCGTTGCTGTCTGCGTCGTCGCGGCGCAGCCGGCTCTGGATGGTGAGGCCCTTGCGCTGCGCCTGGCTCTTGAACCGCGGCGTGCCTGGGCTGCTGCGCCCGCTCGCCGCGCCGCTGGGCTTGCCCTCCGCCAGCAGTGCGGGGAGGGGCCCCAGGTCGCGCTCCAGGCGAACGGTGTCGCGCGAGCGCGGGCGAGGAGAGCCTGAGTGCGGGGACGGCAGCGGGCTGGCCTGCGAGCGGGGGGAGGGCTCGCCGCTGCCTGGCTGGGGCGGGCTGGACATGCGCAGGGGGGAGAGGCCCGGCCGCCAGGCAGTCAGGTCCGGGATGACCGTGGGCGATAGGCTGTTGTCTGCTTCGTTCGGTGTGGGGGGGGCACGCGGGCTGTCCATTTCTGGAGACCCAAAGACGCAGCGGAGGCTGGCGCCCGCAGCTTTGGGTGCAGTGGGGGTGTTCTGGCTTTCATCTATGGCTGCCCGCCTGATGCGAATGGGCTTCAAGCCAGCTGGCCGCCAGTCTGCAGCTTGCCTCTCAACCTCAAATGCTGTGGTGGGGGCTCTGTCATTGGCATGGGGCGCCTGAGGGGTCCCGCCGGCACTGCTGCTGGAGTCCGCTTCACTGTCATCATCACGTGCCTGCACACGGATGGGGGCCAGGCCAAAAGGCCGGAAGGAGGCAATGGCCTCTACCAGGTCCAGGGGCAACTCGCGGGGGGCAGACACAGGCTGCCTGCAAAGGATCTCAACAGCTGGGGGGGGAACTGCGGGGCGAAGGGCCTTCAGTGGGGAGAGACCCGAGGGGCGCCAGCTGTCAATGTCCGCCCAGCTGGCACTGTATTGTGATTCAGAGGCACTGGGTTCGTCTGGGACAGGTGTCAGGGATGCGGAGGCGAAGCTGGTCTGCTCAAAGGGGCGTCCTGAGGTGCTGGCAACGCCTGCAGCCACGGTCTGCGACGAGTCTGACAGCCGTACCCTGGCAGAGTGTGCCCAGGAAAGGACCCCCGAGGATCGATCATCCTCAACATCCCCTGTTTCAACAAGGGGTGCCTTCACTTGCTTCAGCCCCTCTGGACGCCACTCTGCTATGTCTCGGACAAGGGAGCTTGGCAGAGGCCGGAAAGTGGGACAGCCTTGCATCTGTGGGGTGGCCTCATCCATGCAGCTGTTGCCCTTGTTCGATTCACCCATGGTGGGCCGCAGGGGTGAAGAATAAGAAGAAGAAGCGCTGCATCATCAAAAGAATGACAAGCGTTCAGACAGCTGTTGTTCAAACATTGCCTGGGATGAAGATAGACTGGGCAGTCGAACCTGGTCTTCGCGCACGCATTGCAATCTGCAAGCACCCAAACATTAGCAGCATTGCGCCACTCGTAAGAGCCTGAGAATGACATATTAATGCATCGCTTCCATGCAAAACACCAATGCTATGGCCCAGCACGTTACCTCTTAAATATAAGCTGTGGTTCAGTACCTGCTTGAAGTTGCATTCCTGGAGCTGTTGTTCGGCGCGGAAGGATCCATCTTCCTTGACCCTCTACTTCCCTGACGCCTGTCCTCAGCATTACATGCTTCGCTCGTATCTGAAGGCAGACCTTCAACCTCACAGAAGCGACATTGCAGGTTGACTGCTCTTAGCTTTCGGATGTTGCACAATGCCGACAATTCCAGTCTCCCAAGGATTCCTCAATTTGGAGAAATGCTAATATGTTGACGAGGCACATAGCCATGAAATCATCCGAAAAGCCTCTCGGCTACAGCATGGTCCGCCTGCTTTTTAGATAGTGACGTGCAGGCTCTTGGCATTCTCCAGCTATTCTTCGCATGGTGCATGCGGTTGCAGTTCTGCACACAAAGCCAAAATTGGAACGCAGTACATAGTTGTGGAGTTTACATATAATTATAGGTACAAGGTTGCAATTGATCAGAGGGATGCCGTAGTGCAGTTCAGACCATTAGAATTTGCGTTGGCAGACTTTGTGTTGAAGCTCAATCTGAGCCGTCGATCGACTGTACTTGTTTTTGCCAATGCTTCTGAAACCGTCGATGGAAGTCCGACGAGCTCTTCGAAGATACTCGTCGGTTATCAAAAATATGTGATCGGGAAATCAGTAATCCCTACGCACGCGAAGAGGAGGCTTGGAGGCAGGGGGACCAAACACCACTGACACTGGGCGAACCATGATCCGCACCGTCAGATGATTTTTTCCCCAATCTGGACGGTCGAGATTGCATAAATTGGATGTCCCTTTGGTCTGAGGAAAGGGTTGAGACGAGTGTTAGAGGTAGGTTAATAGTTTCTTGGCTGGTTAACCTATCTAAACCTGCCCCCGATTCCTCCTAAACGGCGCGTTGCCCGGACCCCAAACTCTGGGTTTTGAAAGGTGACCCTGTGGAGGTTCAATCCCAACAATTTTCAGTTCCGGGCAATTAGCCGTTCAGCTGCTGGCACATGGTTCATGTTGCTAACTTTCTTATAGTACCTGGGGTGTTTGGTCCCCCTGCTTGACGGCTCCCGAACTGTAGTTGCTCCAACGTCATAACCACGTCATGACATCAGCTGGGGTTGCCAGCTGGCAACCGGCCTAGTGTAACTACACTGAGACGGTAGCTTTTAACAGTACTATCTCACTAAATCACGCCTTGCCAACAAAAAAGTAAGTTAGCCAGTGAGGCAGGCTTTGAAGCTCGAACACGTCATACATAAGGATAACTATGCACCATGGCCAGTACTGGCATACGGTCCGACTGAAGCCTGGAGCTCGATAGCTGGCCCATGGGTCACAAAGCTGGACGTACGAGCGTTTGAAGGGTAAAAAGATTGCATGTGAGCATTATAACAATAATTGCTTCGACGTGATTGAATCAGAATCAGCTTATCCAATGAACCCTTGCCGCACTTGGCGCATGTTCAATGTTCGAGCAAACTTGGAAAAACGCTTTCAAGCTGACACGTAGAACTCCTTTCGTTCATGTTAAGGAAGCATAAGCAAGCGATACATGAGTCGAAAAGGTCTCAACGTTGCCTGGATCAGCTTTCGGCACGCTGGACTCCAGAACACAGTATCAATGTCAACGTCTTATGATTGACGTCGAGCGCAAAGAGCACTTCTAAATCTTGGCATTTGAGCCCTAAGCTCACTTTCTTCGTTTTACGCACACCATTTCGCAAGCCACAGCCTCGTGCGAATCCTCTACTCAGAAGGACTCACGTACTTGAGAGCAACCAATGACGCATTCATCATGTTTGCCAATCTGTGTTTGGTCGTCCCAACCATGCCATGCTTTTTAAGCTCTTTAATTTGTGTCTGAGTCTGATGTCGTCGAGCGACGACAACATTCACTGCGAGTGAATGGCAGATGCTTTCACGAGCTGCATCACGAGTTCGTCTCCGAAAAAGACGATTCTCAGAGTTTTCCTGCAGAACGCCAACGCTGCAGTGAAGTGGATAATCAGAACAAAGTAGCACTAGTGCGGCTCCAAGAAGGACTTCCCCCCCGGTTGATCAGCCTGACTGCGCCGCCATTTGCAGCGGCAGCCGGTCGAGCTTCCACCCCAAGAGGCTCTGTGCGTTACCGTCTGCGCTCTCGACGGTACTCATAAAGGTGCCCATGTTCATGCGCGCTCGCGCGCGCCCCAGGTGCGTGCGGGCCGCATCAATCATGGCGCGGTCGGCCGTGGTGGTGGCCAGAGCGAAGAACTGTTCGAAGTAGGCCAGGGCGCGCTCCAGGTCGCCCTGCTGCCCGTAGATGACGCCCAGGCTGCAGCACGCGCGCGCCTGCAAACAACGTGGCTCAGCACGCTAGCAAGAAAACCCGGCAGCGACCTCCACCGCTTGGGACTGTTTTTCGGGTGCCAACACCACGGAACAACATTGAAGAGGCGCCGGAGAAAAGGAGCAGGCCTTACCAGCAGGATTGGAGAATTAGGGAGGCATGCTTCCCAGAGGTTTCAAAAGCAAACGCTCTCCAGATCGCAACAGAACGCTCAGGCGGATCTACGTTGTGACTGGCAGCATCGTGAGAGCTGACCTGGAGCGCGGGCTCCGCGGTGTTGGCGACCGCGAGGAAGGCCTCCAGGTGCGCGAGCGCCTCCCCGGTGTCGCCCACCGCCTGGTACGCCTCGGCGAGCGCGCAGCACGCCTGGCCCTCGCCCACCTGCAACCAAGCCGGCCGCCCATCAGACCGGGAAGCAGCGAGCATCGTACAAGGTTTCGCCTTACAAGCACAGCAGCATTGTTGCTTTTCACATCTGGTAGACCTCGTCTGGCCGGACCGAACCGGACGTTTCTTCGCGGAGCATAGAGGAGCGGGCTCGTCTGTTCTGACGCTCCGCCTTGCTATCCCAGAGCGCATGCAAAAATACCAATCAAGTCGCCCCTGTAAAGACCTCTTCAAGCACCACTTCACGCAGTTCCGCTGCGGCTCACCCGGTCGCCATCATGCTGGCAGATGTCCCGGTACTTGTGCAGGTGCGGCAGCGCGGTGGTGGGGTCGCCGGTGCGCGTGAACACCAGACCCAGCCGGTAGCACGCCTGCCCCTCCCACCGCACGTCGCCCAGCGTCTGCGCAGCCGCCACCACCTGCGCGGCGCACCTAGAATGAGCAACATTTTCATGGAATCTTGTGGGACTTTCTTCCGGCGCCTCGGAGTAACTTAGCGGGGGCCAGCCGAAGACAATCTCAAAGGAAATATTGGCGAATCAGTGAAAAAGTTGGCAGCCAGCTCACACCCCCGAGTAGATAAAAAATAACGAATTCCCGGCTCACTTCTTGGTAGTCGGCAATCGCCCCTGGGTAGTCCTTCTCCCGCTCTAGTTGCTCCGCTCGTTTCCAGTACACCTGCACCGCAAGTGAGGCAAGATGATCACAACCATGTATTTATGCGTTCTGAGGTTGGTTTCAAGGCTCCTTGACATCATCATTGACCACATGGAGACACTCGAGGCCCCGTCAAAGAAATTAATGGCATAAGATCCAGCAGTATGTGCGGCCCTTTGCCCCGCCAGTGTACCTCGCGCAGGTGCGTGGTGGCCCTCTGTATGTCGGGCCCGCTCTGCGCCAGCGCGGCTTGCTTCTCGAAAAAGGCAATCGATTGCAGCAGGTCCACGTGTCGCTCGTGTGCGCAGCCCAGCCGCTCGTACGCCTGCGAACATGATGTAAGGCAGGTCTTGGCTCTTCATCTGCCCAGGGTGGGCAGGCAAAGAACAACCACAGTTGCGCCCCACGTCGCAAGTGCACCTGTCCATGAGAAGATATTGGACCATCTGCATCGTTTTCGATCATCATACTAGGTCGGACTGAGCCAAGTCACAGGCCTTCAGAATGACTGTGTGACAAGAACCTCTCAAACGAGACGTATACAATCACCCCAGATTCATTCCTCCCGAGGTGATTCATAAGGGTGTTTGAGCCACCCCTCACCTAAACAAGAGCTGGTCCATCAACAGAGTCCAAACGGAGGGACTTTTGACAACATCTGCATGCACTGAGGCCTCTGAAAACATGGGGACAGGTTACGCACTGCTCAAGTCCCTCTTCACATAAGCTGGATGAGTATCGTATTCGATTGAGCTCAAGGAATACGGCTGTAGGCGAAGTAGTGCCACTACTTGGGGTTTTCAATGCTGGTTTGCCTACCTCCATTTGCAGGCCCCTGTGATTCGCATCCCGGGCTATCTCTAGGCACTTGCGGTAGTACTCAATTGCTGGTGGTTCCTGTTCTGACGCCTCGAAGTGTTCTGCCAGCTCACGATAAGCTAGATACACAGAGCCCATTTCTCCTGCATCATTGCAAATGAAAGATTAAAGGCCTGGCTTTCGCCCTACTAGAAGAGCCTGTAGTAGTCGCTTTGGAAGAAGCTTTTGTGCCATGACAAACTTTACATGCAGTGGAATCTCTCTTGCCTGACTTAAGTTCGGAACCGGCAGGGGCTGATTGCGAAGGGACAGATACGTTAACCGGCAGTATGCGGGTTCGCTGGCTGACCTTTGCGCGCTGCTGCTTCGGCTGCCACCAAGTACCCCCGCAGGAGCACCAGGCTGATGCTGGGCTGCACGCGCATTGACTGTTCTCAGACTAACAGATGCAGGTTCACAGAACAACAAAATAATGAATTGAAAGTTGGCAATCTTGATACAAGGAGATTGTGCTTTACAATAAGTTCGCTAAGAGTGGTGGAAGTTTTCCGACCGGCCAGCTTCAAGCTTCTGCTTGAACATGAAATCCAGGGGGAAAGGCCAACTGCATGCCAGCTTACCAGCAGTTGCGCCTCTCCATATGTTCCCCTGCCCTCGCTTGCCTCAGTGGTTGGGATGTGCGTCAGCTCAAAGAACTCTGCAAGATAGCAATCAGTCTCAAGTCTACCCATGGCACAAGGAAACCAGTATGTCTCAACCATCAGAGGTACTTGTGATTACCATATCATGTGGTGGATCAAGGCAAACGAGCTGTTCGAAAATAGATAGGTCCCATCATTGACGTCGCATCGTCTTACTGGTAAAAGGACTTCGAAAAGATTTTTGTTGTCCTGCCTACCTTTGAATGCCTGCGGGTAGCCGCTTGTCAGGATCTCAAGACAATGCTGTCTCGTAGTTCTGGTTTCTGCTGCATCCGCCTTGTCCCCAGGAGCGCTCATCTCGTTGAACTGCGATTTGCGTACTCGAAGGACTAGCTCTGTTATCTCGAATACCGAACTGCCGACCGCTTCTTGGTGCCCGGTTCAGACGCGAGCAGTGTAAACCAAGTAGCACATTCTGAATAAAATTGAGCTGGTGAAAATTCAGGTACTCTTTGCTAGCTGACCTTCACTATTGGACTGTCGTTTCTATCTTTACGCGGCTCGTCCGCAATCACCTGCTTTCAAGGTTGTGGAGCTGGAGGGCCCCCTGTCCGAATACGCTTCAACGTGGAGCTGAATGATGCCGGTCTGATGTCATAGCTGGCGCTACAGACACTAAAGCAGCTATGGATGTGCCTTGTTCCCCTGCAACCTGCCCGGTAGCTCATGCAAGCAGGCGCATTCAAACCTGCAGCACGAACTAGGTACTTCTCTCCATTGGCATTACAATTTTTTCCTAGGCATTTGCCAATGTTAAACAGCATCTGGCCATCTTGACATAGTATACTTGGGAAAGTATTATTTGGATGATCTTGCAAAGCTGCATGATGCACTTCCTAAACGGGACGGTATAAACTTATGACAAAGTCATCAAGTGGTTCTAAGTAATAGCTTATCTTTAATTAATAGTGAGAAATTCTCGTGTGCACTCAACCGACCAATTGCAACGAACAACTGTCGGCGACGTTGATCGGGGCGATAACGGTAGCGGCGTGCTCCAGGGCCTGCCACTTGACCATTACCATTTGGTAATTGCGAGTCGGTGCCAGGTGCTGTGCTTTGCTGAGCTTTTACTTGCCCCTGCCTGCGCTTGTGCTTGTGCGCTGCTGTTTGTCCAAGGCCGAGCTTTCGGCGTCGTCCTATGCAGATGAAGTAGTCTCTCCAGCTGCTGGGTTGTGTTTTGTACTGGTTAACATAATCTCGTGTTTGGCAAAAGGCCGGGTGGCGAATGGCTACCACAATCTCTCCCGCCCTCACAAGGGCGAAAGCAGCTGCAAAAGCGAAGGTAGGCAAAAATGGCCCAGGGGCCGTAAAGAAGGTGGCTTCAGGGCAGAAGAAGCGCAAGGATATCCCTGTCGAGCCACTAGAAGAGCCGCCTGCCAAAAGGTCCGCCGTGCAGAAGGAAGCACCAGTTACCAAGGTCCTGAAGACCAGCAGTAAGGATGTCTTGGAGGGGAAGAAAGCGAAAGGAAGCAAAGCTGCAAAGAAGATCAAAAGGTAAGCGGACAATTGGCAATTGGACGATAGAAATCTTGGTGGCAGGCAGCACAACATACTGCATTCTGATCGCATATAATCAGACCATCCTGAGTGCAGTGGTCCCCTCTGGTAATGGTGGTGCACGTCAAACACCTCAGTATCCTGCTCTTTGATTTATAGACAGAGATTTTCTCTGGAGTTAACCTGCAATGCGTGGGCGTACTATTGTGACTGTATGACTGACCGTGATTGAGACATTATATGTTGCGCAGAAATGTTGGAGAGGATACAAGAGCGGTAGAAGTCTCCGAGCTGGCGGGCAGCGATGGCCTGGGTGCCATGGACGTTGAGGCCCCCAGCATTTCGCAGGAGCTGGCTGGCACTAGCCCTAAAAGCGATGCAGGTGGTGGTGGCAGATTAGGGGTGGCGACGAAGGCACGGAAAGGGAAGAAGGAAAGCAAGGAGGAAGAAGCCAACGATGGCTTGCCTGAGAAAAGAAAAGCCAGCAAGAAACAAAGGGTAGCTGCGGAAGTGCCAGTGGCAACCAAAGAGCTAAATAAGACTAAAAAGGCGGCTAGCAAGGTTGTCGAGCAGCCCATGGAAGACGATGTGGATGTTGTCGAGGTTCCAGAACGGCCTTCGAAAGCAGCAGCCCTGTTTGATGATGAAAGCGAGGAGGAGGAGACGGGGCCTTTGGGCGGGGGGAAGAAGAAGAAGGGGTTCAGCGATGAGAATGCGAAGTGGTTAAAAGCAAAGGCGGGGGATGACTGGGGCGATGCGGAGAGTGACGAGGGGAGTGACGAGGGGATGGACGATGACGAATTTGACGAGGACAGCGAAGGGGAGATGGACGTGGAGAAGAAGTCAAGGAAGCTTGATGCGCAGCGGGCGAGAGAGGAGGAGGAGGCGGCAGCTGAACTGCAGACCAACATAGAGGACACCACCGAGATGTTCGAGCTGCCCACAGAAGAGGTGGGCACTCCCACTGATCCTGGCATTGGCGCTCAATCCTTGGCATTAACTCTCGTGTTTGCGGTACTGATTGCCTCGGCCTCTATGTTCTCTGCATCTGTATACCTGCCTCCCAGCCCACCTTTGCAGCACAATGGAAGCACAATGGACCATTGGTACGAAGTTTCGTTCATACTTGGAACTCGCTTCTCATTGACCACCTTGGCGGTCCCCTGATCTAGTGTCAGTAGATCTGCCAGTAGGGCGCTTGTCAGTTCATAGGAAAGCTTCTATTCTCAATCGACTCAAAATCCGTCAGCCTCTGCCAGTGATTTGGTATTCTGCCGCCATAGAACCAGAACCCCTGCCCGCAGCGCGCTCCGTCTCACCCCCTGTCCTCTCTTGTCCAGGAGCTGGCAGAGGAGCAGCAGGGTGCCCCTCCGTTGCCCAAGCTGCAGGCGCGCATCCGCGACGTCGTGCGCGTACTGTCCAACTTCAAGGTGCTGCGGCAGCCTGGTGTGGCGCGCTCCGAGTATGTGGCGCGCCTGGCGGCGGACCTGGCGGCCTACTACGGCTACAACGATTTCCTGCTGGATGCGTTTTTGCAGATGTTCCCCGTCGCAGAGGCGCTCGAGTTCCTGGAGGCCAACGAAAAGCCACGGCCTGTCACACTTCGGACCAACACTCTCAAGGTGAGGCAGGGGGCATCCACCCGACTGCACCATGGGGACGAGGAGGGGCTACTGGACGAGCTTATAGGAGAGGGTCACGTCATGTTTCTCGCACATGCTTGGTATATCACCGGGGCTTCTGTGGATCCGCATTGCGAAGCTTCTTCCCAACTGTCGGAGGATTCTGTGAGTTGTCTTTCCTGCTTGTAAGCCGTCTTAGCATCTTCGTTTGCCTCCTGACTGGCAGGCGCGCCGTCGCGACCTGGCGGCGACCCTGATCAACCGGGGCGTGAACCTGGACCCCTTGAGCACGTGGTCCAAGGTGGGCCTGGTGGTGTACGAGTCGCAGGTCCCCGTGGGCGCCACCCCCGAGTACATGGCCGGCCAGTACATGCTGCAGAGCGCCGCGTCGTTCCTGCCCGTCATGGCATTAGCGCCCCAGGAGAAAGAGCGCATCGTGGACATGGCAGCGTCGCCAGGCGGGAAGACCACATACATAGCAGCGCTCATGCGCAACACAGGTAATACCAGACGATGGCACAGGTCGGGGGACCAGATTTGGAAGACTTGTTGTCCTACTGCTAGTCCCTGCGCTTTCCCGAGTCAACTCACAATCCGCAAACTGCATTTGGAAAGAGAAGTCTTGCAGGTGGGATCATGGGCTCCAGTAGTAAACCGCGATTTGAGCGGGTATTCTGGCGTTCAAAAGAAGGAAAGGGCCTCTTGCTGACCCCGCTGCTCGGTTGCTTCTGTCGCTACCAAGCCTGACGGTTTCCCCTCTCGCTGCGCTGACGGCAGGCGTGGTGTTCGCCAACGAGTTGAAGGCGCCTCGACTCAAGTCGCTGACAGGCAACATCCACCGCATGGGCGTGACCAACGCGGTGGTGTGCAGCTACGACGGCCGCGAGCTGCCCAAGATCCTGGGCGCGCACTCCCAGGACCGCGTCCTCCTCGACGCGCCATGCAGCGGCACAGGGGTAAGTTGCCTGCAGGGCTGTGGAGACTCGGTTCAGGACGGCTAGGCTCATAGCGCTCCGTATGGGCACTTTCTCTGGATTTCATCAGGGCGAGGCTAGCGTGAGCTGTCCAGGGCAGTGGCCACCGGTTTTGAGTGCTGGCATATCAGGCGTAAGAATGCATCATGGTTCGAGGATGCAGCATCGGAGCCGTGTCCTCCTTCTGACAGTGGCCAATTCCATCATGCTGCGGTGTGAAATGCGGTGTGCGCGTGCGGTGCAGGTCATCGGCAAGGACCCCTCGGTCAAGGTCAGCAAGTCCGAGAATGACATCTACAAGTGTGCGCACCTCCAAAAGGTGAGCCCCACCTCGGCGCGCCAAGTGTAACGGTTGGATGAAGCCCCCCGTCTGCTTCGACCTGGATTCTTCTTCAATCGACCGCTCGTCTTCTGGACAGGTCTTCGTCGCTCAAGTTCCCGCTCGCTCAAGTTCCCGCTCGCTTTCTCGAGCGAAGGCGCCCTTCCTTTCCTAGGATCTTTCGCGACCGACTATTCCATCGTGTCTTCAGAGATGTCGCTCCTTGTCGGCTCTTCCCGCTGCTGGCTCGCCGAGCTCCTCCCTGGCCTCCACTCGACTTCTAAGTTTGGGCGTCTTCTTGGCTTGTCCTGACGTTCCGCTCCGGCTGCTGGCGCGCAGGAGCTGTTGATAGCGGCGATCGACCTGGTGGACGCCAACAGCAAGACCGGCGGCTATGTGGTCTACTCCACGTGCTCCGTCATGGTCATCGAGGACGAGTCCGTTATCGATTATGCGCTCCGCAAGCGTGACGTCAAGGTCGTCCCCTGCGGCCTCGACTTCGGCCGCCCTGGGTGAGCAGCCGCCCCGCTCCTCAATGGAACGCAGCACCGTGCTTACCTATCTCGAGTCGTACAGAGCATTTAAGAGAGGGTCTTAAGGGAGGCGAAGGACTCGATCCTGCCTCTAGAAGTACCTTCCGGGCTAAGGCGCTCAAATATGCTCAAGGCTCGGATAGAAGGAAAGGGTTTGCGGGGTTAGCCTCGATACACCCATCTTTGCATGCATGTGGATTGGCTGCAAGAGACATCGTGCGGTGCTTTGCCTGGCTGGCTTTCTCACAATAAGGCCCACTCTGCATATGAAACGGCCGCCGTTTTCTCCTTGCTCACGCACCTGTTCCCGCTGTAACAGGTACACCAAGTTCCGGGAGCACCGCTTCCACCCGTCCATCGCCAACACGCGCAGGTTCTTCCCGCATGCGCACAACCTCGACGGCTTCTTCGTTGCCAAGGTATTCTATCCGGCCCCTCGGTTTTGCTTGTAGCTGCGCCAAGTGTGCTCTACGGACAGTTCGTACATGATTCTGTCGGACTTTCGCTGCAATGGTGTCGATGGATGTTTCTTTTTGACATATATGCCTCCAGCTTAACCGAGCTCCATTACGAGAGTTCTGAGAAGGTTGATTGGCATGCGGTCCTGCTGCACCGGTCCTCGAGGCTAACCTAGAGGTTCCTACTGCAGCTGAAGAAGCTGAGCAACAAGAAGAAGAGAGTCAAGGACGAGACCAAGGCCTCTGCTGCGCACACAGCCGCGGGCCAAGAAGGGCAAGACGAGGACGAGGAGGAAGAGGAGCGCGAAGAGGGGCCGGTGCCGGAGACAGCCGCGGAGGATGGGGGGGCGGAGGAAGACGCGGGGGTGTCAAAGGAACCGGTCACGGAAGCAGAGGGCCCGGTCGAAAGCAGGGCGGGGAAGAAGGGCCAAGAACGCGGGGGGGAGCATAGAAAGCAGGGCGGAAAGTCGAAAGGGGAGAAGAGTCAAAAGAAGAAGGCAGAGCCCAGGCCCGCAGGTGACGGGAAGAGTAAGCAGGGCAAGAAGGCAAAGACGAAGTGAACGTAAAGGCCGTCCTTTGTAAACCGCCCTACCTTTTGGCGCTTTTCGGATTGTTACCATCTCAATACGCGATGTTTGTGATTGTGTCGATGCTCGGGGTTCGGGTCACGGGTGCTCTGGAAACACGCATCCTTTCTCTGGTGAGCTTGCTTTGCAGTAAAGAAGCAGGTACTTCTGACTCCAACGGTCAGTCGGCTGAATGCAAATGCTCGCTCTGCACTTCCTGTGCAAGTTGAAAGTTTCCACTTGGTGGACATCTTTATCAACGCAGGCAAAATTGCGCCGATTTTGTCACAGCATGCATGAGGTTTCGCGTGATCCTTGATTGCTTGGAAGCCAACAATTTGAATACGACCGTGGCGATTTGGAGAGGTCCTCGGCTTAGAGAAGTTGTCTTGTAGATTCATTCTGCGCATGCACGGCCGCCTGTCTATACTTCAAATGCAACGGGCTAAAACACAAATACTTGCATAGAGTCTCGTTGGTCTATGAGCCTAGATACACCATGTCCACTAATCAAATGCAATGATGTATTTTAAGCCGCCCGGTATATAGACTTGTACATCTACCTTGCAGATGGAAGTTTATGTCATCAAGCCAAACGGATCAATGACAGACGGGCAATTTATCGTAGTCAATTGCATGCGTGCATAAATATACATGATATGCGGTTCTGCCGGAGATGGCCTGCTCATGGTGGCCTGAGGCGGCTAAGGGCGCTATAGCTAGAAGTTGTATGGTGAAGGCACTCGGCTGTTTGCTCCTGAGTTGGACATCTTGCGGTATTCACTTGCGGTCTTCAACTTGAATCAAGCTACAGGCCCATTGAACCACTAGTGTTCTGTTGTATGGGCCGAGTCCCACATTTGGTCATGCCATTGAGCTCTATCTATCTACTGTTTTGGTCCAACCTTTGTCCCCGGCGTTTCGCTCTTCTGGATCTTTTCATAGACGTCAAGGCTTGATTTGCTCTTCGATTTTGCAGGCTCCACCCCCTTCTCAGTTCGACGTCTAGGTGCTCGCTTCTCTAGCAACTCTTGTTTTGCAATATCCCTTTTCTCCTTGAACTCCGTCAGCGACAAGTATATTACCTGCAGCAAAGGAACCGCGTCAATGAGAAGACATTCCTTATGAACATTTTCCATTTCCCTCAAAAACTTTCGGGGCTCAGTGACTTCAAGCTTCAAAAAAAGTCAAGGCTACGGCTTGAAAGCACAAAGCCACCGGACCTGCTGTCAGCTTCTGTGCCTGGCAAGACTATGTGCATGACCTTTCTGTCCTTGATTGCGTCCATTGGGGTCAGTGTACGACCAACTTGTAAGCAAATTGGACAGCCATGTTTCAACACTGCTGGCAAAAGACAAACAGTCTCCAAGAAGGGGCAAAAGGGGAGCTCCTGACTTACCCCCGCAGTTAGAATTGACAAGGCAAGGACGCCCAAAGTGAAAAGAACAGCTATTATTTTGTTAGGGAGCTCGTCCTCGTTTGCGATGACAACCGGCTGTTCGATCTCTCCCGCTGCGAGTGCAACTTCTGATGCCCAAAAGACAGCAGCTGCTGGCAACCCCTGCAATACTTTGCGCGCGACGCCCCTGCTCTCATGGGCCGCAGCAGCCAAGCTTGCCCCCACTACAGCCCGGCCTGTTTCTTTGAACGCTTGCTCCAAGTCCAGTTCACATTCTGTGCTTTGCTGAATTCCACGTTGCTTTTTCTGTAGCAGAGGGTACTCTTGAACGGAGGGAATATGCTCAGAAGCAAAGGCAGCATTATGGAACAATCTTCCTGCTGGTCGTCCAGCAGGTTGCTGGCGCCGCAGACGTGCAGGCTGCTGCTGCACAGGCCATAATTGGCGACTGCCCCCCTGCTTCTGCTGCCATGCCTCTGCAATTGAGCCAGGCAAACTGGCACCAATGTTTGCAGCAGGGTGCGGGCACGAGGCAAGGTGCGCCATCTCTAGCTGCTACCAATTTCAAAGCACACTGCAAAGCACATACCGGTATATGATAATTTCCTACAAGTGTGCACACGGCATACCTTTTCAATAAAGATTGGGGAATTCCCAGCTTCGACGACTTCCGACGGCGACGGAGTCGGAAGCAAACGGTAATACGGTACTTCTTCATTGTATTAGCTGCGGCTCGAGAAACGTCTAAACGGGCAACACGGAATTAAAGACGGTTGTCATCAGTCAGCCGTCCAAAGTTCACAACTCATGAGTATCGGTATCAACGTTCAGGCTCGTGTCCGATAACGGTTCTGGCCTGCAAACCGAGAGATCGCCCATGTCGAACTGTCAGGATGAGGCTGGCCCATCATGCACACTGGTCTCTGCAACAAGTGCAAGCGCGCTACTAGTAGTACTTAGTACTACTACGGTACTAGGGCGCTAGCATGCCAGAGGGTACGCTTCGTAGTTCCTAGAAGGCAGACAGCTTTTCGGGGGATCGCCTCTGAGCATACAAACCGTGTGCGCGTGGGCGTCATGGCTGGACCTGTCAGCACAGCCCGCTGTGCGGCCTTGCATCAATCTCTGGGGGTCCAGAATGTTCTGCAGCAGACAGCTGCGGCGGCTAGAGTTTCTCAGGATGGCGCGACTTCCTGCTGTATACCTAGAGTGAGAGGCGACATGAGTCAAAGTACCAAACGTTTTTCAGTGCCACTTCACTCAAGGTTGGCAGGGTCAAAAGCACTGGGACTTTTGAAGCATGAGCCGTGTCCATCTGCTAGTACACCGTGTGATGCGCCAAGGAGTTGGCGGAGGGGGTGCCAAGCCACGCAGGCTGAGGCCCAGCCCAGTCAAGAGGCGGTCCTACCGGGGCCATGGTTTAGCCCGAGAGTAGACAGGTGAGCCGTTGTTCCTCGTCATGGCACCCACATTGCAGACACTCTCAACAAGAGACAACGGTGAGAGAGGTGCATTCTTGAGTCTCAGCTTGCGCTTATTACCAAGGATTGTGCAAGTCCCTGATAGGCACCATCCCTCCATCAACCGCTCTGACCGTTGCCCCTGGCTCTCTCACCAGGTCGGAGGACACTGCGATGCCCAGCGCTCCCTTCGCGTCCCTCGACATGCCAAAGCCCAAGTGGAAACGGGTGCTCTTGAAGATCAGTGGCGAGGCTCTGGCGGGCGAGAAGACCAGCAACATTGACCCGGCAATTTTGCTGCGGATTGCCCAGGAGGTTGCCGCCATTGCCCGCCTGGGAGTGGAGGTGAGGGACCATCAGGGACGCTTTTGTACGTGTCCTTGTTCTGATGGAGGGGCCAGATAAGGCAACCTTTTGCTTCGGTTGCTATTGTCTCTTTGAGTGGTGAATTGGAAGCACAGCGACGGGTTCGCATACTCTGTTTTTCTGTGAACTTCTTTTTGGGTTCTTTCCGTGATAGAACCCATTTCCGCGCTTCTTGGTGGTAAATTGCACAACATGCCCAGTAGGGTGGGATGCTTCACTAGTGCCTTGCTGTGCGCTATCTTCACGTCCAGCGATGTGAGCCTGGTGCGTCGGCCTTGCTCCAGGTGGCGGTCACCGTAGGCGGCGGCAACTTCTTCCGAGGCGCCACGTGGGCGGGCGCCAGCGGCCTTGACAGGGCCTCTGCGGACCAGATAGGGTGAGGCGCCGGCATTCCCTGCGCTCACTTCTCACAATTCCAGGAGATGTGGACTTTGAATCCAAGTGATTTGCAGTGGGCCTATCCAATCCTGTTCAACGGAGCCTTGTTGGCTACCATCTGACCAGCAAAGAGCAGATATTGTTCAGTCCGCTCTTCTGCCAACTCCTTCTGAGCGGCCCTGTTTCCATCGCAGCATGATGGCAACCGTGATGAACGCCATCTTCCTCCAAGCGTCCCTGGAGAGCCTGGGCTGCCCCACCCGCGTGCAGACCGCCTTCAAGATGGCTGAGGTCGCAGAGCCCTACATCCGGCGGCGCGCCATGCGCCACCTCGAGAAAGGCCGTGTTGTCATCTTTGGGGCCGGCACCGGAAACCCCTTCTTTACCACTGACACTGCCGCCGCTCTCAGAGCTGCAGAGAGTGAGCCCCTGCACTGTGCCCGCTGGCCCCTCGAATCTCTCAGCGATTGCTGCCCGAGAAATTTGACGGGCACTCTGGTTAACGAGTCAAAACTGCGCATGTAGCTCCTCAAGAACGACAGGCTTGAATCTATCCATCGAGGTGACGGCCGAAATGAGTTCTGTACGAGGAGAGCCTTGGGACAAAGGTTTATAAACGAGCGGTTGCGCTGAGCGCTACATTGCTGGTGGCGTGCAGTCAACGCGGAGGTGGTGCTCAAGGCCACCAACGTGGACGGCGTCTATGATTGCGACCCGCGCCACAATACGGCTGCGCAGCTGCACCAGCATGTGTCCTACGCCCAGGTGGCGCGCGACCGCCTCAGCGTCATGGACGCAACCGCTATCACACTGTGCGCAGAGAACGACATCCCAGGTGAGGACGCGCCAAACGCACATCGCAGAATGCACAGCCGCTGAGGGCACGGACTTTTTCATGGAAGGCCTACTTTCCTTGTTGGTGTTCTTGGGGCCGATTCATAGAGTTCTGCCTAAAATACGAGGTTTTGAAGCGCCAGCACGGTTGTTCCCTTAGTTACTAGAGCCTCGTCACGACTTGAAGCGGAAGCTCACGAGGTAAGCTTGAGCCACTGAGAACGTCTCTATTCCTGCAGTTGTGGTGTTCAACTTGAACATTCCCGGAAATATTTCACGAGCACTCAAGGGGGAGAGGATCGGAACCCTCATTGATCAGCAGGGGGCGCAGTCTACTTGAGGATCCTTCGGAATGCGTCGATCATTGGGTGATTGCTATACGCACAGTTGTTGCCAGCATATCAAGATTCTTTCAGGGATAGGTATATAAGGTCAGTAGATTAGAGTAGGGTTCATGAAATTAATCAAAGGTCCCCACAGTGTTTTAAGTATAGTCGGTATAGTCATAAGACTGGAAATTGGAAAGCCGCAAGCTTGCCCAAAGTATAGTCCAGTCCAGCAACACCAGGTGAAGAACGTTTTGAATACAGTATACTGTTGCATCTGGGGAATCAAGGTCATCCAGGAAGTGTAGATAAAATGGTCGAGGCATTTGAGTGTAAGTTGCAAAAGTACGAGCCCGCAACTACCTGCTAGTCTGACTGACCGGCAGGTTGAAGCAGGCGTTCAAGCCAAGTCCACCATCGTAGCTAAGTACAGCAATATTTAAAGCTTGCCAGGCGTTCCACCACATTATCGCTAATCTCTTTTGACACTACACGTTGTTGCACATGCCCGCGGCACAGTTTGACGGTATAGGTCTATGGTGACATTCCAGCCTTTCACATGCGTACCATGCCAGTGTCGCGCGCCAATTGGGGGGGTTGTATGCAACGTGCCACAAAGAAGCTGCTGGCAGCTGGAGACTCAAATGGCCGGGGCGGCAAGGTCAGCTGGATCTATGAGTAAGGATCAGATACGCATCCCTACTCCGTACGAGCATATAGGCAGTAATCGATTGAGTTGCCAGTAAGTTAGATCATAATATAAGGCATACTTTCACGTACCATTCACAATCCAGTGCACCATGCATAGCCGCTCCGGCAATGGTGGCTCCATGTGGGCTTGTGTGCAAGTCCTACGACTGCTTTACGGCCGGCCCTAGGTAGACGCCGCAGTATAGTGCAGCCGGCATGATAGCTAGGTGTAACAATCTCAACGTTGAAAGGGCTGTCGACGCAGAGAAAGGCGTAAGGTCCCGTAGGCACGGCCCAGATGGCACGTGCAACTTGGGTATCCACGCGTTAATCCACCGGACCGCCCATTTAACAGTTTGGTGCCCCGATCGGCCAGAACAGATTGCATCAGACTTTCCACCGGGCACCGTTCAGCTCCGTGAGAGACGACCCAGGTTAATGCGGCTAACAGCGGTTCAGTGGGACTCCTGAAGTGCCTCCGTGCATGACGGTGGCTTCTGATTGCCTGAGACAGAGATTGGCACGCCGGGTCTATCCGGCCACCTCGCTGTGAACCTTCAGCCCAGGTGGCGGCATGCATCGATCTTAGGCAAGGGTGGGAGAAGTTGACGAGCTAACTGGTAAGACTCGATCTCGGCGAAGTCTCTTCTCGAATGACTTCCCCACGAGCAGGCAGATGAAGTACGGTCAGAGCAGAATCAAAATTCTGGTCGTGCAGCAACCGCTGGTCCTGTAAAGCGACGGCAAAAGCTCTTTTGACCACTTGCGGTACTCTGCTGTGACGACTCCTTGGTGACTCTCGCTGTCTATCCAGAACTGGGCAAGCCTTTGTAAATCCGAATCTTAAAACTGCACAAGCATCGCCCAGCGGGTTCTGCAAGATGCTGCGATCTGAAGAGGTCTTTGCACACGGAGGAACTCGGCTCGGCCGGTTGGTCATTTTGAGGCGGCGGTGGCTGCTGTGGCGCCATGCATTCGTGCTGTCGCTTTCTCTGCTCGCCGCTTGCCGGATTCGAGCGGGGGAGTGCACTGCGAACGGCACCCAGTTCGACCGGTTCGTGGTGGTCATACTGGAGAACGCGGACTTCGAGGTAGCGATGGCCGACGACTATCTGGCATCGCTGGCGGCGCGGCCGGACGCGCGCTTGCTCTCGGACTACCACGGACTCGCGCACCCTTCGCAGGTAAAGAAAGACAGGAGTCACGAAAAGGCAGGAGTAAGGCGGCACGGAGGTCCTGTTACGGTGCATGGGGCGGAAAAGCCGAGGTCTTTGCTGCTCCCCGTCGTGCCTACAATGCTGAAAACAAGAGAATCAGGTAGAAGAGAACCGGGCAGATCCGGTGCAGTTCCTTTTATACGTAATGAGCAGGCTTAAAGTCTGTTCGACAGTGCATCAAGTTTTCAGATCAGATCGTTGAAGCATGGTTTGGTACCTGCTCTTATGCTTCTTCAGGGTCAGTTTTCAAAAAGACCATGGTGCTCTCCTCCACTCAAGAGTGCACTAAGGGATGTTCCCCCTATTCTGCCTTTAAATCCTTGGAAACAATTATGGGAACAGCAGACCAGGAAAAGAAAGCAATCAAAAAGACTCGTGCCAGAAGTTTGGTATGACCCGGGAAATCCCATCTGCGGAGATTCTTTGAAACTATCGAACTCGGCTAAGGACAGAGTTTCTGGACTGAAGACTTCTCACTTAATCGTTTGAAGGACAGCACCGAATCTTCGACGATGAAGACGACCGGTCCCTAGTTGAGATTTTCGGCTACGCTACCACTTTACCACACATCCATTTGCGTTTAACCGACACTTCGGCGGAACGCCTAGTGAAATTCACTGAAGAAACACTGCAGCTAATTTTCTCGTCGAACTTGCTAACGCCTGGGTCTTCGACTGATGCTGCAGCCGAACTACATTGGCCAGATCGGAGGCGACACTTTTGGCATTACTGACGATGATCCTCACGAGATCGACGCCACGAACCTGGTCGACCTGCTGGACGGCGCAAACATCACCTGGAAAGCCTATATGGAGTGAGTGCCCCGGTTAGACAAGGTGACTGGCAGCAACGTCTAGAGCAAGCGGCGGACAACTGGTAAAATTGGAGCTGACAGTATGTCGATGTCTGGACAAATTCCGGGTTTGAAAGCTTGGCACTTCGATATGGCTCCGGATGTGTCGGCCCGGGACATCTCCAGGCGTCCGAGAAGGGAGCTTCGAGAAGACCAAATGCTTCACCTATGCATCCCAGCATGCAACGAGCACGGCTGTAAATGAAGTGCAAAACTTTCAGGTAGATCCTACACAAGCTTGTTCGTATCATCCAACCCTGACTCCCCCGGTCTCCTTGATCCTCGTCTTGCAGGGACTACCCGGGAGACTGCTTTAACGGCAGTAACGCGGGCGGCTTGCCATTGTTCAACGGCGCTCTGAGTCTCTACGTGAGGTGAGAGTGCTTACATGCTCTATATTCCTGTCCAGACGTCATAGTCTTTGTTTTGAAGTATCCCTTATGAAAGGAGCCAACAAAGCTTTCTTGAATCATAAGGCACGCGCATCGTGTCTTCTTCTTACATCTCTGATGGCACACTGATTTTACTTTCAGAAAGGTTCTCTGATTAATCAAGTCACTAAAAGGGGCAATCTGAAAGTCCGGCAATCTTCCTCTCTTTTTTCATTCTTCTTCATCGTCTGCAGGCAGCACAACCCTTTTGTGTCCTTTTCGAACATCCTGGGGAGCGCGAGCCGCTGTCAGAAGATAGTCCCTGGCAACGAACTAGATTCGGACATCAGCAGCAAAAGCGTGCCTCAATTTGTGTACTTCGTTCCGAACCAGGTGAGAAACTCATATTTGCTTCTTGTCGTCTCGCAGTATGTGCCAAGCAGAGGTAAAAGTGCGGAGATGATAGAAGCACGATAATACAGCATAGCCACTATAAATCAATACCGGTTTAAGATCGTTTGCTGATTGAGGCCGTTTTGACCTCAGAAATTCAGCTTTTAAGATCAAAATGGTCTGACACAACGTTTAAGAAATAGCCAAAATAGCCTGAAAACCTGAATAGATTTTAGATCGAAGTGGCCTCACAACGATTTTAAACCGGGCTATCATTTATAGTGAGCTTTGGTGCCAAATGTTCGGAGAAAAGCTGCTAAACAATCGCTCTTAGTTCCTCAACAATTATATCTCCTTTTGATTGTTTGTTCAGAAGCTCCGTTTGCTCAGTATGCTATGTTATAAGGTCTGACATGTCGCAAAGCCATTGTTTGGCAACTCAAAGGCGGGATCTTGGAAGCCTTCTTTGTCCGTCTCCGCAGATCCACAACGGCCACACGACCGGCTTCGGCTTCAACGTCTTCCAGGCAACTGACTGGCTGCAGGGCTGGCTGGACCCCAAACTGAACGACTCCGCGTTCAACAACGATCGTACCGTCATTCTAGTTACGTTTGACGAGTCCGGCGTCAGCGGTTCCGGCAATCACGTGTATGCGGCGCTTGTGGGCGGTCTTCTCGGCAGCCCGAGTAACTGCTCGGCAAAAGGGGACCCGCTTACATGCGCAGACGGCTCCTATTATACGCACTACTCTGTGCCAAAGACTATCGAGGATAACTGGAAGCTGGGGAGCCTCGGACGGAACGACCAGAACGCGAGTGCTTTTAAGCTGCCCTGAGGGTGACAAATCAACGGATTTTATTGCCGCGGGGTGCTCATCATCGAACTTTTGACTCAATCTCCTGCAAGGAACCTTAAAAGCGGCCACAGCACGTATTGCATGATTGCTTTATCTGCTGATCCAATTACCGGAGGCCGATGGTGCTGGCACTAGAAGGTCGCAGCTGGCACTAAGGCAGTGCTCAGTCAATGCGTGCGCTGCGAGGTTGTTTACGGGCCGTATACGTCGCATCATCTGCCAAGTTGTGCAAGTGCTGCGAAAGCTGATCGCAGCACACCAACGGTTCTGGTTGGAACTTCATCCGTTGCGTCTCACAGCACGATGTAAACTTGGCCCCAGATCATCATGTATGCTCTTTCATCAAGTTGCATGCAGGAAACCAGTTGATGCATCATCAAGCAAAGCGAAAAGCATTCAGGGACCTCGAAACGAATTTTTTTGATTCGCACCACGGTGCACCATTTCTGAATCGGGAAGGTGATCAGTCGAGCCCTCGAGCCGAGTCTCAAAATGCCTTCGTAGGCATCGCTGGTACGCTCATTCGTCTGGATCTCGTGGGTCCTGCTCATTCATATCTGGCAGAATGAACCGTCGTTTAAGAGGCCACGTAAGTGAAATTGTCGCTCTACACTTGCTAAACGTGCCGCAGCTCGTAAGAGCGCCCGCTGTGCAGTGGACTGACGGCCTGGGCTTGCTCGCGGACCGTTCGCGCTCCAATATGGATAGATTCTGTTAAGTGAGGTCCAAGTACTAGGCACGCTAAAAGCTTGATCGACCACGATCGAGCCTTTTTCACTAGTGGCCACTTTCAGGCGCCTGGTTGCAGCGCCGCTGCACGTATCTCAATATTGGCCCTGCGCACAATGCCGTCTAGGATGTACGAACTCAGAGTCTGTTGACACTGAAGAGGGCTTTGAGCTGGCTTTCAACAATTGTTGCATGGGCGCTCCTCTGAGCTAGTCTTCCCTGAGTCGCACATGCATCCAGCAGTTTCGACTCTTTCGGCTGGTCAATCAGCACATTACGAAGACGTGAATGGCAATGAGACGCCGTCAATTTGATCGATCAATCTTCCGCAATGCCAGCTACTGAATTAGAGACGCGGACAAAAGCTTGAAGAAAGCTAGCCGCGTCAGTGAACGAACTTTTATATCAAAGAAGCAGAACCAGGTTGAGATGGATTAAGTACGATACTCCCAAGATGCCGCGGGTGTTGCATATGGAACTAAGATTGGTCACCGTCGAATTGGAATTAAGGCGGGGCGTGGCCACATGTGACGTCTAGAGCATGCGTGTGTTGCGTCAGCGCTGCCGCAGATCAATCGCCAACCATGCGTGCATGAAGGTGAGAGCCATGTGCCGTGCGTCGATCAGCCCATTGTTATGAGCCTACCATGACCAATGTTGGTACGTGCGTTTACGTGGCCATGCACTGAAACGATTGACTTGACAGTGCACTTCCGCACATGTTGGACCAATTATACCGGGTATAATTGGAACACGCTAAGGCGACCAGAGCCGAATACCGAATACAGCAAAGAATGCACGCAGATGTGCATCTATATAGTATTGTAAACCTACCCAGAACAAACGGCGAATATGCTGGCTGCACTGGCTGTGGTGCAAGAAGCAAAAACAGCCATGATCTGCAAAAGGTCGGAATTGACATCCCACGTTGCATGCGGCTCTTCCTTGCACTTAATCTGCCACTAGAGGTCAGAATGTTTGACCAACAACACGCTCAAGTAGAGCTGCAAGAAAGACAACCGGCAGAAGCACTCTCTAGCAAAGCGGTCAACACATGTGTACAAGTCCCTAGTACTCGTCCTCATACCCGCCGCCCAGATTTGGCAGGGAGAAGGCCTTCTGTTCGAGCCGCTCGTTCCAATTTAGGCAGCGTACCAGGCTGCGGAACCAGTCGTCCGTCTGGTCGTACTTGTTCACCTGCCAACGCACCAACAGGGGAGTCAGCTACGGGGCGCAAACACAGGACGGTCTCATATTCTGCCTCACCTTAGGTCTGAGACATCGCGCCTTGCAAAGCCTTGACGTCAGACGTTCGAAGTTACAGCCTTGTCACGAAAGAGGCAGATATTGTGTTGGTCGGAGGGGCGGCACGACAGCCTAAGTGGTGCAACCAGCGGCCAAATCTCAATGTTGCACTGACCAGGACCAAAGAGGCGACCCAGCCATACGAGCAATCAGGACATAAAAATCCTCAATGGAGCCAACTCGAAACAGGGGAGGATTTCTAATTGAGCAACAGTCCGGCACTCGGAGGCGGCTTACCGTGGGCATAGGGTGCTCGCTCATGCGGATGCGCACGCTGTCCCCCCGCATCAGCTGCTGCCGCTTCTTGCCGTCGAAGCACACCCACGCCGTGTTGCGGGCATCAGCGGGGACCTGCGGGCGCAACGGGCAACGGGTCAGCCGAGCACCCGGAGGAGGGCCGTATTGCTGGCGCAAACCAATCACAAAACGCATCTTGACAAGGCAGTATCTATACCTCAGTCTCACTCCAACTTCTTAGCGCGTGGTCGTGCGAAGCACGCAGGTCTCGGCGTTAGCAGCAAACGGCCGCGCTGACAAACAACCCAATAAGTGAAGACAGAATCAAAGGGAGCAGCGGCGCACCCGCAGCTCGATCTCTGCGGAGTCTGGCAGGATGACGGGGCGGAAGGAGAGGGAGTGCGGGCAGATGGGCGTGAAGAGGATGCAGGGGACGTTGGGGTGCACCATGGAGCCGCCCGCCGCCACCGAGTAGGCCGTGCTGCCCGTCGGGGTCGCCAGCAGCACGCCGTCCGCTTGCACCTGCCACACCGCAGGGGACGAGGGGTCAGAAGAGACTCTAGGACATCCCTAAGAGGCTTGGATGCGCGGGTGAACGCGGGACAAGTCAGCAATCCATTCTCGATTAGAAAGGGCCGACGAGTTGCCCAAATCGACAGCGGACGTTCACTCATTTGTGGGCACGGCTCCTGCAAACCGGGAAAGAATGCTCAAGCAACTTCCTGGCCGATCACGCGGCCTTCGATACGCCCTTCCGCATAGCCGCTTCAAATACTCTCACAAACGTCTGTACAGAGGAGCACAATGCACGCGCGCTCTGACCTTGGTGATGAGGCGGTTGCGCTCGTAGCACTCGATCTTGCAGAGGTAGGGGCTGGCGCCGCGGTCCACGACGATCTCGTTGAGCACCTCGAAGACCTTGCCCGGGATGGGCACGCCGCGCCGGAAGATCTCGCACCGCAGCCGCATGCGCAGCGTGATGTACACGCCCTCCATGCTGCTGTTGCCGTGGATCAGCGCCAGCAGGTCCGCGCGGTACTCCTCATACTGCACGCAGCGCACACGCACGCGTCAGATGGGGCTCAGCATACGATTGCAGGCGTTGAATGAGATGATACCGACCCCAGGAATGAGGGTCTGTTAACATTAACTGAACGCGGCCCACTTATCTGGACGCATGGCCGCAGATTGCAACGTCGTTGAAGTAATGGGACTACAGACCGTTCTTGGAGTGTGTAACTTTTCCATTTTTCAAAAAAGAAACTTGACTCCCTGAACCCTCAAGCAACTGCGATCAAGAGCAGGCACGAGCTCAAAGCAGGTCCTCAACAGTGAAGCAAGCTTGCCTTGCGGGCAATGACAGAAGCACTCCCCACCCAGGCCATCCAATTGGCACGAGCACCGCTATCAAGCCCCGTTCCCCAGGCCTCACCTGGTGGGTGGTGAGGAAGCCAAGGGAGCCCAGGTTGAATGACACGACGGGCGGCACGGCCTCGGTGAACAGGTTGCTGACGTGCAGGATGACGCCGTCCCCGCCCAGGCACACCACGAAGTCGACGCGCTCGTGCAGGCGGCTCATGTCCGCGTTGTAGTACGTCTCCACGAAGCCGAAGCCGGGCGTGCGCGCGAGCTTGTCGTGCACCTCCGGCTCGACCACCACGTTCATGCCCTCCTGGTGGTGCAGCCACAGCGCCACCTGCGCGAGCGGGGGACTTGTTTGGCAAGGGGAGCCAAGACAGGACCGAAGAGGGACCCGCAAATTGTGTGGTGGTTCCTTGAGCTCGCCTAGTGCGGCGAAACTTGAGAGAATCAAGGCAAGCCCCGTGAAAAAGGGCGACGAAAATGGATGCAACGGCTGTTATTCCGAAGCAACTTAAAAGCGACGGGGCGCCAAGAACCTTAGTTCCGGGTTGGGGGCCATACATGCGCCAGCACTATGCCGCATGCTTTTCCCACAGTTTCAAACCGAAACTTAACAAATCCTGGTGCCGAGCAGGCGCGGCGGGTTGCGGGCGCTCACCTCCTCGGTCTCCTTCATGAGGTCCTCCCCCAGCTTCTTGAGCAGCATCACCGTCTTGGGCGGCGTCTTCCACATGAGCATCTGCTGCTGCGTGCTGGGGTGCGTGAAGGCCAGCGTGCTCTCGCGCACCTTCTCGCGCGTGCACGTGAAGCCGTCCGTGCGCACGAGGTACATCTCCGCCTTGCGCCGGCTCTGCAGCCGCACCACGCCCGTCGTGCTGCTGCACATGTCCCCCTGGAAGCCCCCCCCCTCCTCGTCGCTGCTGCTCTCCTCCGGCCGCTCCACCGCCATTCCGTCCCCCCGGCCGTCGTCCGGCGCGGCAGCCCCGTCGGACGCTACCGAACGCCCGTTCCCGCCGCGGCTGCTCTCGTCCACCCGCCACAGGCCCGAGCCGTCCTGGTGCACGCCGAACATCTCCATGCTCATCTCCTCGTCCTCCTCGTATGCGTACCCGTTTTGCGACGCCCCGTCATTTTGCTGCACGCTGCTCTCATGCTCCGCTTGCTTCGAATCACTGGCTGCCTCTCTGGCAGCAGCTTCCGCTGCCCCCATGCGATCCCTCTCGTCTGAGAGCACCGTGTCTTTGCTTTCTAGCCGTTCTTCAGTGGTTCCATTTACCCCCTGGTTTGTGCTTGGCGTGGGAAGGCTCTCCGTGTTCGGATCGAACGACGGGCCTGAGCGAGGGATTCCCCCGCCCCGCTGGCGCCCCCATCGACCGGCCACCCCAGTTATGCTTTCCTCTTCCCTTTTCTTGCGAGCGACCTGTAGCACGAAGATGTCGAAGATCTTCGTTCTGCTTTCGGGACTGCTCGGAGTCGCCCTTCGACTCGCAAGATTCTCTGATCGGTCCCTTATCAAGGGCTTGCTCAACAATCAACAAGAGCTTGCATATCATCAAAAAATGTCAAAGGGAGCTTTTGTTTTCAGCACATTTGTCCCTGTTAGCGCTCAGGCTCACATCACGGCTAGTGACCCCCTACAGACGTCTTAATGCAACCGGACAAAATGCCTACAGATAGAACCGTTGGAGGGCTTGAGCTGTCCTGGTGGGTTCCTCACCTCGCTCAGTGGCTGCACGGGTTGCCGGTATGCGCGCATCTGCGCCTCAAATGCGCTCACCCCTCGAGCTTTGTTCTGCCGTAGCCACTCCTGCATTGCCGGCCGAGACAGCACGTCGGAGGTCGGCCGCTGCGCCTCAAACGCGTTATATGCGAATGGGGATTCCCGCCCCTGCCAGAGCCGCTTGATGCCCTCAAACGAAGGGCTTTCGCTAGTGCTAGGCTCCGACTCCTCCAGTTCCGTTGTCGTCTGCTCCTCTGCTCCCGAGCTGTCCTCCAGAGCACCGACGGTCGCAGCAGGCTCGTCAGCCGGAGTTGCTAGAACCCCGTCCTCCTCATCCTCTTCACACCCGTCGCACACGGGCGCCACGTCTTCCAGTTCATCAATCACCTTCTCTGCACGGTCCAGCTCTTCCCTTGCCACCGTGGCCGCTGCCGCCTTCCCGTTCCCGCCCACCTTTGCTGCCGACGGCGCGAAAGCCTTGACCCCGCCTGCACTCTGCACCAGCTCCCTCCACTTGGCAATGATGGCGCACGTGCGCCCAGTGCCCCCCGTGCTGAACACAAAGAGGGGCTGGTTCGCGGGGTCGGCCACAATCCTGGCGAACTGCGTCACCTGCTCGTGGTCGGGCATCTCGTCGAACTGGATGGGGATGTGGTACCGCTTGATGTCCCCCGCCGCACTGTCCCACCGCGCCCACTGCCGGCCCCACTCTGTCGCCCGCAGATCTACCACCGCCCTGAACCCCTTCTTCCGCAGCCACTCCAGCCCCTGCTGCGTCAGCTGGCCCCCCCGCCAGAACACAACCGCCTCCCTATCCTCCGCTAAGTCGATGATTTCCCGGCCCTGCCGACGCACCGGCAGCAGCCGCACCTCCGCAAAGTTTGGGATGTCTGCATGCGCGGGGGCACCCTCCGAGCGGGGGAACCCCGCGTCCAGGCACACGTTCCGCACCCGCTCCAAGCGTTGCTTCACTAGCTCCGTCTGGGACCAGTCCTCGGGCAGAAGCGCCTCAAGCGACTCCTGCAAGAGGCTGCACGCGTTGCGGACCTCGGCGCGCAGCTGCGCCAGGGGGGGCGTCTCCTCTCCGGCCTGAACGTCCCGCAACGCCTGTGAACGCTTCTTCTCCTCAGCCACCCAGATGCCGGGCCGTCCAAGCACGCGCTCGCGCCCGCGCTGCACATAAGAACAAGCCTTTGGTAAGTTGGGGGATAACCAGGAAAAGCAGGCTCTGCCGACAAGAGTTGGTTGTGGGTAGAGCAATCAGAGTCTCCAGCATGCTGAAGGGCTGTTGAAGAAAAAACTTCTTGCCCAAATTCATTGAGAATAAGATTCTCCCGATGTTGATGTTGCTGTGAGCACAACAGCACTGTCCGCAAATTTGCCCTTCACTTTGTCGCAACCAGCCAAGACTGTCCAACTGATGGCTTGCCTGGAGGATGCTGCCAATGAGCGCCAGCCCCGCCACCACTTTCTCCTCCTGCTCCGGCACGTCCCCCTCCACCGTGATGCCCCCGTTCTCCAGCCCCTTGTTCACCCAGTAGCCAAACGCTGCAGCCTCGCTAAGCCCCGCTACAGAGGCTGCCTGCTGCATATCTTCCAGCTCCCGCAGCGCCTGGAACAACCACCACACGGGAAAGATCAGGTCAACCGCAGCAGAGAACGGGTTGCGACAAGCCTGCTTCTATTCAATCCTCCCCGTCTTGGCAAGCCCAGCAACATAAGATGATAAGAGTGGATGGGCTGGAAGGAGACCACAGATGTGCGTGACTTGCCAACAGACCGAACAGTTGCTTTTGCAAAAGTACCCCAGAATCACGGATTGGAGCCCACAAATGGCTCAGTGGCCATAACTATCATCAGGCTTTGTCCCTTCTTATCACAACATGAACAGGGAGTGTACAACAAGTAAGCTGGCCATGTCATTGACATGGCCGCTGCATTGAGCCCCATTAAGTTTGGTTGGTTTGTGAAAGCAGGCTCCCTTACATCCATCACTGAAATGTGCAGTTGCTCTGCAAGGCGGTAGATGCGGCAGAACGCCTCCACCTCAGCAACGTCACCAGGCGGGGGGCCAAGCCGGAAGAAGCGGGACTCCTCCTCCTGAGCCTGCGTGTAATCAATCCATTGTTGGCTTCAAACATTTCGAAAGAGAAAGAGTCTGCACAGGACTCTGCTACACTCTGAATTTATACACGACCTTGAGCCAGCTTAGCTGCGGGAAGAAGCTGTATGCGCTTCATCGTTGGGCCGACGATAGGCAAGAGGGAAATGTCATATGGAGAAAGCGGCCAAGGAGAAACCTTATAAGAACAAACAAGTAACCGGGAAATGAGTTGCCGGGCACTTCCGTAATCAACATGCGCTTGAAATGAGCGCTTTGATTATACTCCTCACCTGTTTCCGGACAATTGCATCGTAGGAGCTGGCCTCATCGTCAGAATCAATTGCAGTGTCCAACACAGAGCGAATCTTTCCCCTGCCTTCGTTGGCTTCTCCTTTCCGGATGGCATTGCTTGTCGCAAGCTGGACTCGGCCACCCTGGAAAAAGGAACTTCCCTGCAGCAGATGGCTTTGTGGAACTCTGAAACGGACGCTGCGGCTCAGGCTTACAATGTGAAGGCTGTTTGAATTCCTTGCCTTGCAACGCCCTTTATGTTGAGCGCCAAAGCACAAAGCAATCTCAGCCGCACTTACAACTGGCTCAGCTCTGCATATCCCCAACCCTGTCCTAAGCGACTGTCCAACGTTTTCCACACGGGTTACGGACGACCGTAGCGTGTCCATTTCCGGGCCGGTCCTTGTCAAGCTGCATGCCAAATGGCAAGAATGAGGAGTGATTGCGCAGCTTCGAAGGTGGTATAGGATCCGCAATGCCAGACAGCACCTTCAATGTTTTTCAAAGAGAAGAAGCTAGCCGCAGTGCGCTCCACTTTTCATGTGCCCAGGATACTTTAGGGCTGAACCCTTGCCATCGCCATTGATGATGGGTGGATAGGCTGCAGAATGTACCCTAGGTACCTACCTATGTGGAATTCCCAGCTACTGAGGTACCTACTATTAAAATGTACTAGGTACGGTAAACTGTACTGCTTAGTCTGTAGAAGTACTGCACGTTACATATGTCATATACCGGTACCTTGGTATTATAATGTAAATTGCAGAGCACCGACGACCATGGTCTGGTCAGTGGTGCAAAACGTACAAAGTTGACGAGAAAAGTTTGGGAGAATTTTCGTCGGACGGTACCGGGCGCACAATAGCTGCAGATGGTACCAACCCTCACATCGCGTGCGGTACCCATCCTTGCCAAGCGCAGAAGTAACCGGGCACTATGAGTGACATTAGGGTTTACAGGTCACAAGGTAGTGACAGTATGTTAGGTTTACGCCACTACTGAGACGGTTTGTTAGGGTCGCGTCCCTTCCCTGTGACTGCTCTCAGACTAGGGTTCCCACTAACGGCTAAGCCACTGACCTTAGGGTTTTCGTTCGGTTTGGTGTTAGCCGGGCACTTTTCCGGCGTCCACCAATGGCGTCCGTGTCCGATTCTCCCAAATTTTATTCGTCAACTTTGTGCCTCAGGCTCTTGCGTCAGTGGTGACTGCCACTGACTGGTACTTTTTCTGGATTTTGTTGAGATGTGAGCGTAGATACTCACCGATCTTACAAACGGACGGCTACAGACTGTTGACGATGATCCAAGAAATCCTCGAGCCTCCCCTACGATCATTAAAAATACAAGCAGGCTGCCCAACTGCAACTGAGCCTCTCCTACAACCTTAGAGATGCAAGGAGCTGCCACTGCAAGCAAGGCGCTGACACTTTGCATCATTGAGAACCTGCCACATCCAATTAGTGGCAATGCCCTGCTGGCGCCTCAGTATTGCGTATAGAGCCGCAAGACACAGAGGTTGAGGTGGTGCAGCTCCAGAGCTCATGGCTCCAAATTGGCAACTGATTCAAGGGATGCAGGCAGCCTCTGAAACGCGTGCGCATACCTGGGCCCCAGACATTCCACTTGACAATGGACACAAGGGTGCTTCCGATGTAAGAGCTTGCCAGCATGAAGGGGAGTTGTCCTTTCTCTCCACTATTCACTTGGGTTCTGCCTTTGCTGATCTTTGCTGTGCACACAAGTTGCCAACCATGTTGCAACCGGCAGATCTGACGCTAAGCAAATACCAGAGGGGAAGGCGGCTTATTCACTTGCTTGTTGAAGCATTCAAGTCAACGATGGTGCAACCTTGTCCATCTACTTCACATGTCCTGGAAGTGCATCTTTGCATCAGTAAACATCTGCCAGACTCATTTGTGTCGGCGTGCACAGAAAAGTCTGGTTGCCCACCCAAAAATCATTGCAAGCCAGCTGTGCCCTGCTGAGCATGTTCATTCTGATTATTGAAAGGCATAGAGCAAAACCCCCAAAAAAATTGCCACTCAATCAAAGGTTTGGCTTCAAGCATTGTGAATACGTGCATCATATCAAAGCAAAAAGGCTTGAACAACCTGACAACCACCAACATTTATCAAGCTCTTGAAAGCCTTTGCATGACCAGACTTAAGCACATCAATCTGCTTCTTTGCAACTCAAGCATGGTACCTTTTCCTTCTCCACGTCCGGGAAGGTTTTTAATGGCCCATGTAAAACAAGCATTGCAACTCCAGACTTAAGCACATCAATCTGCTTCTTTGCAACTCAAGCATGGTACCTTTTCCTTCTCCACGTCCAGGAAGGTTTTTAATGGCCCATGTAAAACAAGCATTGCAACTACCTTGCAGGCGTGCACTGACATTGGGCTTAATGCCCCTGTGGAGACCGCGCGGCGATGGAGAGTCCAAGCAACTGCAGACGACATCCTGTCAGGTTCAAACATTGGCAACAAGCTCCAAGCAGTTGCTTCACAGAACCAAGGCCCACAAGTCAATAAGGTGTTGTCAAGCAGCCAAGCTTAGCAGACTCCAATCATCCGTCGCGTTAGGTCTCCACAGTCAGTAGTGCACGCTAGTCAGATAAACTCTATACCTACAAGCATGTTATCAAGGGTAATGATCATGTGGGTGCCGTAGAGTAGGATTCTAGGATACTGGACATGACTTGCAGCCGTAGCAAGCTGCAGAATCGACTCATTGTACCGTCCCGGTCTCACCGGCAGACTTTGCCCGATGGCTCTATGTGGCTCAGGGCGTTAATAAACCGTAAGTTACCATCATTAAGTGCATAAAGTGAGGCACGTAACGTGGTACAGCACGACGGGTGCACAATGGCACAACCATGTCGTGGAATGCCCCTGGATGCATGTAAAACGGCCCCACCAGAGCCCCATGCCTTTGATGGTGCATGGGCTTGTAGAGAAGTCAACATGTCTCGAATATCAGCTCTGCTCTTCGTATTATGCTCGTATTATGTTGTTCTTAGGCTTGAATCATCGGGCTTCTGTATGTCATAACCGCAAGTCATCTAGTGCAGCGCTCAACCCATATCAATGGATGTCTCAGATACCACTTGAATTTTGACATTGTCAAAGTTGCTTCAAAGAACTGCAAGTTCCAAGACATTGCGTGTTCAATGTCTTGGGGTCGTTATTGCGTTCCGGCCAATACCATGCCCTAGTGCTACTACAATCAATTCTGGATTCATGGATGAAACACACTAGAACAGTAATGCATTAGAACACTAATATGCATGATATAACTGCTGATATCCTTTCCCTAAAATCCGCGATCCCTCTCGATCCCACTGTCCCCAGGAAAGTTGACGGCACCGCACCCTTGGCAGAACCTGCCGCTGAGACCACACACACGGTTCGAGATGCCAATGACAATACGCAACAGATCCCCCAACTTCCTAACGTGGGATCTGGAAAATACTACCACATTGAGGCAGCGCGTCAGAACGAACAACCAATAAGGCCGCGAGGAAAACGGAAACTTCTGCCCTACATGATAATCCTGGCACAAAGATTTGAAGCCACGAGGCTTCGAATCCAGAATAAACCCTTTGGGCACACATAAGCTTACGTTGCGTCTCGCACACAAAACAGGTATGGCACTAAAGCAGTCGACACAAAACGCAAAAGATATTACCGGCCCTGATACAGGCATCCCATAAACAACCCTGGGCCGAAGTCGGCTGGCCAGAGAGAGCCAGTCTGACTATGGGCCCCCCACGCATTGAACGTTCCGAAACGTGGCCGTGCGGCGTGCCCAGGCGCGGCGGCCCGCCCACCGTGGGCCGCCGCGGGGACAGATAACACAGATTATATAAAATTTCACCCCTTACTAACCAAATTTTCGCCTCAAACTCGACTTTGGAAAACTCACCTCGCGGCTGCCGCATATGCCAGTCAGCAGTCTCCACATGATGAGCTGCTTGTGGCCAGATTATTGCACCAACAAAAAAATCCTTTCCCTAAGATGGATTTTCATGGAATCTGCACTTTTTGTTGCGTGCTGCAGGGCTTGAATGCAGCCTTGCAGTCTTCGAGAGCATGGGGATCGCTGTCCACTTAACTTCCGCAGGGTTAACTATGTTGCCTCTCAATTGGCCCATGCCCTCGTGCAAAGGCGTACAAGGAGTGTCGGCAACGACATGTCTTTGTCGAAGATGAGGGACATGTTTCTGGCTTTTGATGATGGTGACGACGCCTTCATGTTTACCAAGTCAGGATTTCAGCATGTTCAAGTACGGTCACCCCCACCCATGGCTCTTCTGGAGTTGGTATATGCGGATTCATCACTTGGAGCCTTTATTACTTTGTATTTGTAGTAACATTGCGACTACAAGACATGGAGCAAAGATCATAAAAACTGCTTGAACGAGATTGGGCGTTGTGAGCCCCGGCAAAAGAATGCTACCATACTTCACAACGATGGCGCCGACAGTGCAACTGGCAAACAACTTGAGCAGGTATTGGACGTCCTGCAACCAAGGTTTAGAAAGTCAGTTTCTACCCAGCTAGTGGCACACTCTTGTCGGCGATGACAGCCAGCTCTATTGTGCCTTGATCACATGAATAGGAGAATCTGCTTATCTTTCCAAACCCATTGATGATGGCCAAACCAGGCAATCATGGCTGTTGCGAAGATCAAAGGCAAATAGCAAACTTCATGAGCGAGGAATCACCCCACCGCAATGACTTCAAGAGGCGAGAGTGTGCCCCTTCCAAATCGCTCCGTACAAGCAGTCTGCGTTGCAAACTCAATTCTTAGAAACACAACCGGGAACATTTGGTGTCTTTGGATGCATAGAAAATTGTCGTGTTTGTTGCCTCACCTCGCCAGTCAAAGATGTGACGTCTCCTTCGACCTTATCATTTGTAGCCCCTGGAACAGTAGTGTGCCCTTCCCGTGACTGCCTTTGCTGCCAATGTGACTGTAAGTATCGCCCGGTTGTTGCCAAGCCGTTTCCTTGTGTCTGGTGGCTGAAATTGCTGGGAAAACCTTTCTGTTTGGAGTAAGAACAGTGTTTGCTTGCTATAATTGCCACCTGTTGAGGACTTCCCCTTGTGGCGCTTTCGCCCTTGCACAAAGGCGCCTTAAGTTTCAAACCATTCGGTGACAAGGAGGACAACCATAAAAACGAAACAACATTGGGCCTGCCGTGGCTGAAGCTTACGTTTTGGCAGTTCTGAAATGAACACCTCGAGGGGAGCCGTGCCGTGGCATGCATTGCAGCTAGTGAATATGGTGATGTCTTCGCTTGATGTCAATCACCCACTACAGGCTGCCAGTGCGGGAGTGGTAGCATGCAGAGAACATCAAACACTCCCCTTGCACGTCTCCGCAGGAATATATCACCAAACCAGCTACACAGTAGTCAGCGCACTGCTGCTTGATGGCCCGAGGCCTAGGGGCGCGCCACTCTCCCACTGCTTGCAACACTTAGTTGTAGCTGCCACAGAAAGTTGTGAGCTGCTGAGCCTGCATGCTAATCCTCCTGAGCAGCAGCTGCTCGATCCTGATTCCTGACTTGATCCTGAACCCCTGCCTCGGGATTCTTTTTAGGGGTTCGAACGCCTTCTGTTGTCGGACATCAGAGTACCTTGAACCCGACCGCTCACCGGCACTTTGTGATTAAGGCCCAGGGGGAAGATCGCCAGTATCGATCTGACACTTTCAGCGGCCGGAGGCCGGTTCTTCAAAAACTAACCAGTCTGGTCAGGGTTCAGCTTCTTGCTGGAGTATCCTAGGTACCCCCTGGGCATGGGCCTTCGCCCTGGCCCTGGGCCTCGGCTCAGAATCTGCTGAGTTGATTGGGACGTCGTTGTGCCTACTTTGCCTAGGACTTTCTGACTCGCTGCTCAAGCACCATTGCACCAATGGGGTGGCACTGAAGTGTGTCCTCTCGCCTTGATAGTTGAAACAGAAGAGGTCGGACCAGAACAGGCTTACGTAGGAGTGTCGCGCACATAGAGCATGCTTTCGGGTGTTCTCCGGAGGCGCGCTGCGGCCGAGTGGGCACTTCCTTGGGGCGGTCGCTTTTTGCGTGAGCTGTCTTTCTTTGCGGAGGGGAGTGCACCCTCTGGTAGGCACGTCTCCAACAATTCTGCAGCTACTTCTGTTCTGAAGGGAGAACTGGCGTCAGCGCTGAATACATCTGGCGTCAGAAGCAGCGTCAACCAGACATACGGCTCGGCGCTAAAACGACCTTTGGAAATTACGCTTCAGTCAAAGGTGCGCTGGGGGCTTTCTGTGAGCCGACCTGCTGTGGAGCATTCGCCATTTCTTGAAAGCGCAAGCGGTGTCCCTGCACTGGAGATGTTCCTCGAAGCCCCTTCGCACGGATTGTCCCCTCCGGCTGTCTTCGATTCAATACAAACGGTGGCCGCTAAGAGCACGCGGGCGCTCAGTATTCGTCCACCATTACCACCGAGCGGCTCAGCGTGGGCCAGCCATGACACTTTCCGGACACTTTTTCGCGGAGCCTCCTCCAAGTATCTCTCTTCTTCTAGCTTGACCTCGCCGTCGCCCTTTTCAAGCCAACCGCTCCGCACAGCTCGCGCCACTTGCTGGAAAGTGGCCGGCGCTCGCTCGCACTACACCAGGTTCCTTGGCGATGATGGGGACCAGCTGGTGGACCCCCCCGAGGCAGCCGACCTGGTTCCGACAGCCCACACTGGCCCCCCGGTGCCCCTCCACAGCTACCCCAATGCCATGATGCCCTTCCTGGCCAGCCCCCCTCCACTCGATGCAGTCGTCAAGATCTTCACCGTCACGTCAAGTCCGAACTACTTCCTGCCATGGCAAAACAAGCCGCAGCGGGAAGTCTCTGGCTCAGGTGAGCTACGCGGTTCCCTGCTCATTGCCGTTTGGTACTCTGCGTTCCAAACGTACGGGAATTGTGCGTGGATTTTTCAGAAAAGTTCCTGCACGCAGCAGTATTGGGCATCGACTACTCTACTTTGGGCCTGATTTCAACTCGAAGTACCCCACCACTACTTCATCAACTGCAGTTCTCATTATGATTCTTGAGGAGGCCCATCCATACAATTCCAGAGTTCAAAAAAAAGAATTGTTCCAGCCCATCGAGTCAGTTCTGGCAGTCTTATTTCGGATTGCTACTGTTTCTGGGACGCCAAATGTCTCGAGGCCCTTGGGCCACTTCAGTGTTCGAAACTGTGATCTTGCCGCCATGCAATCAAGTCGCAAAGATTACTTCGTTGTTGCACAGAGAGTCCGTCGTATTAGCCCCTGCTCACACATTCTGTCCCTGCAGGGTTTGTGATATCAGGGCAGCGCATCCTAACCAACGCACACGTGGTGGCCAACCAGACGTTTGTGCTGGTGCGCAAGCACGGCACCAGCACCAAGTACCGCGCGGAGGTGGAGGCGGTGGGGCATGAGTGTGACCTGGCCGTGCTCAAGGTCCCCAACGACGACTTCTGGGAGGGCATGCACCCCCTTGAGTTCGGGGAGATCCCGCAGCTGCAGGAACAAGTGGCCGTTGTGGGCTACCCGCAAGGTGGGGGTTTCAGAGCGGCTTGTTCTGCGAGAATCGTGACAGAAAAGTTTGTTCCGAGTGCCGAGTGTTTGTTTGGAAGACAATCTGGAGACACTGCTAGGTTCAATTCTGTAACAAAACGAAGACGACTTGTCTTGGGTCAGATCTGCTTCGTTCCGGTCTTAGAAACGACCTGCGTTCATCAATGTGGATAGTCTCACGATTCCTGGTGGATTAGCAGAGAGCTTGAAAGGCACATGCACCTTGAGCCATTGGGCAGCACTTTTGATGCGTTGTGTATACAGAGGATGTTCGATTCTGTCCGGACAAGAAATTCCTCCCATTGAGCATGTGAGGCAAACAAGTTCGCCGAGGGACAAAGCCGTTCTCTAATACTTGCCGTTGGTCAAAACTTCTGTCGTTCGTGGCATTTCGGGGGTAGCCGATCACGAATGTTCAACTTCTCTGTTCAGGCGGTGACAACATCTCCGTGACAGCAGGGGTGGTATCACGCGTGGAGCTGACACAGTACGCGCATGGGGCGGGCCTCCTACTGGCGGTCCAGATCGACGCTGCCATCAACCCGGGAAACAGCGGAGGGCCCGCAGTCATGGACTTTGGCTCTGGGGGCATGAACTCCAATTGGAAGGTTGTGGGTGTGGCGTTTCAAAATCTGCGGGAAGCAGACAGCATCGGGTGAGCGGGTGACCACCTCGGTCCTTGTTCATGCTTCGACGACGAGACAGGGTGCTGCCAGGATCGATGGAGGCTTCACAAGCTGTCGGTTCTCTTTCGAGGACGAAGGATGGTCTTATCGTTGGCCGTGACGGACATCCAGCGAGGGTAGTCATGCTCTAATTCGACTCCGATGAAAACGTCGATCCACTTCTTTGCGGGCCTGTGACGATCTCAGTCAGTCAGTTCCGTTTGGAGACGCTAGACAGTCATAGGCAGCTTCGTCGAAGTGGTGCACTTTACATACTTTCATGGGCACCCGATCTCCCTCGATCACACAGCTTTTTGCAGTCTAAACGGCAGATTGGCGAAGACTTTTCTTTCGGTGTGCTGGATTGTTCTTTCTGGCCAATGCTTTGGATCGATCTTTATTCTCACTCTCCGTCTATACGTCCTAACCAATACTGAGCGCGCTGCTCGTGCTGGTGCGTCGCTGCAGGTACATCATCCCGGTGCCGGTGATCCAGCACTTTCTGGAGGACGTCCAGGAGACGGGGCACTACGTCGGCTTCTGCGGCCTGGGCCTGAGCTGCCAGCAGCTGGAGAACGCGCAGCTGCGCGACCACCTGGGCATGCGGCCCGGCATGACGGGCGTGCTGGTCAACCGGGTGCAGTCGCTCACCGACTCCCACAACCACATCCGCAAGGACGACGTCCTCATGGCCTTCGACGGCGTGCCCATCGCCAACGACGGAACAGGTGAAGCACCAACCGAAAGCAGTGCCAAGGCTCCTGCTCAGGACCTTCGTAGGTTTGCCAGCGCTCGGCCGATTGAAGATGGTGCCGGTAGGACGACAAGCCGGGCCCGAAGTCTGTTCGAGTGACCTGGTGTTGGACACCGTCGAGCCCACAGTCCTACCTAGCCTGGGGCAGAATCACTTGGTATCACTGGCTGCCGTCATTCCCAGAAATTTATCCCGAAAGTCCTGGAAGCCGGTAATTCTGCAAGACCAGCCCGTGCGGCAAATCGGACATCGCGGATAAGTAGTTTCTAAAACTCTGAAGGCTTGCTCACTTGTTGTTCGCTTTGCAGTCAGCTTCCGCAAGCGGGAGCGCATCTCGTTCGACCACCTGGTGGCCATGAAGAAGGCGGGCGAGACAGCGGTGGTCAAGGTCCTGCGGGACGGCAAAGAGCTCGACCTCGAAGTGGAGGTCAACCCGGTAAGGGCGAATGCCAGCGCCGCAGCCTGCTTTTGCGGCCCTGCCTCTACTGCTATCCGAGATCATGCGGTCGGACATGGTGCCTGCGCATCTTCGAGAATGTGCTCGAGTCCACGTCGTAGACCGACCAGGGAGGTTTGTATTATTCGGGGCTTTGGTTTATTGCCCCTCCGATCAGCTAAGAAATCAAGAGACCGAACATGGTTTCTTATCCGTGGTCCACCGCTCACGTCGTAGCAATGCACTTTGGGCGGGGTAAGCAAGTCCAAGGAAGCGAAATGTACTGCGCTCTTGACATGGCAAAGGCTCAACAGCGGTGTCCAAGGTTTTTATTCGCAGAACCTCGTCGGTCGTGCCGCGCAGGTGAAGGCGCTGGTCCCGATCCACCAGTACGACAAGCTGCCGAGCTACTTCATCTTTGCGGGCCTGGTGTTCGTGCCGCTGACGCAGCCGTACCTGCACGAGTACGGCGACGACTGGTACAACACGTCCCCGCGCCGCCTCTGCGAGCGCGCCATGCGCTCCCTGCCCACCCAGGAGGGCGAGCAGATGGTCATCCTCTCGCAGGTCAGGCGCGCCGCCGGCCAGGGGGGCTATCGCTGCTGTAGACCTCCTTGAAGCTGGTTAAGCGTTGTCTCAAGAACTTCCTCTGGCAGACCAGCGCAGTTTATGACTGTCGGCCTCGGTTGTGTGCTTCTCTTGTTCCTGGGTCAGAAGAGCATGTTTCAAAGTGGGTTGGGTTGTTGAGTGTCAGCAATACAACCCTTGTTTTCGGTTCGGGTTGGTATTTGTGTCCTTATGGCGGACCCGCAGCTCGACTTGAGGCTCAAGAGCGGGTCGATACTTTCAAGGCCTGCTCTAACAGGACATGCTAGAGGGTATTGGCGGGCTTAAAGCACCTAATAAGTACGCCTTCGAAGGCCCGCGTGCTTTACTGTATGAACCGACTCGTAAATCGAAAATGGCAAAAGAGACGTTATATTGGCCTGAGAAAGCTTTGAAAATCCCTCTTCCCGCAGGTCCTTATCGATGACATCAACTCAGGCTACCAGACTTTAGCAGATTTACAGGTAGGGAGGAAAGTTTGTATCTTTTGCCGTCCACTTCTTCCCAATTTTGCATGCCCTCCTCATGGGTTGTGCAGACCTCGTCCGTTTTTGGTTCCGTGGACTGCGTGCACCAGATGGAGCATTTTGCCGTATTTGCTCGTTTTCGTCTTGAACTAGCCAACTGTTTATGCGAAGACCCAGCAACGCTGATCAATCACCAGCTGCTTGAGCTTTCACCTTTTGTTCCTGCTCATTGGGCCTGCGCCATATGCACGCGTCCAAATTCCGTTGAATGACAATGAGACAATCTTGCTTCCAGGTAAAGAAGGTAAACGGCATAGACGTTAGGAATCTTAGGCACCTGCGGCGGCTGGTTGAGGGTTGTACGGAAAAGCACGTGCGCTTCGACTTAGACGACGAGAGGGTCATGGTGTTGAACTTTGACGAAGCCAAGCGAGCTTCTGAAGGCATTCTGAGCCGCCACAGGATCCCTAGTCACATATCGGAAGATCTTATGGAGGACAGGTTTGGGGACTCGGGGGATGCGGTGGACTCGACATGGCCCGATCGAGTGGCGGAACACTGGGCGATACCAGTAGGCAATAGGACTTCCTCAAAATTGTGAAATTTCGGTGAGCTGTGAGCTTAAAGGTGTCTCGAAGGGGTGCATTCAAAACTGTTTTTGTGGTGATCAAAACTGTGTGCTCGGTCGCCTGCATGCCCCACATGGTAGCTGGTCACGGAAGATGCCGAGGGAAACTGATGGCTGGTGGGCCGCGTTTGCCTTCCTCGTCGCACTTCCGCTTGGAAAGCTGCGTACACAAGCTTCTCTGGTCCAGCTCATGATGAAGAAGAGGCGGCCGCTGCCATAGTCTCAATTCCGCATCTGTACAAGGCATGGCATGGACCTTTGATCCTTGGCGGTACCCAAGGTGGCCGGCCCCCGGTGTAGTTGTCCATCCATGCATGCAATCTTCTTCACAGCCGCCATTGGTGTATCAGAACGGCAAATTGCGGTGCTGAGCTGGTATAGTTGTGTAATGCTAAGGACGAGAAGGCGGCCTGTATTTAAATATGGCCGCGTTGAAAGTTGGCTACAGCTTTTGTAGAGACCATCAAGCGTGCGCACCTATGGATATAGCTACCATCCTGGTCCAGAGGTCTTAAGCCCAGCACGCACTCGTTGGAACAAAATAGCATGCACTGCAGATATGTAGATCGATTAGCTGGATCTGGCATAGCTTTCTTTGTCGCCGGAGCCTGCAGGAATGCCCATGGTGGTATATGGTAGCCCCAATTGACAGACATGCATTAGTTTCATACATGCCAGCCATAAGAAGTCTGTGGCCTACATGTGGCTATAGCTACGGCGAAAACGAAAAGAAACGTGCTGTCAAAACTTAGTGCAAGTCTTGGAGCACCCGTACAGACTATGCGGACACATTTGCATGGCAGCAAGTCTGATCGGAGAGGCATGCTGATCCGCTTGCAAGCTGTTCCTATTGTAGTACCAGGCTTGCTTAAGGCATCTACCCCATCGCACCAGCCAATCGTCATACCCCTTGACATCGGAGGAGAAAAAGGTATCGCATGCGACTTTTCACTTACCATGAAACGATTAGAAGAATCTGACTAGAAGAGTTCCAAGCACAACATACGCGCGAAGCTTGCTTCACAAAAGGTAGTTGTCCTATCTACAGAGCCTTGCATGTTTAAGCATTCTCCAATGATCTCGAGCACTTGATATCTATCTTGCTTTCTGCTATATCTGACTACATATGTCAGCAACGAAGAGTAGACCTTACGACAGTGGCTGAATGAACTGGTCTGGAAAGTGGAAACGATCCTGAAGACGTGTATCCCGATCTAAAGACATGTATCCCATGGAAATAGAGCAAATCTGAGGGTAGCTGTCGACGACCTGATGGACTAGACCTCCTCCTTCACCCGAACAGATTCAACTTCTTTCAACTCTTCGACATGGCCTCCTCGACGAGTCCACTCGTCTAATGTTTGTCGCAGCATGGCAATCTCTTCTCTCATGGCTTCGTTGTTTTTTGAATGCTCTGCTAGGCCCTGGGCAGCATCCTGTGCTTTCTTCAAGAGTGCTGCATTACTTACCCGCAGCTCCGCAACCTGCAGGGTTTGTCCCAGATCAAATGCCAACATATCATGTTGATTTAACCCTCAACGCATCCCTTGAACTTAAAACAAACTCAAAGAAGAACCTGGCTGTTGCCAAAGACGGGCTTGAGCAACAAGAAGCAGACTTTAGCATTGGAGAAGAAGGTCCTTACTTGAACTTCTAACGTGTCCAGTTGGCTTTGTCTCCGCGCTCGTGACCGACGTGCAGACTCCCGGTTCGAAAGCCTCCTGCAGGGGAACGTACAGTCAAAGCACTCAGGCACGCAGTGTTAGAAATGACAACCAAATGCAACACAATATTGACCAGATGCAGTACGTTTGGAAAGAGGGCAACAACGAAAGGGGGGCACGCTTTTCCGCAACCTTCAGGTGCACTATGTCTTGCCACTAAGCAATCCTAGCAAATCAGAAGACTCTGTCTTGTTCCCTGAATATACCTTCGTATCTTCTTCTTCTGGTCTTTCGGTTCGGTTGGCAAAGAACTGTTCTCCGCATTCTTGCTAGAGTCAACGCGCTTGCCCCTCCCTGGACCTGCAAAGGACATTGTCACTTTACAAGCTTCCTATAATCACATCATTCCCCGGTGCAAGATAATAGAAGTGAGGGAGCAGGACTCAACTCATGTAATTGGAAAGTATAACAAGTAGTAGTTGCTCAAATGCATTAGCAACAGTTCAGAGTTGCTCGTGGCAGAATATCACACCAGGCAGAGTGTAGTTAGTGTTACATGCAACTTTCCTTCAACGTCAAAAACCCTACCTTCTGCGCCCGCTGCGGCCAGGGACGACGTGGCTCCTTCAGCATCAAGTCTTTCACCCGCTGAGACATGGCTCGAGTCAGCAGTGCTTGTATACAGCGGAATTGTCAGCAACGGAAAGTCTGCATCGGGAATTCCGAAAGCCTCCAGGTTCAGCGAGAGTTTTGGTGGCGAGGGAAGAGCAGGTATCCTTCCGCCCACGAGAGGCTCTGGTTCCCATAGAGCAGGGTCTGTCTGCTCCCAGCCAAGCTGCTCATATCCCGTCAAAAACAGAGAGTCTAACCCGCCTTCCATGTATGCCACACTTTGCCGATCGCTCGCAAGGATGTTGCATGAATGAACGATGCTTTCTGCCAACCAACTCCAGTGAGTACGTCCTTAACCCCTCACATCAAGCCAGCCCCCATTGAGCCGCAGCAGGAATTGTTTGACGCAACCACCTCATGCCATGGCCCATGGCAAAGGCAGCTAGCCTGGAGAATGGATTGGCAATACCGGCGGTAGTTGCTTGCTCTATGCCGTCTGCAGTCTGCAGAGATGACTCATGATATCAGAACGTGATCAGGCCTGATCACGTTTTTCGGACCGAGTTGTTCGGCAGTTTTCCCAGCCTGAGCACCGCGCACATACCGTTATCAGTGGCGGTCGATGTACCGTCTGCTCAGATCGAGGCTGGGCCTACCAAATGAAGTTCGGTGTTAAATGAACGCTCGCAA